ATAGCGCCAAGCCTTGTAGTTGGAGCATGTATCGTCCGGCTCGAGACGAAGGAGCGGGATCGGGTTGGCGGGTGAAGTGGTTGAGTGAGCCATTGCCGCTTTATTTTCACGAAGCGACGCTCTGAAGTCACGGATAGGAAATTCGGTGTGCAGCGCGGCACTTTTGGAAATTGGTCGACGAGAATTGCTGAAAATCACTCTGACGGCTTCGTCGAAATGTCGCTAAGAAGAAAATGGCGTCGGCGAAAATTCGTTAAAACGCTGACTTGAAACTGAATCTGAGACTATGTCTAACCCCAGACCCACACACCCCCCCATACACCCCCCCACACACCCCCAGGCCCCGTTATCGCAGCTATATAGCTCTGCAACCAGCTCCGCAACCAGCTCCGCAACCAGCTCCGCAACCAGCTCCGCAACCAGCTCCACAACCAGCTCCGCTCCGCTTCCAGCTGTGTACCTGCTCTTGCTTGACGCGAGACGTTCGTGGAGGCGATTTCGCGAAGGGAGTTCGCCTATTCTGGCGGGGTCTTGGGGGAAACTCGAGAACGAGTTTTTAAGAGATGGTCGAAATTAGGATTCGACCAAGGAGAACCGAGGAGGAAATCGACGATGAGAAGCGTGAAAGCTTCAGAGATGAGAAATTCAACGAGGTCGAGCGCGAAGGCGGTCGACGAAGAGAGGCGTGACTGCGGAGTGGAGCACGTCGAAATTCCGACGACTCGAGACGAATGTCGCGATGATGAGGCTCGCGTAGCGCGGGCACGTTAAGATTAGGACCTTGATCTGCGTGTACGGATAGGTCACTCTGATACCATGTAAGAAATAGAGTTGAAATAATTAATTAGGTAAGGAGTCCAAGGCTCTATAAGTACATGGCAAGGTGAGAGAGAATGGATGAACGGGGGAATAAGAGGGAATCCCCATTGGGATCTCCGGAATCTCCAATACGGTAATCGGAGATTGGTGGTATCACAATTGGGTGAGCTTGGGATTTGTGAGTACACCCCAATCCACTACGACATTCATAACCTAAACTATGATATAAAAGTACAAATACAAAAATGGGATTTGCAACCTATTTCTAAGAGCAGAGCCCGAGGAGGATGCGTCAATCGGGGGGGAAGTAGCGTCCAGCATAAACAGGCCAGACACCGGGTCCCGGGGGAACGTCGCAAGGGGGAAACCTGAGGCGGTCTCGGTACAGACAGTGAACCGCTCTTGACCAGGAAACGTAGTGGTGACGCCGAGGTCCTGAAAACAGCTGACACCAACTAAGTTCCAGGAGAACGAAGGGACGTGCAGGCCTGTAAGGGAACCTGAGGGGACTGCTGGACAGGGAAGGGTAGTGTAGCTACGAGCAACGAAAGGACCAGAAGAGGGGTCAGCAAGAGCGACAGCAGCAGACACGGTAAGCGGCGTGAGCGCAGTGTGGTCGCGGAATTACCAGGCAGACGCACCGGAGTCAAGTGTGAAGGACAGCGAAGCAGTAGCGGCAAACGAAGTCGGTGCGAGTGTAGAGCCTAGACTAGAGAAAGCAAATGATCCTATGTCAGACGTAGCACGGGAGTGTGTACTACACACAGGTGCAACACCTAAGCTAGAGAACACAAGGTAACAAGGTCCAGACACACTAGAAGCGTCAGCATACAGAGAATGCAGAGCAGAACTAAGCTGATCCATATCTAAATCAAACACAGGCACACCATGATGCAGCAGGCTGGGCCAGTGAAGGAGGTACGGGACCGGGCTGAGGCGGCGACGAAAGAGGTCGTCGAGGCGGCGGAAGCAACGGGCGGTCGGGCAGCTCACAACACCGAAGCCGCCGGTAGGCGCCGAGCTGCGGGGCCACCACCGCGACCACCACCTCCTTGGGCTCCTGTCCACCCCGGCGAGAGGCGGGCCCATGGCTGCTGCTGCTGCCGCTGCTGTGGCGGCTGTTGCTGCTGCTGCGACGGGTGCGGCTGCTGCTCCGGAGCACCAGCTCCAGCCCCATTGTCAGAACCACTGTCGCCGCCACCACCACCACCACCACCACCAGCGCCATCACCATGCCCTCCCTTCGGGCCGCGGTGGCCCTGGGGCTGTCGCTGCTGTGGGAAAGCGGCAGCTGCCATCTCAGTGGTAGGGGCAGCCTTTGCAATCGCGGCGGAACCGTCAGTGTACGTGCACTGGGAGGGAGAACAGCCCTGAAAGATAGGGACCGCCGCAACACCGCTCGACTGAACGATAGTGCGCTGGCGAGTCTCTATCTCAGACAGTGTAGTGACAAAGGCAGTCAGGGTGAGGTCACCAGGGTGCTGACTAAGAAAGTGGTCGCGGGCAATGGCTAAGCGGTCAGGCAGGCGCATGGCGATAAGATAAAGGGTACCGCAGAATGGTAACAGGAAGGCAGTGAGCTGGGCGGTGTTGCTAACAGCGCGGTAGCTAGTCTTTAGGGCCCAGAGGTGAGTAGCGAGGTTATCGACAGTAGGGAAAGCAGAAACATCAGGGAATAGCATAGGGAGGATCAAGCGGCCAGCGGAGGCAGAGGCAGGGGTGAAGTAGCATGCAAATATTGCATCTAGGAAGTCCTTAGCGTTTGCGACAACAGTGAAGCGCGGACGCTCAGACAGAGGAAGCGCATGACTAATGGCGAGCAGCGCTACAGCATCGCGAGAATCCCAGACAGCGCGAGCGAGCGCAGTAGCAACTAAGGCCTCACTCTCAGCAGTGGTGGGGTCAGTAGGGAGGGGATCAGGTGCAGGGGGGTGGGGTAGCAGGCCATCAACATGCATAGCCAGGGAGTGCCCATCCTGGCGCTGACCTGTCAGGTGCCAACGGAGATCGACAAGCCAGGCAGTGATGTCAATCGCGTGGTCCTCCGCGTCCAGGCGAAGGATGCCGTCCGTCATCGCGCAGCCTCAGCAGTACAGGTCTACGGCAACACAACGTTACGGCGGCTCAGCGGCAGGGCACGGCAGTGGCACGACTCAGTGGGCGGACAGCCGAGGAGGGCCCGGGGCGCACGCGAGGAGCCGGTGAGGTGCAGGAGGGGTCGGGGAGCTCACGGGTGGCAGGCGGGCGCACGAGGGGCCGGTGAGCACGAGGGGCTGGCGAGGCACGTCAGGGACCGGCGAGCGCGTGGGGGGGTGGGTAGGTGCAAGGGGCCAGCTAGGCGCGAGGGGCCGGCTAGGCGCAAGGGGCCGACGAGGTGCGAGGGGCCGACTAGGCGCAAGGGGGAACGGTTGGGTGCGAGGGGCCGACGAGGCGGGAGGGGTCGGCTAGGCGCGAGGGGCCGGCTATGCGCAAGGGGCCGACGAGGCGCAAGAGGCCGACTAGGTGCGAGAGGGGATGGCTGGGCACGAGGGGCCGGCTAGGCGCAAGGGGCCGACGAGGCGCGAGGGGCCGACTAGGCACGAGAGGGAATGGCTGGACGCGTGGGGCCGGCTAGGCACGAGGGGTCGGCTAGGCAGAAGGGACCGGCTGGGCACGACGGACCGGCTAGGCGCGAGGGGCCGGCTAGGCGCGAGGGGCCGACGAGGCGCGATGGGCCGACTAGGCGCGAGGGGCCGGCTAGGCGCGAGAGGGGACGGCTGGGCGCAAGGGGCCGACTAGGCGCGCGGGGACGGCTAGGCGCGGTAGGCTAGGGCGAGGGGCGGAAGCGGGTGGGTGGACCTAACCTACGCATGATACCATGTTAGAATACTAGAATAGATTAGAATGAAGAGAGTACAGGAAGATATAGGGTTGGGCGTGTACTCTTTAAGAGCAGAATTCAATCTACCTTATAACTATACATATAAACATATATGTAAGTTGACAGTTGAGTGGTCCTTCGCTAAAATCAGGCAGGTATTCCGAGGAGAATTGTACGCAGTGAAGTTCGATCCGACCTAAGAATCAGAAACTACAAAAATATAGGCCTGATTAGTCAAGCTAAAAAAAAATGGTATGAAAAAACATGCCACGCCCAAAACCCGACCCTGAAAAACATGTGTTCTCACATGGGCGGCCCTGAGCAATCAGCCTCCCTAAAACCAATCCGCAGGCTTGGTACCAAGAGGATATGGGAGTGATAACCACAAATCAAAGGAGAATATAGAAAGCAACTTACCGTTCATTCAAACTGTAGTTGCTGTTCTATTTATCCATGGTGCTCCCGAGATTTCCGTTACAGATAGCCAGTCAAACTGTTGTGCTGTAGGAAAGCAGCGCGCCACTGTGTCGGGACTCAAGCGTCAACAGCACATTTCCCAAACCTCGCGATTCGCTGTGGGGCCCAAAGCGCTCAGGGTCACTGTAAATTTGGCCCTTGCTTCTGTTGTAACAGACTTCATGAGCGAAGTTAGCCTGAACCTGATCACTTTCGTTATTGGCGCTTTCGTCGCACTAGCTCTGTCGTCAAGGACTTTGCGACCCAGGTGAAAAACCAGACACCAAGACAGTCGCGTCGCCAGCGTACCTCGTCGCTCTCTTTCCATCAGCAAGAGCAGTTTCCAGGTCATCAGATTGTCGCACACGGTATGACAGTCGCCACCCTAACGTAGCAGTTTCGCTGAACCTCCCTCCCCAAACATAGCCACCCAGGCCGGACCTCCCTCCGTGCCCTGGGCTTTCTCACCTTCACCGGCGATCTTCACCGTCCACCTGACCTTGGTCGCACATTCCAGCTTATCTGACCGTCCGTAATCCCTCTACATTGTTACTTGCGGGCGCCACCGAACCTGGACGCATAACATGCCATGACTGGGCAGCCTCGACACCTGACCGAAGAGACCTTGGGTTTGTTGCCTTGGGAAACGCGTGTGACTGCCTGACCGAAGTCTGGACTCTAGTGGTCTGGTAAGCCCAAGGCCTGGGTTCGGAAGCCCAGGGAGTTTTTGACAAAGCTCAAGGAGGTTTTGCAAGCCCAAGGGTGTGGCTGGAAAAGCCCGAGGAATTGCAAGTTCAAGGTGCTCGGATTGAATGAAACACCCAAGGTCTTCTGCCTTATACGCCTCTGCCCCAGGTGTTAGGTTTGGTTGGCTCAGTGCCGAGTAAAATTTCCTTGTCCAACTACAGAAGCAAACGCCATGGAATGCAGTGCATGCAAGTATGCCTCGTGCTTCATGCAAGTGCAAACAATGCTCAAGCTTCTCGGACCTGCTTCCTCGCTCACTACGCACCACGCAAGTGTGGCGACTTAGATGCAGGATCCAGGCCCTAATGTCTCCTTTAGAACGTGTCCAGTACATTCAGACTGCTTCCTATCTATCTCCTTTTGTCCAGAAGCGCAATAGATCTGCTCGTGTATGATATATTGTAGCCGCCTCTCTCCAGCGTTTAGTTCTGACCCTACGGCACTAGTCTTGAGTTCTAATTTTAGGTACTATTCCACAGCAAAATCTGATTCGCGAAACACGAGCTTACTCCACCTTTTTACAGCATGGCTTCCTCCGGCGATCCTCACCAATCAGACATGTCTAACTCAGACTCCTCGCGTCAAGGCGTCCACGTGGACGGCCTATTCCAGCCGTCTCAGACGCTCGATCCCGTTTCTTCCAGCCCCGTCGATTCGCAAACAGTGTCGACGCCATGGCCGCGCGCCGTGTCGGATCATCTCATCCAGATTGCATCCGCCTCGCCTGAAAAAATAACCCCAGGGGGGGTAACATCTGAGTCCGATGTCTCTCCGTCGCTCCCGCCGCTTCTTCCGCCTACATTTGCGACGCCGCTGCAGCAGCTGGCGTCAAATGCTGCGACGGCAACACAAGAGCCGCGCACTCAACCGCCCACTCTCTCCGCACCGCAGCTATCCGCGGCTGGCGGAGGCGCAAGCGGACGGGCGCAAGCTTCCCCGCAGGCAGACTTCCGCGTGTACCTCCGCCCGTTCGCCTCTCCGCCTCCCGTGCGGCTGGACGTGGATGGCGGAGACGGTTTTGCGCAACTTTTCGCCCCCGTGGATCCCGCCGTTTCTTCCGCTATTCCCCCTGCTTTCGCGCTGGACCCGCGGTCAGAGGACGGAGAACGGGGAGCGGAGGGCAGCGCTCTCCTGTCGCGCAGCTCCCCAATCGGGGGAGTTGCGGGGAACGGAGAAGGCTGGCGCGGGCTTAGGCCGGAGAGGGTTCGGGGGAGCGGAGAGGGCTGGGGGGCGCGGAGAGATTTTCTGGAGAGTGCGGTGAATGGATTTTGGACGGGGGAAGGGGCGGAACAGGGGGAGGAGGGGGACGAGGGGGAGGATCAGGGGCTTCTGTTTGCGCAGGGTATGCAGCAGCAGCGGGCGGACCGGTACCCGCAACGGCGGGAGGAGCATCCGCATCACCCACAGCAGCCGCAGCAGCCTCAGCAGCTGCGGGGATTGGAGTCGTCGGCACTGGACGGTTGGGGGCAGCAGCTGCCACGCCGGCCGTCAAGACCTAGCGTCCAGGCTGCCGGCCGTTCGCGATACGCCGGCCGGCGCGTGCGCACGAGCCCGTTGAACTCGGGCCTCTGGGTGGCGGTGGAGTTTGTCTTTATCTTAGGTCAAATCATGGCGACCGCGTTTATTATTTTCGCTTCTATGGATGAAAAGCCGAGTGTACCTTTGCGAGCGTGGGTGCTGGGATACGCGTTAGGGTGTGTCCTGTTACTGCCACTGTTGTACTGGAGGTACACTCATAGATACACGCGGCATCACTCACAGGCTGCTGGGGCGGATGCGGGCCGTCCGATGCGTCAGATGTACGGTCAGCAGTCGCTGCAGCAGGGCTTTCCAGAGCAGCGGCTAAGGGACGAGGAATATAGGGTGCTGTTGCAGCGGCAGCATTGCGAAATGCTGTCGCGCTTGCAGCAACCGCAACAGCAGCAGCAGGAACAGCAGCAGCAGCCGCAGCCCCAGCAGCAGCAGCAGCAGCAGCAGCAGCAGCAGCAGCAGCAGCAGCAGCAGCAGCAGCAGCAGCATCAGCAGCCGGACTTGACTCCCTCACCATCCGTTTCCCAATCGCCTAGCTCCCCCCTATCCCACCTTGCATCCCCCACACAAGAACCAGCCAATAGCAGTGCGCCATGTGGCTCCCCCCGGTCCCCTCTCCTCGAGCTGGCATCCGCTTGTCCGCATTCCCTCGCCCAGGCGTCAGAAAGGGCGCAGCAGCCGCCTGTTATAGATGGAGAGCTCATAGCGGGGCATGCTGTTGCAGGGCAGCTTATACCGGGACAGGCGGGCGCGGGGCGGGCTGTAGCAGGATGTGGTGTAGATGGGCAGCTTGTAGCGGAGCAGGCTGTAGCGGGGCAGCTTGTAACGGGGCGGCTTATAGTTGGAGAGAGAGAGGCACTGGTGTCCGGGGGAACAGGTGGGGGAGTGGGGAGAAGTGCGGAGGGCATTCGGGGGAGGGCGGAGGGCGCAGTGTGGAATGCGTCCGGCGTAGGGGCGAATGGGGAGGGCGCGGGGGGGAGTGACGAGGGCGCGCGGTTCTGGGAGACCTATGTGGCGGAGAGGGCGATAGCAGCGGGGGAGATGGCGCAACGCGGACCAGGGGAGCAGGGGCGCGGATGGTGGGGGTGCCTCTGGGGTTTCCTCAAAGAGGCGGCCGATGACTGGCGAGACGAATCCAGGTAGGATTCTGTTCCAGGTGCCTTTTCAGGCGTTTTTAAAGGTGCGTTTTCTGTTTTGGCGTAGCAACAGGCATGCCCACTCCGTCTCCCTCCCTTTCCCCTTCCATCCCCACCCCCGTCTCCCTGCCCCTTCCCCGCCCTATATCCGCCCCCCCCTTTTCCCCCCCCCACCGCCTGCAGGCTTGTGGTGATGGTGGAGGGTTACAAAGTTACTGTGGACTGCTTCTTTGCTGCGCCGACTCTGCTGCTCACTTTCTCGTCCCCTAACCCTCCCTCTCCATTCCCCCAGGCTGGTGGGAATGGTGGAGCGTTACAAGGTCACTGCGATGTGGACGCTTCTTTACAGACTGGTTTGTTTGCTGCTAATCGGTTTCCCCCCTTTCCCTTCTCTCCCCCCCCTTGCAGGCTGGTGGTGATGGTGGAGCGCTACAAGGTCACTGTGGTGTGGACGCTTCTTTGCAGTCTGGTTTGTCCTCCGCATTATCTGGGTCGTTGGAGCCAACTCTGCTGCTCCCCGCTCGTCCTTCCCCCCTCGCCCCTGTTCCGCCCGCCCTCGCAGGCTTGTGGTGATGGTGGAGCGTTACAAGGTTACTGTGGACTGCTTATTTGCAGTCTGGTTTGTGCTTGGCAATATCTGGGTCTTTGGTGCCAACTCCGCAGCTCTGGCGGCCCCAAAACTGTACAAGTGAGTGATTGGGACTAGACGCTACAGGTAACCTTGTTTGCAGTCTGGTTTGTCCTCGGCAATATCTGGGTCTTTGGCTCCAATTCCGCTGCTCAGGCGGCTCCAAGGCTGTACAAGTGAGAATCAGGGAATCGCTTTAGTGAGAAACCGGGTAAGCAGTTGGGGCAGGTAACCTTCCTTGCAGTCCGGTTTGTGCTCGGCAATGTCTGGGTCTTTGGCGCCAAGCCAACTCCGCCACTCAGTCCGAGCGTCCCCTTCCCCCCTTTCCAAACCTCCCAAACGCCAGCGTGGTGTCTCTGACCCTCGGCTGCATCAGCTACGCCATGCGGTTCCTCCTGTGCGCCACCATCTGCTGCTGCCTCTGATGCTAATGCCACCCCCTCCCCTTTCTCCACCCCCCCCTTCCTCTCCCCTTTCTCTGCCCTTCCTCTCCCCCCCTCCCCCCCCCACCCCCCAAACGCCAGTCTGAGCGTGGTGTTTCTGACGCTCAGCTGCATTAGGTACGCCATGCCCTTCCTCCTCTGCTGCTGCCTTTACTGACCGATTCCTCCCTCTCTTCCCTGTACTCTTCCCCCAAACCCCCCCCCCTCCCCTGGCCCCCCCCGGCCCCCCCACCCCCCAGTCTGAGCGTGGTGTTTCTGACGCTCAGCTGCATCAGCTACGCCATGCCGTTCCTCCTCTGCGCCACCATCTGCTGCTGCCTGCCCTGCATCATCACGCTCATGGGCTTCGACAACGACATCGCAGCCATCTCGCCCGCCTCCAAGGGCGCTGCCCCTGATGAGATCGCCTCCCTGCCGTGCTTCAAGTATAAGGCGCTGAAGAAGAGGAGGCCGGGTGGGGGGACTGGTGGGACTGGTAGGAGTGGTGGGACTGGTGGGACTGGGAAGGGTGTTGAGGCGTGTCGAGGGGCAGGGGGAGGGAGTGAGGGGAGCGGGAAGGGCAGCAGTAAGGGTTGTGGTGGGGGGGTTGGGACCGGTGAGGGAGGGGAGAGGGACGGGGGAGGGAATGCAAGAGCTTGCCACCACAGTTGCAGCAGCAGCAACAGCAGCTTTGGCGGCAGCAGTACATTCGATATGATCTCTGACTGCAGCGTGTCTAGCAGTGGTAGCGATGGCTCCTTGTCGCCTGAAGGGAGCCCCATTAGCAGCAGCAGCAGCGGTGGTGGTGGCAGCAACATCAGCACCAGCAGCAGCATCGCCACCACTGCCGGCAGCAGCAGCAGCAGCAGCTCCCCAAGCCTGAGGAGAAACCGCAGGCGATCACAGCAAGCACTGGTAACCAGGGGGGCGACGGACCATGGCCCGAGCACAAGGGAGCTGGAAGCCACAGTCGGAACAAGGGCGTACAGCAGCAGCAACCTCAGCAGCAGCAGCAGCAGTGTGGCCACCAGCGCCAGAAGTGCCGTTGGCAGCAGTGCTGGCGGGGGAGGGAGCGCGGGGGAGGACTCCGACAGTGATAGCTGTTGCTCAGAAGAGGTCGGACTGCTGTGGGCGGGGACGGACAAGGAGCGGATGGTTCAAGGGGAGGACGCTGTAAGCTATTGGTTCTGTCTCTTGTTTCTCTTTGTGCTCTTCTTTGCTGTGGGGGGGTTTTCCTAGAGATCGGGCTCCTCTGGGCGGGGGGGGACAGACAAGGAGCGGATGGTGCAAGGGGAGGACGCTGTAAGTTGAAGCTTTCATCCCCACCTTTCTCCTACTGCTGTGCTCCTTTCCTGTGAGGGGGAGTCGTCAGATGGTGATATTGTTTGCTCTCATGAGGTTGGGCTGCTGTGGGCGGGGACGGACAAGGCGCGGATGGTGCAAGGGGAGGACGCTGTAACTTGATGCTGCTGCCTTCTTCTCCTAGCAGTCGCCTTTTTGTTTCGTTTCGCTGCCCATCTCCTATCCTTCCTGCTCCTCGGTTGTCTGTCTACCTCCTTGCACCCGTCTCCTGTCGCCCCCTCTGCTGTCTCTCCTGACTCCCCTCCCTCTCGTTCCTGAGATTACTCCTTCCTGGCATTCCCCTTTCCCCAACCCCCCACATTGCAGTATGCTCATCGGCACTTTCCACTGCCAGCTCTCAAGCTACCACTCACCATTCCGTCCTCACCTTGCTGCTCTCCCCTCTCTTCACCATGGTTACCCGGTTACCAGGTGTGCTGCATCTGCTTGGGGCATTACAAGGATGGGACCGAGCTGAGGCAGCTGCCCTGCAACCACCACTTCCACCAATCCTGTGTCGACACGTGGCTGCGCATCAACGCCAGCTGTCCGCTCTGCAAGGTGGACATCAGTGGACGGCCAAAGGAGGCAGTGGATCCTGGTGAGGCGCTGTTGACTCTGCTGTGAAAATGGAACTTCTGTGTAGCTTATTTCGATTATTTATTGTATAGCACATGCTGCAATGCATGTGATGTAGCTGCTCTTTGCTTTAACATCCTTGTCTTAAAGCCCTCGTCTTCCCCCTTTGTGTTCCCAACCCAACCAATATCGTCCGTGCAGAGCTTGCGAACGAATTCGCAGCAGCCTCATTTGTCTAAACTGGCGCTGACACGGCATGCCCTTTGCTTGCCGTTTTTATTTGATTTTCCTCTCCTAACTCTTATGTTGCTTGATTGTTGTACATTATTGCTTGCGGAAGCTAAAGCTTCCATTTGTTGTGATTGAGATATACAGGTAATTGACTTTGATTAGCCATCACTGTGAAAAAACTGGTATGAGATTGTATTGTAGCCCCTAATAAAAATCGTGCCGAACCTTTGAAATCGGCTCGGAGGGTTCCGCAACCTCTCGTCAGTTTCAACGCCACCGATGTGCTCCGTGCTGATTGGTCGTGCCGTTTCACATGCCAGACAGCCACCACAGACTCTCCCGCGCCGTGATTCAAAAAACGCTTCTGGCGGATTCTTCCGCAACCACGCCCCCGCCCGCGCACGCCGTTCCGCCTCCGCTCCCCGCCCACCTCACCACTCTCGTGCACCTTGACTTGTTCCTTGCGCATTGTGACGGGGAGAGGGGAGACATTCCGCCTTTTGCCTTCCCCCTACCCCTTCTTTCCGCCATGTAGACTTCCCCTCATGGCAGCCCTGCAGCCTCCCGCCATGAGTTTCCTCCACCTGGCCATTGTTGGCTTGGCATTGGCAGCCCTGCCTGGCCATTTTATGGCTTGGCATTCTGTGGTTATGTCTTTCCTTGTCACATTCTGACCTTGTTATCTCCATATTTTAGAATCTACTAGAAGTTGGTAGCTTCTGCGCTTCCCTATTCCACGTCTCGTTTATCTCCCGCTTTCGTGATGGTATTTGGTCGATAAAATACCCGGAATTGGCTAGGATGCTTGAAGAGACCAAAAGTACGGTGGCGTCCCGCTCCAATTTAGACGCTTTATTAGAACCCTGTAGTGACGGGCTTCGTGTCAACGAATGAAGCCCTAAATACAATAGTGTTTTCTTTCTAGCCAAGTTAGAAAGAAAGACTAAAGTTCCGCATTAAGGTTTCTTTCTTTCTAGGTCTTGCATGCAAAATCCCCTGTCCTTTCATCTGAGAGGCTAAGTAAGAAACGCTCACACATCGCGACAACATGGCCGCCTCCTTGTGTTCCTCCGCTTGTCCCTTGTCTCCCCCAATTAAAGTCCAGGCTCCAACCCCCGGATCTTCCGCCGTGATGTCCGCTTCGCTTAGTCCATCCTCTTCTAGTCCGTTCTCGTCAAGTCCGTGTTCGTTAAGTCCGTTCTCGTCACGCGTTCCCGTCGCTAGACCTACTCGTTCCAATGTCCTATCTTCGAAAACCCATCTCTCGTCTATATTTCCTTCGTCAAACGGGAGTTTGCATTCAAGATTAGTCATGAGAGGGTCCCCTTATCCCGTTATAGCGCCAACCGCCGGAATTGCATCTCTCGTCCTCCAGTCCCCGTCGCACATTCGTCGACGTGTTTCCAGGGGTGTGACGGATGGCTCCACGTGTCAGTTCCCGATTCGCAGATTAAACTCCTGTAGCTGTTTCGCGAAATCATCTCAGAGGGTTCGCGAGCGGCTATCATCGGTAAGCGGGTCGTTAAAGAGACGAGGAAGGCGAGGAAAAGTAGGCAGGAACGCTCCGTGTTTCTATGCTGGAAGTACATTAGAGATTCTACTGTTTTACCAGATTCTTTCACTGCGCTCTATGCTGGAAATTGCAATGGATGTGGTACCATATTATGTTTTTTTATTAATGTGTAATCTTTGCCCATCTTCTCTCTGCCTTTCTTGTTATTCTCGTTCGGCCTTCATGGCTGTCCTCTTCTTTCCCCTTTTGCATTCTACACCCCTTCCGCGCCCAGGCTTTAAGGAGGGATTTTCAAGAGAACGTCCCGTCAAATGCCCGCGCAAATGCCCGCGCAAATGTGCGCGCACGGGCGTATGTGGGTCCTCTCACAGGCTCTTCAGATGCGGAAAACGTGGAGGGGCTTGCAGGGGAAGAGGAGCTGGGAACAACGACGCACGCGGAATGGGAACCCAATGACGTGGAAAAGCACCGCGCTGACGTGGAGAAGTGCCGTGATGACGTGGAGCAGGTCGCACGAGATTGGCGGGTGGAGGAAGGTGGAGGGGAAGCGGAGTCAGAAGCAGCAACGGGAGCAGCAGCGTCAGGAGCAGGGACAGCAGAAGCAACAGCAGGAGCAGCAGCAGCAGCAGGAGCAGGAACAGTAAGCGAAGAGGCGGGGCTAGGAGTAGAATCAGACATTGCGTGTGGCGAAGGGATTGGAAACGGGGCGGTTATGGATGGCAGTGCGACTGATGCGGGTCAATCCAGGTGGGGATTCGACCAGCAGCAAGAGCAGCAGGAAGAATTGGAGGATCAGGAGCATCAGCAGCAGCAGAATCAGCCGCAGCAACAGGAGCAGCAGCAGTTTGAGGAGCAGCGGAAGCAACAACCGCAGTATAGCCATCTGCAGGATGCTCAGTGGCAAGAGCAACATGCACAGGAAAACTACTGGGCAGATCAGCAAGAGCAGCAGCAACAAGAGCAGCAATTTGAGCAGGAGCAGCAATTTGAGCAGCAACAGCAGCAATTTGACCAAGAGCAACAAGCACAGGCAGAGCATTGGGCAGCTCTGCAGCAGCAGCAGCAGCGGCAAGAGCAGCAGCAATTTGACCAAGAGCAGGATGCGCAGTGGAAAGAGCAACAAGCACATGCAGAATACTGGGCAGATCAGCAGCAGCAGCAGCAACAAGAGCAGCAATTTGAGCTGCAACAGCAGCACTTAGAGAAACAACTAGAGCAGCAGGAGCAGCAACAACAGGATGCGCAGAGGCAGGAGGAACAAGCACAGGCAGAATACTGGGTAGGGCAGCAACGGCAACAGCAACAAGAGCAACAGCAAGAGCAGCAAGGGCAGCAGCAGCAGGACGCGCAGTGGCAGGAACAACAAGCACAGGCAGAATACTGGGCAGAGCAGCAACAGCATCAGCAACAGCAACAACAAGAGCAGCAAGAGCAACAGCACCAGCAGCAGCAGCAATACGAGCAGCAACAGCAGCAGGAACAGCAGCAGGATGTGCAGTGGCAAGAGCAACAAGCGCAGGCGGAACGCTGGGCGCAGCAGCAGCAGATACAGCCTGAGTACCAACAGCAGCAGGGGGAGGAGGAGCAGCAATTAGAGCGTGAGTATCAACTGCATGAGCAGCAAGCACAGGCAGAGGGCTGGGCGCAGCAGCAGCAGCAGCAAATGGAGCCTTCTGAGTACTCGTCGCAGCAGCAAGTGGCCATGGAGCAGCAGCAAGACTACTCGTCGCAGCAGCAAGAGTACTCGTCGCAGCAGCAAGAGTACTCGTCGCAGCAGAAAGAGTACTCGTCGCAGCAGCAAGTGGGCACGGAGCAGCAGCCAGTGGGCACGGAGCAGCAGCCAGGGGTGATGGGTGTTGGATTCCTGGACTATAGTGACGAGGAGGAAGGGGATGAGGAAGCTGCGTGGGTGCTTCTTGATGTCCATGGTATGCCCACGTGCTTTACCCAACCCATCCTCTGCGTGCCTCCCTCTCCCTCTCCCCCCTCCCTCTTCTGCCTCCCTTCCCCATCCCATTCTTGCGCTCGCCTCCCTCTCTCCCCCGTATACCCCCTTCCTCCCCTCCTTCGTCTGCCTCCTTCCCTACCGCATGTCCCCATCCTCTCTGTCCGCATGTCCTTGCTTTCTGTTCTCCCTCCCCGCCCCTCCTCCCCCCCCCCACACACCCCTTTTTTTCAATGGAGCAGCTGGAGCGGCAGGCGCAGAGCCTGAGGGAGCAGATCCAGGACCCAGAGAGGGAGAAGCAGGCGCTTTCCTGCCTTCCTTCTTTGCCTTGCCCCCTCTCGTCCTCCCATTCTTCCCCCCCTCGTCCCTCACATCTCTGTTTCTTCACCTCCCCTCTTCCCCCCCCTCCTCCTTCTCCCTTCCCCCTCCCTCCCCTCCCCCTCTTCCTTTGCAGCTTTGAAGCAGAGCACGAGGAGGACACGGTTCTCTTCCGGTTCAGGTCAAGGGAGCAGGTGGAAGCCAGGGTGAAACAGTTGTAGCGGCAGGCACTGCATAAATGCCCTCGTCACCCCCCGCCCCCTCTCTCTCTCCTTTTTAATCCCTGAAGCAGAGCTCTCTTTCGGTTTGGCTCTAGGGAGCAGGCAGAGGCGCAGGTGGAGCAGCTAGAGCGGCAGGCACAGAGCCTGAGGGAGCAGATCCAAGACGCAGAGAGGGAGAAGCAGGCGCTTCCCTGCCTTCCTTCCTGCCTTGCCCCCTCCCTTCCTCCCTTTCTTCACGCCCCGCATTCCTCACATCTCTCGTTTTTTCCCCCCTCCCCCCCATCCCCTCCTTCTCAACCCTAGAGCAGAGCACGAGGAGGATACCGTTGTGTTCAGGTTCGGCTCGAGGGAGCAGGCGGAGGCCAGAGTGGAGCAGTTGGAGCGGCAGGCGCAGAGCCTGAGGGAGCAGATCCAAGACGCAGAGAGGGAGAAGCAGGCCCTTCTCACATCTCCCTTGCCTCCCCTTCCCCCCCTCCTACCCCTCTTGCAAACTCTGAAGCAGAGCACGAGGAGGATACCGTTGTGTTCAGGTTCGGGTCGAGAGAGCAGGCGGAAGCGAGAGTGGAGCAGTTGGAGCGGCAGGCGCAGAGCCTGAGGGAGCAGATCCAAGATGCAGAGAGGGAGAAGCAGGCGCGGCAGCAGCTGCAGCTGCAGTTGCAAAAGGAACAGCAGGAGCAGCAGGAGTGGCAGGAGCAGCAGGGGCAGCAGCAGCAGGAGCAGCAGGAGCAGCAGGAAGGGGGAGGGGGGGCTGGCGTGCAATTTGTATCGAGTCAAGAGCCGGTTGGGGTGCAAGAGATGCAGTGGGAGGAGCAGGAGCTGCGGCAGCTTATGGACCAGCAGAGGGAGCACCAGCAGCAGCAGGTGGAGTTTGAGTGGAACGAGCAGCAGCAGCAGCAGCAGCAGCAGCAGCAGCAGCAGCAGCAGCAGCAGCAGGGGTATGGAGCAGGTGAGGAGCAGGGGTTCAGAGAGGAAGGGCAGATCCAGCAGCGATTTGAAGGGGAGGGAGAAGCCCAGCAGAGTGAAGCCCAACAGAGTGGAGCCCAGCAGGGGTACATACCAGAGGAGCAGGGCGAACAGGGATTCCAGGAGGAGCAAGACGTATCTTTGCAAGGGTATGAGGGGCTATCTCTGCAGCAGGCCTTGCAGGGGCAGGAGGGGCAGCGGGGGGATCAGGGCATTCAGGGCGCTCAGGACGTTCAGGGCAGTGCGTCTCCTGCGGATTGGGAGGCCACTGGTCGTCCTGGCACCGTGCTTCTAGAGGAGGAGGAGGTTTTCCCTATCCCGGTCCCAGTGCTGCAATCCGAAGTGGAAGGGGTGCAGTTTGCAGTGCAAGAGCAAGCGGCACAGGAGCTAGGAGCACCAGAGGAGGCAGCACAGGGGCACACAGGACAAGAGCAATATGTAGAGCAGGGAGCAGCAGGGCAAGGAGCGGAGGCAGGGGCACAGGAGGGAGGGGCTTTTGCAGGGGAAGAGGTGGCAGACGAAGCACCTCTGTATCCGGAGAGCGAGAGGTATGCTTCTGCTACCCCTACTCAGATTTGGGACGCCTGATAGCTAGGTATGATGTTACCCCTGCCCAGATTGGAGCGGTTACTGCTGCTAAGAGCTCTTGCAGGGGAAGAGGTGGCAGGAGAATCCCAGCCGAATCCCACACCTCCCGTGCCTACTCCGCTTGCTAGAAACACGCACGGGACAGCACCGGGCTGCACTGCACCTGACTGCACCTGACTGCAACCCCCCTTCCTCCTCGTTATCTCTCATCTCCCTCCGCTTGAATGGCACTCCATCCTGGCCGTCCATGCTCCCGAGAGGGCTGGTGACGTGGTGGTGCACCAGCTGCTGCTTCAGACGCATCCAAAAGCCCCTACTGTGCTGACTCCCCCCTACTGTGCTGACTCCCTGTCTCTTCTCCTCCCTTCATTTCACCCCAGCCTGGCCATCCAGGTGCCTGAGGGCAGGGAAGACGTGGTGCTGCATCAGCTGCAGCTGAAAGCCCGACCAATCTCAGCCTGTTCTTTCCCCTCATGTGTAATCCACCCTGTCTCTCTTCTCCCCTTATTTCCCCACAGCCTGGCCATCCAGGTGCCTGAGGGCAAGGAGGACGTGGTGCTCCACCAGCTGCAGCTGAAGGTTGGCGTCTACAGCGTGCCCCACCCTGCCCGGGTATGTTGTGTTTCTTACTGGGTATGCTTTGCTACCTGCCAGCCAGGTAGTGTTTTGCTCCCTTTCTGGGTATGTTTTTGTGTCCTGCCCGGATATGTATTGCAACTCGGGTATGTCTTGTGGACCCTGTTATCCTAACTTTGGAGCCCAATCGTGATACCGTTTTGCAGGCATCAAGGGGGGGCGGCGACCCTGACTTGGTGGAGGGCAACTGGCTGGGGGTGGCGGATGGCATATCTGTTCAGTAGGCCGAGTAGCATAAAGCCTCTGTTTCCCCCACCCGCTGTGACCGGTCATCCTTTACCTCCCCACAGGCATCACGAGGGGGCGACAATGCTTACCTGGTGGAAGGGAACTGGCTGGGCGTGGCGGATGGGATAGCTGATGGCTCGGATGGCTAACTGCAATGCAAGCCTTTGTTGCCTCTACCTGCCACTTTCCTCCGACCTCTCTACCTCTTCTCAGGCATCACGAGGGGGCGACGATGCTTACCTGGTGGAAGGGAACTGGCTGGGCGTGGCGGATGGCATTGGCACGTGGACGGACCAAGGTAAGTGCTGGGAGTGTTTCTTGGGTGAGGCGTGAGTTCTTTGGTTGCAGCATGCACAGGTTGAGTGGTCTGTACGGCACCTCCACTGTGGCCGCTGCACTCCCACCTGGCAACAGGCTGGGCGTGGCAGACGGCATTGGCACATGGACAGACCAAGGTGAGGGGTGGGTTTCTTGGGTGAGGGGTGGGTTTCTTGGGTGAGGGGTGGGTTTCTTGGGTGAGGGGTGGGTTTCTTGGGTGAGGGGTGGGTGTTATGGCTGTTTCTGGGGTTTGTATGGGTGCAGCCTGCTCGTGTTCAGGCGTCTGGAGAGCCTGTTAGCGTTGAGGCGTATGAAAAAGCTTGCTCACCTCGGCCCTAACACATGTGGACCTGTGTCAACGTGATCGCTGCCCCTCCCTCTCTCCCCTCCTTCCTCCGCCTTCTGAGGCGCCTCAAAAACTTAGTTGCACCATGGGCGTATGGTGGTATATACGCCAGCGTATACACGCTCGGATTGGGACCTTGTACACGCTACGTATACGCTAGTCCGGGCAGGCAAAAAAAATCCGGGCAGGGGCAAAAACACTGCGGAAAGGGGGGGGGGGGGGGGAGCGGGGGACCGTTCCACTGCAACAAAAATTCAGAAAACATAGACTTAGGCATAATAAATAAGCATCGTGCCAAGGCTTCGGAGGCGTCAAGCGGACTCAGAGGTGTCGCCGTGGCTTAACCTTTTTTTCTAAGCGATTTCGAGCTAACTAAGTTCGGAAACGACCTAAAAGCCGTGGGGAATGAGGCTGGTAAAGGTAAGCTACGCTATGCGCATTAAACTAGGTTTAGCGCACACTGCTGTGAGAGAGGAAGAGAGAAGTTCGGAGGGGTGGTTGGGTTGGGTAGAGACATTAGGGTGCAGTGCGGTGGAGGGGGGCGAAATGGTTGGAAGTTGGGGTTGCTGCAAAATTTGGTATGTCGCAAGTTCGCGACACCCTGTTTGGCTTTGCCTACTTGCGAATTGACGAGCAAAAAAATCCTGATTTTTTACCGGGCTACCCTTGAAATTTCGGCCAAGTGTATGGCGTATATACGCTCGTATAGCGTATAGCGTATATACGCTATACGCTCCCCAATTTTTGCGTATAGTGCAACTAAGCTAAAAAAATCGTCTCCTTCCTAACTTTGCACTGCTGCTCTTCCCAAGTGCATGAGTGACGATGATCGCTGCCCCTCCCTCTCTCCCCTCCTTCCCCCGCTTTCATCCACCAGGCTTCAACGCGTGTTTCCTCCCCATTGTTTCGCTCCCCTTCCCTCTCAAACCCAACCCCCCTCCCCTCTTAGGCATTTTCCAGGCATCAACGCGGGCCTCTACTCGCTCGCGAGAGATGATGTGGACCTGTGTCAACGTGACCCGGTCCCAGCAGGATGGGGCGGACAGTGATGGGGAGGATGGTAGTGATGCCTGTTTCCTCTTTGTGTGTCCCCCACCCCTTAACCACCAGGCATCAACGCGGGGCTGTATTCCCGTGAGATGATGTGGAACTGTGTCAACGTGATCCGCTCCCGGCAGGAGGGGGCGGACAGCGACGCGGAGGACGACAGCGATGACGAGTTTGCCGACCACCTGGACGGCAGATCCGATTCTGAGCTGGACTCCGATCACAACGACTCAGCAGGCGTCGGGCGGGGCGCGGCGGGCGGCGGCGCGGACGGCGGTGCGGGCGGCAGGAGAGGGAGGGGCGTGGGGAGCGGGGGAGGGGTGGTGAGCGGGGTGGGGGCGGGGGGCGATGACTACGACTATGGGTACTATGAGGAGGAGGAGCTTGATCCCATGGATCCCAAGGGGGTGATTGAGGAGAGCCACAGCCGCACGGATTTACGGGGATCCTGCACCATCACTCTGGCAGTGCTGGATAAAGATGTGAGTGGGGTGGGGCGTTTGCCGGGTAGGTGGGGGGGGGGGGGGGGAGGAATATGACTGTGGGTATTATGAGGAGGATGAGCTGGACCCGATGGATCCCAAGTGAGTGATAAATGAGAGTCACAGCAGCACGGATTTGAGGGGTTCGTGTACCATCACACTCGCAGCGCTGGATAAAGATGTGAGTGTTGATGTGGTGGGGCAATCATTCCTCGTGTGTTAGACCCGATGGACGGACCCCAAGGGCGCAGCACTAGGCAGCTGCGGGTTCATGCTGCTGAGGAGGGGCGAGCTGGTGATTCGATCGGACAGGGCTGCCACTGCTACCCTCCCGCTCTCACCTTTCCTCTCTCTCCCCTCTCTCCCTTCCCCTCAGCGCCTGCGGGTGGCCAGCATAGGCAGCTGCGGGTTCGTACTGCTGAGGAGGGGCGAGCTGGTGATTCGGTCGGAGCGCATGGAGCACTCGTTTGGCAACCCCTTCCAGATAGGCCACGAGGCGGGGGACGGCCCAGACTGCGCCAAGGTGAGCTTTGAGTTAAGGTCAGCATTGCACGAAGTAGATTGTGCGAGATAGGATGCGAGGCGGGGGACGGGTCAGACTGCGCCAGGGTGAGCATTTTGGCAATCTGTTCCTCTTTGTCACGATCGTGCGTTGAATGGAGACCCCCTCCCCCCTCCTGCTTGACTCCGCCTCCTATCCACAGGACTACACTATCCCCGTGCAAGCCGGGGATGCTATCTTGCTAGCATCCAATGGGCTCTATGACAACCTGCTCCTCTTTGACTCTATCGTGCGCTGACTGATGCCCCTAACCCCCCTTTGTCTCCCCCCTATTATCTCCAGGACTACACTATCCCCGTGCAAGCAGGAGGTGCTATCCTCCTGGCAACCCACGGGCTCTTTGACAACCTGTTTCTCAACACGTTTGTGCACTGACTGAACATCTCTCTCTTCCCCCCCCTTCCCACCCAACCCCCCTCCCTCCCCCAATGCCTCTCCTTCCCATCCGCAGGATTACACTCTCCCCGTGCAAGCTGGGGACGCTATCCTGCTAGCCACCAACGGGCTCTTTGACAACCTGTTTCTCAACACCTTCGTGCGCTGACTCATACTCCCCCTACCCGCCATCCTCCCCCCCCCCCCTCATCTGTCGACAGGACTACACCATTCCCGTGCAAGCAGGAGACGCGATCCTCCTGGCGACCAACGGGCTCTTTGACAACCTGTTTCTCGACACGATCGTGCGCGTGCTGTGTGCAGCGCTGCAGGAGGGGAAGAGACCAGAGGTGAGAGGGGGAGAGACGTGAGGGTGGGAAGGGTCGAGTGCATGACTGTGTTGTGCGCGTGCTGTGTGCGGCGTGCAGGAGGGCAAGAGACGAGAGGTGCGAGATAGAGAGAGCAGGAATCGGGGATCAGACGATTGGGTAATGGGAGATGGTCACTTGGGTTGGCGCTATGTTCCTCCACACGATCGTGCGCGTGCTGTGTGCGGTGTGCAGGAGGCAAGAGACGAGAGGTGCGAGATAGAGAGAGCAGGAATCGGGGATCAGACGATTGGGTAATGGGAGATGGGGCCTGGGGGTTGTCACTTGCACGATTGTGCGCGTGCTGTGCTGTCTGCGGCGGCGCTGGGGGAGGGAAATGGAGCAGCGGTGCGTTTGTGAGGAGGGAAGAGTAGCGGAAAGAGGCCTGGAGTTGAGGGGTACTGAAGGCAGGGGACGGTGCGGCAGAGCCCTTGTTATATGCAATAGCAGCCAGAAAACTTACATCTTCCCTCCCCTCTCCTCCCCTTCCCTCCCCTTCCCTTCCCTCCCCTTCCCTCCCCTCCCCTTCCCTCCCCTTCCCTTCCCTCCCCTCCCCTTCCCTTCCCTCCCCTCCCCTTCCCTTCCCTTCCCTCCCCTCCCCTTCCCTTCCCTTCCCTCCCCTTCCTTTACCTCTCCCCCACTGTTCCGTGTGTGGCTTGCAAGCTAGTCTGTATGACGCATAAAGCAGGGGAGGGCACGGCATAGCCGACAACCGTATGCAATAGCAGTCAGTATGACTTGTCCCTTCTCTCCCCTTCCCTCCCCTCTCCCCGTCTCTCCCCCCAGTCTGTGGCTCGCAAGCTCGTGTCGATGGCACATAAAGCAGGGGAGAGCAGGGTTGAGCCGACACTGTATGCAATAGTAGCAGCCCATGTGGCTTCCACCTCCCTTTTCTCCGCTTCCCCCCCCTCCTCTCCAGTCTGTGGCTCGCAAGCTCGTGTCGATGGCGCATAAAGCAGGGGAGTGCACAGGCGAGCCGACACCATATGCAATAGCAGCTAATGTCCCTTCTCCTCTCCCCTTCCCTCCCCTCCCCTTTCCTCCCCTTTCCTCCCCTTTCTTCCCCTCCTCCCCTACCCTCCCCTTCCCTCTCCTTTCCAGTCCGTGGCTCGCAAGCTCGTGTCGATGGCGCATAAATCAGGGGAGAGCACAGTCGAGCCGACACCGTATGCAATAGCCGCTAAAGCAGCAGGGGTGAACCACGAGGGGGGGAGGAGGGACGACGTGACGGTGATAGTGGCGTACGTGCAATGAGGGGGGAAGGAGGGGAAGAGGGGAGGAGGGGAGGAGGGGAGGGGAAGAGGAGGGATGGCTTCAAAAGCAGCAGGGGTGAACCACGAGGGGGGGAGGAGGGACGACGTGACCGTTCTTGTGGCGTATGTGCAATGAGGGGGGGAGGAGGGGAGGAGGAGGAGAGGGGGGGATGTAAGGAGAGGAGGAGGGGAGAGGGGGAGGAGGGGAGAGGGGGAGGAGGGGAGGAGAGATGGCTTCGTGTACGTACTCAGGAGCACCCAAGGCAGCAGGGGTGAACCACGAGGGGGGGAGGGGCCATGTGACTGTTATAGTGGCATACGTGCAATGAGGGGAGAAATGCGGGGGGGGGGGAGAGGGGGGAGGAGGGGAAGAGGGGAGGAGGGATGGTGTGATGCAGGGGAGGGAACGGGAGAGCCGACACTGTATGCGATAGGAGCCAAGCCAGCAGGGGTGAATCATGAGGGGGGGAGGAGTGACGATGTGACTGTCATAGTGGCTTATGTGCAAGGAAGGGGGGAGGAAGGGAGGTGGCATTTCGACAGGTGCGTGCTTCTTTGTAGGCGGTTCCAGGCACCTGGAAGTGCAGCGCAGGTGCCTGGAAGGTCTCTGTAGGTAAAGGCTTTGGTGGTTGGCGATAAGCTGAGAGCAAGCAACGAGGCGGCAATGTCAAGGTGCAAGAATAAGGGGGGGAGGGCGAGGGAGGGGGCTTTTTTTTCGCATCATCCCTCTCCTCCACACCTTCCCTCCCATCCACGACACAACCCTCCATCTTTCCTCCTTGCAACCCCTCCACCTCCATCTTGCTTTGTGGTGCTCCAGACCTCAGCTTCCTGCACCTCCATGGTGCTTCGATGCGCCTTGCACCTGCCACTATCGGTGGGCCTTCGAGTCAGATCCCCCAGTAGAGCCACTCCACCTCCCACCTCCCACCTCCCACCTCCCACCTCCGAGTCTCCATCTCGTCTCCGTCTGTCCCTGCTCCCACCAGTCCATTTTCATCCGCATCATCTCAGCCGTTGATCCCCATCTCCATCGTCTGTTTGCTTCCGCCACCACTTCCACTGGCATTTTGAGCCCCCTAAAACGCCATTTCCACCACCGCAGCTCCCGTCATCGTGTCCTCTCCAAGCCACTACACGGTTTCCACCACAACACTCTCTCTCCACTGTGCGGGTCCGGTTAGGTCCGGTCTCTCTGCCGCCCGAGCTTTGCGCTGATTGTGTTGGCGAGCCTAGTGTTTTGCGAGCGAAAGGTTTCCACCAGGTGCAGGTGCAGCCTACAAGCCTGTGTTGTGTGCATCAAGTGTGCTTTGAGCTCCGCTTTTTGCAGCGTTGGTGAACGCAATTTCCATGCAAGGGTTGACCCCTAGTCGACTGTACTAGTCTGCCTTAAGTAGCAAGTTATCAGCGTGGTCTATGTTTTCTTGGCTAGTCGAGGCTAGTGCTTGTGCGCGTCTACTCGGAGTGGTGTTGAGTGTGTGACTATATGGTGTGAATGAAATCAATTGGACCAAATGTATTTGAGACAGATTTATGCGACATGTTTGCACCGATTCGCTGATCTGGTTACAATATCTTTCTTTCTGCGAAATCGCAGTTTCGCGAATCGCGAGCCCCATCTGCCGGCAATCTCGCAGTTGGATAAAAGCAGCAGCCGCTGCCATCATTTGGACATCTGCTGTAGTACCCAGGAGCGTACTGTATATTTCCCAGGCGGGTTTCTCGGTCTCATCAGGTATTTCTGGACTACGCTTGTTCATTAGGTTCTGGCTTACCAGCTCGTTCGCCGTAGATTAATCTAGATGCCGCGATAGGCGTTTGGCTTGAGCCGCTAGAAGAATCAATTGGAAGCTCGACACGAGCTTGTCGGAAATCAGATCAACGATAGATTTTTAGGGTAAGTTTCTGCCGTAGTCAGTGTCGCGAGGTTCACTTTCGTGCCTTATCCCGTCACCAGCGGACACGTTTTCTTTATGTTCGCATGAAGAGAAAAACCTCCATATTATTTCACTTTATTACGTTTTTATTCGTCTAACTTTTTTTGGCCCGCATGATCCCTTGTCCTCCTTGTTTTCCGCATAGGTTCTTCGCCGTCCTCGACGAGCTCGTATAATCTCCATCGCCAAACTCGGCGAAATCAGCGAACTTTAGCCAAATGTCGCACAGGAACCGAGACTTGTCGCGAGGCAGCGGCCGTCAGAACCCTCCCTCAGGCCACTCGCAGCGCGGAATCATCCAGTCCCAGCCTCAGCACCCCTCCGGTCCAAACTTACCGGCCGGCGCACCTGGAACCGTCTATCAAGCCAGACATGCCGGCCAAGCTCCCCTGCCCGTCCAATTTCAAGGACCCGCCGGCCAGCCGCCATTTCTCGTCCACCAGGCCGGACCTCCGTTCGGTCCCGGGCCTGGCTTCCAACCCGGACTCGCAGGTCCGGGCCCGGTCCAGGTGGTGGTTCGGGGACCGGCTCCCCTCCCGGGGATGCCTGCTCCGCAACCCCCTGCCGCTCAGAATGTCGCTGGCCAGCAGATGGAGATAAAACTTGCCGCCCAGCAGGGGGACATTCAGCAGCTGCTGATGGAGAATCAACGGCTGGCGGCGACCCACGTGGCGCTGAGGCAGGAGCTGGCGGCTGCTCAGGGGGAGATCCAACGGCTGAAAAACGCCGTTGGAGAGAAGGATCAGGTGATCCGAGGGCTGATGGATACGAAGGCGAAGCTGGAAGCAGACCTGAGAGGCGCAGGTGTGTGTGTGGGGGTGTTGTGCATTCTTAGGCATGTGCGTATGCGGTTGCGTTTATTGGTATGTTTCACCGGTCGAAGAATGCTAAGGGGAGGGGAGATGGATCAGGTGGTCCGAAGGCTTTTGGATACGAAGGCGAAGCTGGAAGCAGACCTGAGAGGCGCAGGTGTGTGTGTGGGTGTGTTTGTTGGTATGTTTCAGCGGTTGAATGCGGTTGGAAAGAAGGATGAGGTGGTCAGAAGACTAATGGATACAAAGGCCAAGCTGGAAGCGGATCTGAGGGGCGCAGGTTCGTGGGTGTGCCGTGTTTGCCTAGGCAAAGTGCAGGTTTGTGGGCATGCATGCGGGTGCGTTTATTGGTGGTATGTTGTGTTTCAGCGGTGGAAGAATGCTGTTTAGGAGAAGGATCAGGCGGTCAGAGGGCTGATGGATACTTGAATCAGGCGTGAGACGCGCAGGAGCTGCAAGAGGCGAGGCAGGAGCTGCAAGGGACGAGGGGGGAGATCCAGGCGCTCGCCTCTGTTTCTCTCTCTCTCTCTGCTGATTGCCCTTCGCTCACCCCTTCGGTTGACCCACCCTCAGACTCGCGAAGGCAGGAGCTGCAGGTGGCGAGGCAGAAGCTCCAGGGAGCGAGGGGGAAGATCCAGGCTCTCACCTCTGTTCCTCGCTTTGCTACTTTCCGTTCTCTCTCCCCTCCGATCGCCCCGCAGACACGCTAAGGAAGGAGCTGCAGGTGGCGAGGCAGGAGCTCCAGGGAACGAGGGGGGAGATCCAGGCGCTCACGTCGCGGCGCCAGGCGGAGGAAGCAGCGCGGATGGCGCAGCACCAGCAGGCGCAGCAGCAGCAGCAGCTGCTGGCGCAGCAGCAGCAGCAGATGCAGCAGCAGCAGGCGAAGATTCAGCAGCAGGCGGCGCAGATAGGGCAGATGAACCAGGATCTCAACCGCATGCACGCGGACGTGCAGCAGGTGCCCAAGCTCCGGCAGGAGATGGACGCTCTTACCCAGGAGCTAGCACTCGCCAGGTGAGCTCAAAGCTCCCCCAAACCTGGGAGAGTATGTGTGTGCTGAGGGAAGACAGCGAATAGCAGATAGCAGATAAGGCAGATGAACCAGGACCTCAACACGCCGTGTATGCATGCGGACGTGCAGCAGGTGCAGAAGCTGCGGCAGGAGATGGACGCTCTCGCCCAGGAGCTGGAATTGGCCAGGTGAGCCCTGAACCTTGACACCTGGGGGAGAGGGATATGTATGTGTGGGCCGAGGGGAAGCAGCGGAATAGAGATAGCAGATGGGGCGGATGAACCAGGACCTGAATCGCATGCATGCGGACGTGCAGCAGGTGCTGAAGGTCGCTACGAACCCTTGGGATCAACGGTGCGGAGCTGGCAGGTGAGAGCATGGGTGGATGGATCTCGCATACGGATCTGTGTGTGCGTGTTTGATTTCAACAGTGCATTTCGAGGCGACCCAAAATATAGTTGGCTCTTTGTGTGCGTGATTGGAGTCTTAGATGAGACGAGACCTCAGAGGAACGGTGAGAATTAATCAATGGTGAAGCTAGCTACCAACCCTTGAGAGACACGGTGTGGATTCCGCAGTTGCAAACTCGAAAGGACCCTCTGGTGGTGTGAGTGTGATGAAAGTGAAGCCTGGATGACAACAGTAGCAGATGGTTTGGTCTCGTGCGGCAAGGATTTGCGATGTGTTGAGTGGGAATCGAGCAATGTAGGAAGAAGAAGAACCAGCTTATACCACAGCTTTGTGTTTCTCCCGCCGTTCGTAGGGGCGGCTGTTGCAGATAAATGCACTCCCAGATAAAAAAAGAATGTCACGAATCCCCTCTGCGATAATTAAACTCTACACTTAGACACGTCACCATGCGTATGTAAGTACCATGAATCTATATCTTCCGTGCTCTGCTGCAGGCAGCGTGAAGTGCTCAATCAATCAGTACTTAACATACTGGCCTGCCACTCCACCACCAATCATAGCATCAGCTCGGATTGGATTCTTTAGTGGCATCTGGAGTGATTGTGTTTGAGCACGGCATAAGTTGCATATTGTATTTTGAGTCGACTCAAAATACATCTGTAGTGTTTGTGTTTGAGTACGGCATAAGTTGCTTTTTGCTCGCCGTTAGACGTCTCTGCAACTGACTCGCTCCTGTTTTTTTGTGGCGAGCTTCCAACCGACTTTCTGGGAGCAGGAATTTGGTTGGTGGTGATGTAGGTTGTTGCTTTGCATGGTCATTCGGTTTCCTGCCGTCTTGTTCGTTGAGATGTTTGCCTTGTCTCAATTAATCCACACGCATCCTACCATGGGTCATGTCATGTCACATGCCGGTCGTAAGTAATTGCACTGCGCGTTCATTCGTTTACAGGTGAGAGTTGGGGGGGTGACGTAGGTTGTTCGCAGGTGACGTAGGTTGTTCGCAGGTGACGTAGGTTGTTCGCAGGTGACGTAGGTTGTTCGTCTGCGAGTCAGCAGGTCAGTGGGTCAGCCAGTCAGCAGGTCAGTGGGTCAGCCAGTCAGCAGGTCAGTGCGCTAGCGGGTCAACGGGTCAGCGGGCCAGCGGGCCAGCGGGCCAGCGGGTCAGCCAGCGGGTCAGTGGGTCAGCGGGCCAGCGGGTCAGCCAGCGGGTCAGTGGGTCAGCGGGCTAGCGTGTCAGCAGGCCAGTGGGCTAGCGGGCCAGCGGGTCCATGGGTCCGCGGCTTAGCGGGTCAGTGGGTCAGGGGGTCAGTGGGCTAGTAAGTCAGCAGGCCAGTGGGCCAGCGGGACATCGGGCTAGCAGGTCAGCGGGCTAGAGGGTCAGCGGGCCAGTGGATCAGCGGGGTTAGCGGGTCAGCGGGTCAGCAAGATAGAGGGTCAGCGGGTCAGCAGTTTAGCGAGTCAAAGGGTCAGCGGGTCAGCAGGTTAGTGGGTTAGTGGGCTAGTGGGTCAGCGGGTCAGCGGGTCAGCGGGTTAGTGGGTTTGCAGGCCAGCGGGTCAGCGGGATAGTGGTTTTGCCTCTAGGCAGATTTTGCCAGGTTTTGCCTCTAGGCAGGTTTGCCTCTAGGCAGGTTTGCGTCTCGTCGCAATCCACGTGCATGCTGCCATGGGTGGCGGCACATGCTTGTCGAGTGCATTGCATGCTTGGATTGCCGGTGCTTGTTCCTTCCTTTTCATTGCACCCCCTGTGAATTGTGCATGCTGTGAATGGGGCATGCTCTGAAGCCGTGTGTGAGACTAGTCATTGGGAGTCTTCGCATGCCATGTTGTGACTGCGTGGCATGATTTGATTGGGTCCGCAGCATCCTTAATTGACGCGGTGTGGCATGGTGAACTCCTATTGACCTCCTATTGAGTGCCATGCCCATTCCATGCATGCAACGAGGTGACTTTTGCAATGAGTCGACAGCATTGGTGACATTTGCAATGAGTCGACTCAAAAGTCACCTCGAATGCCATGCCCATTCCATGCATGCATGCGCGTCCATCGTACTAGTGCCGTTGGGGCTCACACAAAAGGTGGGCAGCGGGTTGAGTAGACAGCATTGGTGACTTTTGAGTCGACTCCAAAGGCAGCGAGTTGAGTAGGCAGCATTGGTGACTTTTGAGTCGACTCAAAAGGCAGCGAGTTGAGTAGGCAGCATTGGTATGTCCGTCCCATTCCTCTCGTTGCGGTGATCATTCCACGCGCTGCCATATTGTCGCCGGGGCATGTACACAATACAGGCAAGTGGTAGAGTACGAGAAGAAGGCCGGCATGGGCCTGGTGGTGGAGCAGCAATTTGGATGTAGAGATTGCATGGCGTGCGCATCCCTGCCTTGCCGTGTTCACCCCATATGCATTGCAACGAGTATGGTGGTGTTGCTGTGCTGAGGAGCTGGCAAAGCAGTACAGTACTACGAGAAGAAGGCCAGCATGGGCCTGGTGGTGGAGCAGCAATTTGGATGTAGAGATTGCATGGCGTGCGCATCCCTGCCTTGCCGTGCTCACCGCATGCATTGCAACGAGCATGGTGGTGTTGCTGTGCTGAGGAGCTGGCAAAGCAGTACAGTACTACGAGAAGAAGGCCGGCATGGGCCTGGTGGAGCAGCGGGTCGATTGTAGACTGCCTATGCATATGCAAGACTGCCCATGCAGGACTGCCCATGCAGGACTGCCCATGCAGGACTGCCTATTCTCTGCCATGACCACCCCATGCATTGCTGTGACTAAATCAATGTTGCTCTGCCGAGGAGCATGCCAGCGGTGGAGTGGAGTGCGATGGAACACCAGTCAATGTTGCTCTGTTGCCACGTGGCAGCAACTATGTTGCTCTGTTGCCACGTGGCAGCAACTATGTTGCTCTGCCGAGGAGCATGCCAGCGGTGGAGTGGAGTGGAGTGGCCAACATGGGTCTGGTGGACCAGCGGTTAGATGCTCTAGTCTAGTCGTCCCATGACCATCCCATGACCATCCCATACATGTCCATCACGCTTGTCGCCATGCCGTAGTGACGACTGTCCCATGCATGCATATCTATTATCATGTGTATCACGCTTGTCGCCATACCGTAGTGACGACTGTCCCATGCATGCATGTCTATTATCATGTGTATCACGCTTGTCGCCATGCCGTGGTGACGACTGTCCCATGCATGCATGTCTATTATCATGTCTATCACGCTTGTCACCATGCCGTAGTGATGACTGTCCCATGCATGCATGTCTATTATCATGTCTATCACGCTTGTCGCCATGCCGTAGTGACGACTGTCCCATGCATGCATGTCTATTATCATGTCTATCGCGCTTGTCGCCATGCCGTAGTGACGACTGTCCCATGCATGCATGTCTATTATCATGTCTATCACGCTTGTCGCCATGCCGTAGTGACGACTGTCCCATGCATGCATGTCTATTATCATGTCTATCGCGCTTGTCGCCATGCCGTAGTGACGACTGTCCCATGCATGCATGTCTATTATCATGTGTATCACGCTTGTTGCCATGCCGTAGTGACGACTGTCCCATGCATGCATGTCTATTATCATGTCTATCGCGCTTGTCGCCATGCCGTAGTGACGACTGTCCCATGCATGCATGTCTATTATCATGTGTATCACGCTTGTTGCCATGCCGTAGTGACGACTGTCCCATGCATGCATGTCTATTATCATGTCTATCATGTCTGTCACCATACCGTATGGGGGCACGTTTTGAGGCGCCTCAAAATCTGTCACCATGCCGTATGGGGGCACACAGGCAAACGGTAGAGTACGAGAAGAAGGCTAATATGGACCTAGTGGAGCAGCGTGTTGTATGTTGACTGCATGGTGTGCCCATCCCATTCTTTGCCATCACCACCCCATGCATTGCTTGACTATGATGACCATAGGCAAACGGTGGAGTACGAGAAGGGGGCCAACATGGACCTAGTGGAGCAGCGCGTTGTATGTTGACTGCATGGTGTGCCCATCCCATTCTTTGCCATCACCATCCCATGCATTGCTTGACTATGATGACCATAGGCAAGCGGTGGAGTACGAGAAGAAGGCGAATATGGACCTGGTGGAGCAGCGCGGCGCCATGGAGAAGAATCTAATCGCGTCTGCCCGGGACGTGGAGCGACTCAAGGCTCAGATCGCCAACCTGCCGCCCATGATGAGTCAGCAGCCGCCCAACCTGCCAGCTGGCACTCCGCTCCAGGGTCTCTGGCACTCTCCTTTCCCCCCTCCTTTCCTCCCTGCTCTCCCCCCCTCTCGAACTCTCCCCCTTTCTGCCTGTCTTGTGGTCCTTCCTAGCACTGCCTTCATTTAGGGCTTCTTAAAGTCACGTCACGGTAAGCACGTACGTTGCCTTCACGGTAAGAAAGTGCGTGTGGGTCATTGGAAGCTCAGTTTGCCAACCTGCCGCCTGGGATGAGTCAGCAACAGCTGCCCAACCTGCCAGCTGGCACTCCGCCCCAGGGTCTCTGGCACACTCTCCTTGCCTTCCCCCCTCTTCCCCCCCCCCTCTCTCTCCTGTCTGTCCCTCTGGTGGTCCTAGCATTGCCTGTATTGGGGTTACTCAAAAGTCACGGTAAGCCAGTAGGTTTGAGTCATAGGAAGCTCGGATCGCTAACCTGCCGCCCGGGATGAGTCAGCAGCCGCCCAACATGCCAGCTGGCACTCCGCTTCAGGGACCCTGGCACTCTCTCCCACTCTGTATGGGGCGTCTTAGCTCTCCCTCTGGAGTCTTTAGCTAGGAGCTAGGAAGCCCTACCTCTCCGCTTCAGAGTGCCAGCTCTGTATAGGGCGTCCTAGGTCTCCTCTGGAGCCTTTAGCTAGGGGTCTCTAGTCTCCTCTCGCTCTCTTCCTCTTAGAATAGTCCTTGTCTTGGTGCTGTGCGGTGGTGCTACCTCACTTTTAAGGTAAGCAGGGAAAACATGGGTGTGCCAAGGGGGCGAGCTAGCTCAGGGGAGAACGGAGGAGGGAGAAGCCATTAGTCAGTGGAGCGCTTGGAAGCTCAGATGACCCGATGATCACCAGCCCGAGGTGACTTAGGAGTCGACTCAAAAGGCTCCTTGGGTTGGGAGAACGGAGGAGACAGAAGCCATTAGTACTTGGAGCGCTTGAACGCTCAGGTGAGCAGCCCGAGGTGACTTAGGAGTCAACTCAAAAGTCTCCCTGGGTTGGGAGAAGTAGCCAGCCATTTGGAAGTAGAGCACTTAAAAGCTCTGGCCCCCAACCCGAGGTGACTTACGAGTCGAGTCAAAGTCGCGACGGGAGGCCGGAGGGCGTTAATCGTCAGGCAAGAGGCGCTTCGGCCTCGTCACATTAGGCGTTAGTCTCTAACCGCTTCGGCGGGTGTTTCAGGGCACCTTGAGAGAAGGTCCCTGTCTTTGCAGCATGAAGGGATGAAAGGTTTAGGGTTCAAACCCTGAAAGGTTTGGGGTTCAGGGGTTTGAGGTCGTGCAAACCCTGACGCCTCTAAGCTTTCAACCCTGGACATCAAAGCCGCAAGCAGTGGCGGTTGCCTCGAGGAGTCTTTATTCTACTCATTGCGTCCGATTTGCCGTTTGAATTTAGGTCCTTGTGGATTGAAGGCATAGGCAGCCTCCTAAGGCGGCACCTTACTCACATTCCTTGATTTTTCTTCCGAGTAAGGTGAAGCGGGAAAGTTGGCTTGACGACCGTTCTTTCGGCAGCTGTTCGATGTCACGGAGTGGCTCTTTGAGGCAGCAGTTGCAATGGTGTTAGGTGACATCACAACTGCGGCACCCGAAAGCCGAGGTGACTTTTGAACGGCAACTGCTTTTGAGGCGCCTCAAAAATAGACTCCTCACCTGTGGTGAAATGTCACTGTTCAGTCGTCACCTCACTTTAGTAGGTACCGCCCTTTCAATGGCATGGTTTGGCTGGCAAGGCAACATGACCTCCCTTTCAACGGTAGGGCCGGCACCTCCTTCGGGTGGGTGTGCCTCGTAGCTGCCTACAGTCACCAAGTGTACAGTCACCAACTGTACAGTCACCAAGTGTACAGTCACCAACTGTACAGTCACCAAGTGTACAGTCACCAACTGTATGTACAGGATAGGTAGAGCATTCGCTGGCGTGAACAAGTGAATGTTCACATGCCGCAGAACGGTTGCGCAAATTTCCGGCTTAGTAACGTTCCCTTAGCCGTGTGTCTATCCTCCTCCCAGGGCCATGAATGGCTATGAAGGGTCTTTTCCTGGTAGCTTCCTGTGCTGTCAGCAGCTGGTTGTAGAGCCGCACATCTGGGTGTTTCTAAGGCCCGCCAATCACAGTAAACAGCCTTGGATTGGCGGGCCGGAAAAGAAAATTCGGATTTAAGGACTGGGATTGCCAGGCAGAATACTGCACTAAGGACTTGACGTGGAGTGGGGCAAGCAAGAGACAGTGAACCAAGCAGTGTTTTTGGCTGAGAATTCAGCATGCAGCAGAATTCAGTCTTTTTTTTAGGTGCCTGAAACATGCGGCGCAGGAAGGGACGTGACATGGTGTGGAGCAAGGTTGGGGGATGTGAGCCAAGCAGAAAGCCTCTGGCTGGAAATTCAGCCGAAGGCTGTAGCCTTAGTTTGCTGATTCAGTCTTCTAACCGCGTCCAGTAGCGTATTCCGACCTCCGACCTTCACCACTCCCCGTTCCTCACCCCCCTTTCTCACTCGCGCCCTGCCCTCGTTGTTCGTCTCCCCCCCCTTACATTCTGTGAACTGGTGGCAGCAGCTACTAGATGGATGGATCTCTACATGCTTTCTCCCACACATGCATGAAGTGTTGACAGCTGGAGCTTACTCCAGATCCCCCTTCTCCCCTCCTCCAATCAACCCACCCCCCCCCCCCCCCCCCCCCCCCCCCCCCCTCCCCCCCCTTTCTTTTCTCCCGTTCCAACCCTGGTTTGCTGTCTCTCTGCAGCGGGTGCCTACTCTGGGATGCCCTACCAGGGGGTTAGCGGAGGATTCATGGACTATGGGTCTCAAGCCAACCAGGTAACCAACTGGTGTACGCTGGAGGTATCTGTCTTGTGCTGCCTGAACGTCTCACAGCTGGTGCCTACCTGGGGTGCGCTACCAGGGGGTCTGTAGAGGGTTCACGGATAACAGGACTCAAGCCAACCAGGTGATCACCGTTTCATCATGCATCATCGAATACCAGCTCTTTTCAGCCACTTTGAACATGCACATCAAGGGCCTATTTTGGCATGCCCCCCCAGCGGGCTAGTTCTGGCATACAGATCCCAAGTCAGCAAGGTGATGTGCGAGTCAATGAGGTGACATCACTCGAAAATTCTGCTGTTCTTTTGCCAGTCTTCTCACTCGTCATTCACTCCTTCTCATCCCACCTCCCTCCTCCCCCCCCTTTCCGCCCGTCCCCCAGGAGTTTCCAAGCTACGACAGCCCAATGTCTCCCCCCAATCCCAACGGCTCGGAAGCTCAGACGCATGCTTCTGAGTCAACTCAGCAGCTCGCCTTATCACCCTGCCTCCCTTCCTCCCCCCCCCCCTCCCCCTCTCCCAACCCCTTCCACTGTCCCAGCTACGGCAGCCCAATGTCACCCCCCAAAGCTCAGAAGCATCCAACCCCACTCCATGCCCTGGTCTGATGCCTCCTTCCTCTCGCCTCTCTGTTCCCCTCCCCCCTCCCCCCGCCTCAGCAGTTTGCAAGCTACAGCAGCCCAATGTCACCCCCCAAATCCCGTGGCTCGGCATCCAACCACACTCCATGCCCTGGTCTGATGCATCCCTCCCGCCCGTCTCCCTGCCTTCCCCCCTTTCCCCAGCAGTTTGCAAGCTATGGCAGCCCCATGTCACCCCCCAATCCCAACGCCTCGGCCGGAACAGGTGGAGCAGGAGGAGGGGGGATGGGAATGGCTGGGGGGATGTCCACTCCATATGGGGTGCGCCCGCCTCTGCCGCCCAACCCCTATGCCTCGTCCCCTATGTCTCCTGGCTCTGGGGGGGGAGGGCCCGGGCAAATGCGATCCCAGCAGCAGCGCTCGGGGTACTGAGGAAAAGACCCTGAGGAAGAGCAAGAGGGGGAACGGGATTGGCAGGAGGAATGGCAGGAGGGAGGGAAGAGAGTGCGGGGGGGGGGACCACTCCATACGGGGTGCGCTCACCGATGCCGCACAACCCGTTCACCTTGTCCCCTATGTCTCCTGGTCCGGGCAGGAGGAGGACCTGGCCAAATGCAATTCCAGTAGCAGTTCTCGGAGTACTAAGGAAAAGTAGGAGAGGACCATGATCCGTGGGCGATTCAAGACTCATCCTGTGTTGAGGATATTGAGGGCAATTGTGTTGGAAGGTGTTCTGTTGGTTTTCCAGCTGGATGTTTCATGTATCACAAATGCAATGATGTGCTCACACTTCTCTAAGGGGCTTAGATAAGCTTGTGGTGCGTTGTCCTATTGTGCATTTAATATTATGCTTTGTCCTATGGCGCAAATCATGTGTGTGTGATAGGAGCATTCTTTTAGAGCGTTCTCACTTATCCATCACGAGTACAAACGCGTACCAGAAATGTGCATATTCGCGCGTCGAGCCGCATTCCTCCCAGTTTCGTGGGCGAGGGATCGAGTTCCTCTCAAATGTGTGCAGAGACCACGGGCGAGGGATCGAATTCGTGGCACGACGCAAATACGCGCCCATCCGAAAACTCTTGTCCCCAGCTGTTCCCCCAACTTCCCATCGCCCCCGCGCAAGCAGAGAGCACTCACTCACATCCAACTCGAACCACGCCGCCGATTCCCGAACACCGCTTGTCATGGCACCCAACCCAACCCACCTGCCAGCTATTTCAGCATCAGCACAGTTGTAGCAGCAGAGAAACCACTGCCACCACCACCAACGTCTGAACGCCACGCGCGTTTCGAGCGCTGAGAAGGAAGTCACTTCAAACGACCTTGCGGAGCCATCGCTCCATGTCCTGCATTTTACCACCTCGCTCTAACCCGCATTGCAGATAGCTCCGTCCGTGTATGAGCCTCGACTCAGCCTCGCATTACCTTCCTCCGTTGCTGGGCTAATAGGTCGCAAGTCCGCCTGCTTTCCCCAGGTTTTTTTTTTGTTTTTTTTCTAATCCAGTGTTATCCAACGCTCGAATCACTACATTCGACATAAAATAACTGCGAGACCCCCCGTCGTCCGAAGAGTATGGGTTCAGCTAGACGGTTCTCGCTCTTTATCGCTCTCTCCCTTCTCTCGTTCGCGTTAGTAGCTTCCGCGCAATACAACAAGTGGATTAAAGGCTTCACAGCGACCTACTACGCCAACCAGAACAGCCAGTACGGCTCGTGCGGATACGGTATCGCGCCCGGCTATACCGCGTCTATTTCCGCACCGATCTACGCGCAAGGCCAAGCGTGCGGCGCGTGCATACGAGTGCGCTGCGTCAACAGCGGGCAATGCATCCCGGGAACGATCTCTCCCACCGTTAGAATCACAAACCTCTGCCCCGCGGCGTCGTACGGCGGCTGGTGCGACAGCGGGAAGCTGAGCGTGACTCTATCGAGCGACGTCTGGGCGCTTATAGCGAAGAACCCATCCGTGGGGGTTGTACCGGTGGAGGTTTCGCGCGTGCGATGCCCCGGAGGCAACGGTGTTATGTTCAATGTTACGGGCGACGGTTTCTACATATCAGGTATTAATGTTGTACTATATGGTGTGTTATGATCAGTGTACGAGCGCGTTATTCACCATGGGATGCGTGGGAGGCGGAGGCGATATATATATGGTGTGTTATGTTCACTGTTACAGGAGATGGTTTCTACATCTCGGGTATGAGACTTGGATGGTAATGCGGTGATATATGTTCAGTGTTGCAACTAATCCTTTTCCTAGTCGCTCAAAATCGCTTATGCACATTCGTTCCCCCTACTCCTTTCCCCCTCCGCCAGTTCTTCCGCTCAACGTGGGCGGATCGGGGGACATCAAGCGGATGGATCTGTCGGTCGGCGGGGGGCCGTGGTTCATGATGCGACGCAGCTTCGGCACCGTCTTCGAACTTGTCGGCCAGCCGTTAGCCGGCCGGGCGCTGTCGTTCCGCATCTGGCCCCGCGCGGACCCCAAACCCGTTATAGTGCGAAACGCGATTCCCCCGTATTGGACGCCGAGTACCGTGTACAGGAGTAAAATCAACCTGTAAGAGGAAAAACTCTGCAGACTCGACATTTTCGCTACGAGGTTGCTTCCCGAGACGGATCAAAAGGAGGCTGATGCTAGCTGATGCTGGCTGATGCTGCAGCAGTCTCGGTATCATACTGAACTACCCGGCATCTGCAGGGTGACGCGGGTGAGGACTTTACTACGAGGTCTCTCCTTCCGTTTAACTCAAAAAGAGGCTGATGCTGCAATAGTTTACTTCACTACGAGGCTTCAGCAGGGTGATGCAGTTGTAGTTGTTTACTCCGAGGGCTCTCTTTTTTCGATTCACTGAGGAATTCCAGCATATCACTCACAACCACCACCATTTTTTAATGTTCTCTTATAGTGCACTAATATAGGGGCTCCTCTAGCATGCTTTTGCATAGGGGATTCGGATGATGTTGAGTTGAATCTACCCTAGATTTAGGGCTGAGGACTGTAGGTCACTTTTCGGCGGGTGAGTTGGCTCAAGACTTCTCCAATGATTAGGCATTGTACTCGGTATTCACTTCTGACTGTTATTGCTAGTGACTATGGGTTGCAAAAATGTACTTGAGAAACACGGTATGGAAGGAAAGGCGATCCCCAGGGAGCATGGTGTGATGTGGAGTAAGGTACCCTTCGCCCTGTCATTACAATTTACACATTGTAATTATCTGCACGATGTTGGGAGATTGCTTACGGTACCAATCAAGTACTGTATGGTGTCTTTTGCCTATAATGGTAAAACGGTCCTAGACAAGGCCTCCCCTGCTAATTAGGCATGCTGATAGTTGATGACATTTCAATTGGTATGCACTGAAGTGTATTAGGCTTTACAAGATCATCAAACGAAATTGTGTACAGCAGAAAGAACACCGCTCTCTAGGACACATATCCGCACAGCACCACAGGGCATTAGTTAAACCTTCGGACCTACTAGTATATTGAGTCATGAGATTCACATCCACCAATGGAAAAAACAGCGTCAGAAGTACTGCAGCATCGAACGGGCACTTATCAAGCCTCTTCGAACTCACGCTCCCCCTCTTCCAGAGGAGTATCATCCAGCGTCGCTTCCTGATACTGCTGATACTCGGATACGAGGTCATTCATGTTGCTCTCTGCTTCAGTAAACTCCATCTCATCCATGCCTTCACCTGTGTACCAATGCAGGAAAGCCTTCCGCCTGAACATGGCTGTAAACTGCTCACCAACTCGCTTGAACATTTCTTGAATCGAAGTAGAGTTCCCAATAAAAGTGGATGACATCTTGAGTCCCGTGGGAGCCACATCGCATACGCTGGACTTCACGTTGTTTGGAATCCACTCCACAAAGTAAGACGAGGTCTTGTTCTGAATATTCAGCATCTGTTCGTCCACCTCCTTCGTGCTGACCTTCCCCCTGAACACCGCTGAAGCAGTCAGGTAGCGACCATGACGTGGATCAGCGTAGCACATCATGTTCTTGGCATCCCACATCTGCTGGGTGAGCTCAGGAACCGTGAGAGACCTGTACTGCTGCGAACCGCGAGAAGTTAGCGGAGCAAACCCAACCATGAAAAAGTGCAAACGGGGGAAGGGTATCAAGTTGACGGCAAGCTTCCTGAGGTCCGAATTCAGCTGTCCCGGAAAGCGAAGGCAGCAAGTAACCCCACTCATGGTCGCCGATATCAAATGGTTCAGATCTCCAACTGCAACAACGAAAGCAAAAACTTGTGAGCATCAACGTAAGATGAAACGTTTAAAATCGTACTCGAAAAAAGGGCGATGAACTCACAGCTCGGATTAGCCAGCTTCAGAGTTCGAAAGCAGATGTCATAAAGTGCCTCGTTGTCAAGAACCATGCACTCATCCGCATTCTCGACCAATTGATGGACAGAGAGAGTCGCGTTGTACGGTTCAACAACAGTATCAGAAACCTTAGGCGAGGGGAACACCGAGAACGTTAGCATCATTCTGTCGGGAAATTCTTCACGCATCTTGGATATAAGAAGGGTACCCATTCCAGAACCTGTACCGCCTCCCAGAGAGTGGCAGACCTGAAACCCTGCAACATAAGAAACTGGATTAGAATTTGCTCTTCTCAACGAGGAAAACGTAGATTATCTTCGAGCAATCATACCTTGAAGGCAGTCACAGTTCTCGGCTTCCTTCCGAACAACATCAAGAACGGAGTCGATCAGCTCAGCACCTTCGGTGTAATGTCCTTTAGCCCAATTGTTACCAGCACCGCTCTGTCCGAAAACAAAGTTGTCGGGCCTGAAAATCTTCCCATAAGGACCAGCGCGAACGCTATCCAGGACGCCAGGTTCCAAGTCCATAAGGACAGAGCGGGGGACGTAACGGCCTTCAGACGCTTCATTGAAGTAGACGTTGATGCGATCAAGCTGAAGGGCGGTATTCCCACGATAATCTCCGACTGGGCTGATTCCATGCTCTTCACAAACGACTTCCCAAAACTTGGCACCGATCTGGTTCCCGCACTGGCCTGCCTGAACGTGGAGAATTTCCCTCATGATCGTTAGACTCAGCTGACCTGGATTCAGAAGAGAAGCAACGAAAAGCAGATACTTGTGTGGGTTGAACTGGCTTCAAAGAGAAGCAACGGAAACGAGATGCGGTTCTTCAGGTGTTCCCGCTCACTATGTAGGCAAAAAGCTCTGTCTGCCTGAATTCGTCATCTCCACGCCTCGGGACAGGATTGGTGCTGTCAGACAAGGAGCACCACAAATATCTAGGTACAGTGTACAGTTGGCAAAATCATCACTTAAACAAATCAAATCATAGCACTAGATTTATTCATTAGAGTTCATGGAAGAGCCTTATTGTGCTTCCATTAATTGTAGTCAATATTCCTTGTGGAGCTAGTTGCATAAACGAACTATGCCATCCTCGCCTCCGGCAAGGAAGAGGCGGGAGAAGGGAAGCACATCCAACGAAAATATGGGAGTCGACCTAGAGGATTGAATGTTGTCAATCACTTGTTGTGCATGGTATGGTAGATTGGTGTCCTGGTAAGGCGGAGGCATTTGAAGAAAAACAAAACACAAAACGTGTCACATAAAAGAGAACATAAAAGCGAACATAAAAGACCACTTGGGGACGAGGGCACGCAAAACTAAACAAAACGATGGTGGCACAATGTGAAGATGCAGAAAGTGCAAGAATTTTTACACATAACAGGGTTAAGCATAAGCTTACAGAGGGGGGAGGCGGCCAGCGAACGACAAGCTCATGACTCGAGAACTTGACACGGGTCCGAGCATTCGCAGCCTGCGACAATCCTGAGACATTCGTCACACCGATATGACTCCCTGCTGCTGTCATCACCACACGGCCCAGGGTCATGCTGGGTGGCATAAGATCCGCTCCAACGCCGCCCATGCCGCCCAGGCCTCCTCCGCCTGCCCCAGATGTACCTCCCCCCGAGGTGGGGGTGAGCATGGTGGGGGTGAGAGCTACCATCGCAGTGATGCCTTGCGTGTGGGCTACCACCCTCTCCACTGCTGCCACGTCAGCAGCTCTGGTATGGACGAGGACCGGGGGGGGAAAGGTGAGGGGGAAAGAGGGGTTAGTAGAGGGTGAGATGGGATTGACGATAGTAGTTGGATGCACATGAAGGGTTAGCAGGGGTAGCAAGTGGTGTATAAAGGGTACATGAAAGTAACGGAGATTGGGTGCATACCTTCTGATATCCCACAGGGCTATTGTGGAGTCTGTGGATGATGACAGCAGTTGATACTCGCCACATGGCACGAGCTAATTGGTTGGAGGAGTCAGTGGGGGAAGAGACAAGGACAAGAGCCCAGATGTAACAGACACGTCAGAAAACGTATAGGAGGTGAAACTTGAAAGGGACCAAGTGAGCAACGGACATACACAGTGCAAACTTGGCTTGCGTACAAAAAAAAATCCGAATCATACCAAGTAGCCACACTCACTCTTGTGACCCTCCCAGAAAGTGCCTTAACCCGCGCCACCACAATCACCATCCCCGTCGTCCAATCGAGGAACGCCAGGTGTCCCGCGTGACTTACCACCTCAAACCCTCCCCCACGGACCCAAACTCACCCCTGTGACTCTCCCAGAGTGTGCCTTACCAACGCCATCACCATCCCCATCGTCCAGTTTACGAACGCCAGGTGTCTCATGTGGTAACCCCATTTACAATCTCATATACCCCCCCCTCCCCCCCCCCCCTCAACACCCACACTCACCCCTGTGACTCTCCCCGAGTGTGCTTTCACCCGCGCCACCACCATCCCTGTTGTCCAATCAAGGAACGCCAGGTGTCCCGAGTGGTACCCCACAGAAACACACTTGGTAGAAACGGGGGAGCGGGAGGAGGAGGAAGAGGAGGAGGGATGAGAGGGGGAGGAGCGGCGGGATTGTACAGAGGAGGAGGAGGAGGAGGTGGAGGTGGTAGTGGCAGCAGAGGCAAGGGCGGTGACAGGCGTGCAGAAGGGTTCAGATAGACCGCACTGCCAGAGGGATAGAAGGCGGCCCGCACACATGTCCACGAGTCTGGGAGGCGGAGAAGACGGGAGGATGAAGCAAGAGCTCATAGGACTACTGAAGCCAGCGGGGACATATGGCACACACTTGACACATGCATGCACCCAACCTACTGTATGCTTGCAGTCGATGTGCCGGCAATAAGTCTGTTCCTTCCTGCTGGCCCCAGGAATAGCAGCAGCAAGGTGTAGCAGAGAGAGCTCATAGCACTACTGAGACTAGCTACGGAGATGCATGACACACACACCACACACACAGGAACACACTGTAACACACTGTAACACACTGTAACACAACGTACCACACGTTATATATGCATGCATAAACCCACCTTATGCATTCGTTAGACATGCCGGCAACAAGCCTGTTCCCCCCTACTGGCCCCTGGGATAGCAGCCATGTGTATCAGTGGAAGGAACTCATCGACTCTCAGGGCTACCGAGCCCTAAACCCTGTACTCAACACACAACAGGGACACCCAACCCAACCCACCGTATGCACCCAGTTGACGTGCCCGCAACGAGCCTGTTCCCCCCTGCTGGCCCCAGGAAGAGCAGCGAGGTGTATCGGCAAGACGTCATAGGACTACTGAAACTGCGCCCCCTCCCATGCCTTGGTGTTCCAGGCTTTCCCGAGCCTCCCCCTGAGCCGTCTCCCGAGCCTGGCCCGCCGAGGTCCGGGAGAGCCGAGGCGGATAGTGAGTGCGGGGAGGGGTGGGATCTTGGGGTAGAGGAGAGGGAGGAGAGGGAGGAGAAGGGATGGTAGGAGAAGAGAGAGGAGGACATGCGAGGGGATGCGGGGATTGCGCTTGCTACCCCTGCTGTTGCTGCTGCAAAGGAGGAGAAGATAGAGGAAGAAGCAGAGGGGTCGAAAGACTGGGATTGATCGGGCAGTTGACCAATCGGCATGGCGAGGCGAGGGGAGGATGAGAAATAAGCCAGCGGGTTCCCTGCCGCTCCTGCTGCGGCAGCTGCCGCGGCGGCAGCAGCAGAGAGGGTGGGGGTGGAGGCTGAGTGGTGCGTGTGGTGCTGCTGCTCCCGCTGCTGCTGCTGCTGGAGATGCGAGGCGAGGGAGGAGGGGGGTTCTTCGAAGAGGGAGAGGAGCTCGCCTGTGGATGAGTCCCAAATGTGGATCACCTCATCGCATGTTGCTACTAACGAGGTGCCTTGTAACGCACACACTGCTAGAGGCACCTCGGAGTGGCCTGAGTATTCTAAGGTGCATTCCCCAGACCCCACATCCCACACCCGAACCCTCTCTCCCCCTCCTCCTCCCCCTCGGCCTTTCCCAGCCCGTCCTCCCCCCCCTGCTCTCCCTTCTCTGCCCCCTCCCCCTCCCCCCCCCTCACTCCCTTCTGGCAGTAACCCTCCCCTCCCTATAGTCACAAAAGCCTCCTCATTCTCCAAAACTGCTAACCCCGTAACAGGTCCGTTATGCGCCGGCCAAGACCGGAGTACAGACAAATTCAGATGCCACCCGGGCTGGGACTCCTCCCGGTCGCGAGCCATCCACGAGTTGGAACCTCCCCCGGAAAGAGACGAAACAGCGCTCATACTAGATAAGCTGGGAGTACTCCCCCCCGGTCCGCCCCCTCCTCCTCCGAGCCTCCTCCCCACATCCCACCCCTCCTCATCAGGAGGGGCATCAAGACGTTTCTCGGGGAGCCAAAACCACGGCTCCGGCGGTTCGGGCAGGGATGAAGTTCCCTCCGGGCTGCCCGGGTGAACCTCGGGCAGCAATTCGGCTGACGTGGAAAGCCGGGATTGGCTGTTGCTCGCAGTGGCGGCGGCAGGGAGATTGGCAGCAGCAGCGGTGCCGCCAGAGCCGCCTGAAAGAAGCACCCGGGAATCTTCCGCTGATGAGCTGGCGCTGACAGTGCGGGAGTGAGAGGGTGACTTATTAAGTGTGGGCATGGGAAGGGACCATCCGAACCCGTCTAAGAGCAGGGAGGAGGGGGTGAGAGCCGCTGCTACCATGCCCAGGCGCTTAGATAAGTTCCCCCCCGTAGAAGCGAGCTTGGGGGATTCGGAGGATGTAGCTGGTGCGGCTGTAGCAGCAGCAGCAGCAGTGGCAGCTTCAGCTGCAGCAGCATCAGTAGTAGCAGCATCAGTAGCACCTGCAGCGGCTGTAGCATCTGCAGCGGTTGTAGCAGCTGTAGCAGCAGTGGGGTCTGATGGGGATGTTGTAGCAGCTTTGGCACCAGTGCAAGGAGGGTCAACAGCAGAGGGAATCGTGTCAAGAGCAGTAGCTGGCAGCCCTGGCATGGTTGCTGTTGCTGCTGCTGCTGCTTCTGCTGCTGCTGGTTCTGCTGATGGCTCCGCAGCAGTAGAAGCAGAAGCAGCAGCAGCAGAAGCAGCAAATTCTGTTTCGGTGGTGTCGCTGGTGGTGGTGCTGGCAGTAGCAAGGTCGTGTGCTGCTCCCGCCTCGTGATCCTGCGAAGGGCACAGAATGCAGTGAGGCATGTGCATGTGGGTTTGGGAGGTGCGGAAGAGGAGAGAGAAAGGGGCGGGGGGGGGGGGGGGGGGAGGGGGGGAGGGTGTGTGCTGGCGATGGTAAGGTAGTGGATCCTGCAGTAGCAAGGTCATGTGCCGACCCGTGATCCGGCAATAGCAAGGTGGTGTCCTGCTCCCGCCTCGTGATCCTGCGAAGGGCACAGAATGCAGTGAGGCATGTGCATGTGGGGGTTGGGCTAGAGTGGGGGCTGGGAGGGGGGTTATTTAGTCGACTCAAACGTCACTGCAGAGAGCACAGAAGGCAGTGCGGCATGTGCATGTGGAAAGGGGAGGAAGTGAGGAAGTGCGTGGGGCGGGGGAGGAATCGGTGAGGCATGTGCATGTGGGGTTGGGAGGTGGGGAAGAGGAGGGAGGGGGGGCGGAGGGCGCAGGGGGGAGGGTGTGTGCTGGCGGTTGTAAGGTAGCGGATCCTGCAGTAGCAAGGTCGTTTGCTGCCCCATGATCCTGCGAAGGGCGCCGAATGGGTTGAGGCATGTGCATGTGGATAGGGGAGGAAGTGAGGAAGTGCGTGGGGGGGGGAGGGATCGGTGAGGCATGTGCATGTGGGGGTTGGGCGAGGGGGCGGGTGGATTGGAAAAGAAGATCATATTCGCCCGTCAGAACACCCACCAGGAGTTCCCTCCTCTCCTCTTCCCCTCCCCTTTGTTGGGGTGTGAGGAATGGGTGAGGGATGGGAGGAGCGGGAGAGGGATGGGAGGAAGGGGTTAGGGATGGGAGGAAGGGGTTAGGGATGGGAGGAAGGGGTTAGGGTTGGGAGGAAGGGGTTAGGGTTGGGAGGAAGGGGTTAGGGTTGGGAGGAAGGGGTTAGGGTTGGGAGGAAGGGGTTAGGGATGGGAGGAAGGGGTTAGGGTTGGGAGGAAGGGGTTAGGGTTGGGAGGAACACCCACCAGGAGTGAGGGATGAGTGATGGGAGGAATGGGCGAGACCATTCGCATGTGTTGGTTGGTTGAGCGAGGGGGGGGTGGAATGGCAAGTGAATCATAAGCGCCCGTCAGAACACCCACCAGGAGTTCCCTCCTCTCCTCGTCCCCTCCTACATCCAACAGTCGCCTCCTGCTCCCCCTCCCCCGCCCCCCTGCAGCCTGTGTTCCAACCCTGTGCTCCAAGTCAAACGCACTACATGGTAACCATACATACCTCGTCTTTCGGCGCACCTCAAATGTCTTCCTCCCCTCTCTTCCGCCCCCCTGCAGCCTGTGTTCCGACCCTGTGCTCCAAGTCAAAGGCTCGAGATATCAACCGTACACACCTCGGCCATAGCGAATAAATCATACACGCCCGTGAGAATCCCCGCCAGGAGCTCCCTCCTCTCCTCGTCCCCTCCCACGTCCAGCAGTCGCCTCCTTCTCCCGCCTCCCCCGCCCCCCTGCTGCCTCTGCTCCTCACTCATCTTCATATGGGCTAACGCTGCCTGCAGCCGCGGCACCAAGTGCCGCTTTGCTGCCCTCTCTCCAAGTTTTGAGGCTGCAAAGGTAGATCACAGGGGCGACAGAGGGAGAGGAAGGGAATCTATTTTTGAGGCACCTCAAAAAGGGGCGACAGAGGGAGAGGAAGAGGGTTGAGACGTGAAAGCGCTCCCAGGCTAAGTTGGAAAAAACGCTAGGCGTAGGGTTGCGTACAGCGTTTACACTCTACAAAATACGATACTCTGCGTATTGGGTTGGGATTCGCGAAAAGACGCCCGGGCAGCCCGGGGAAAAAGAATCTGGAAATGTTTTGCGAAATATCGCGAATTGGCGAGGCGTTACAGTCTCGCTCGGATTCGCAAGCAGCCCCTTCGAATTTGAGGTTCGAAGTTCGAAATTCAAACTCACTCCCAACCACTTTTTGCCCCCCAAATGTACTCAAAATCACTACACCTCGTAGCCCGAACCTATCCTGTTTGCACGGCAGACTCATCTGCGCCAAAGGTGAGTGGTATACCTTCCCTCGCCATTCTGTTTAAGAATCATCCGCATGTGTCTGACTCTAAAAGCTCTTTCCTTTCCACCGCCGTTAGCCAGCAGCTATGTCTACGTCAGCTCCCCCAGCCAACACTTCGTACATTTTTTTTGTCCCCTGCCCGAAACATTTTCACCCTGCCCGGCCCAACGTATTTCAGCGTACAACCACCCTCTTGACGGAGCGTACAGCGTATGTACCCTAGCGTTAAAACGCTAGAGTACAATACTCGATGCACGTATTTTCCAACTTAGCTCCCCGGGCCCCTGCTGCCTCTGCCTGCCCCCCCACCCAACCAAGGCGTACCAATTTCAATAAAAAGGTCGTGGATGTGGGGTGGGGGGAGGCGTAATGATATCAATGAGGTGACTTTTGACTCAAATTTCAATAAAAAGATCGCGGATGTGGGAGGCGCACCGGTACCAATGAAGAGGCCGTGGATGTAAGTGAGAAGCGTGCTGCAGAGGTCACTGCAGGTGATGTGAGCGATGACCGGAGCGATGGTCTGGCTGATGGTAATGGTAATGGTGGTGGTGGTGGTGGTGGTGGTGGTGGTGGTGGTGACTGGGAGAGGCAGCATTGGACTACCTCACTCCCCCTATGATAACAGATTTTGAAGCGGAGCAATGGTCTGGGTCTGACTGATGGTGATGGGGAGATGCAGAGCCTTTTGCTGGCCACTCTACCTTCCATCCACCAAAAGGGTAACTTTTGAGTGGATGGATGGATGGATGCAGAAGGGAGACGTACCTATGTCAATGAAAAGGTCGTGGATGTGCGAGGCGTGCTGCAGCGGTCCCCTGGTGATGTGAGCGATGAGTGGAGCGATGGTCTGGCTGATGGTGATAGGGAGAGGCAGCAGTGCCACTGACTCCACCAGAGCCGTAGATGCAGCAGCACAGGGAGTGCTGTGGAGCGCTCCGGCCGATCCTGACCGTACGATCGCGGATCCGGACCGGAACAGCAGAGCAGGCTTGGACCGAGCCGCTGACGCAGGTCCGGACCGAGCGTACGCGGCAGATTTGGATCGGTCGAGGAGAGGTGGGGGAAAGGAGGAGGATGAAGAGGTGGCGGAGGAGGGGAAGGAGGAGGAGGAGGAGATGGAAGAGGAGGAAGAAGCAGCAGAAGGGGTGGTGGTTGGGAGGGAGAAGAGCGAGGAGCGGAGGAGAGATGGATGTAACCGCTCTATATACTCTGGTAACCCTATGGACGTGGTAAGCTTGCCCCACACCTTCTCTTGAAATACTATCTCATTCAACCCCTTGGGTTCGTTGGCCTCAATAGCTCTCACTGAGAGAGGCACCAGGAGAGCCACTATTGCCCGCCTTCCCAGACCTTTGCTGGGGTGTAACAAGCCATTGAGAACCCCTGTAATGTGGGCTTGGACGCCAGGATCTGATAGGTCTAAGGCTGGTTGCTGCAGTAGGGTTACCACCTCGCATGCACACACCCAGAGGGCTACCTCTTCCTCTCGAATCACCCTCCCATCCCCCCCTTCCTGGTCTTTCAACCCCTCCATCCGCTCCTGGCTGTTTCTCCCGCTGCTGCTGCTCCGGCCAATCGCGTGCGTCCGCAGCTTCGTCCCCAAGCCTCCGTGCTTGGCTTGGGACGCGGCGAACGCGAGCCGCTGGCTCGGGAAGGGGAGCGAATGCAGCGAGGCTAGGAAGGCATGGGCCGACCGGACCGCTGGACTGAAAAAAGACGACGCGAGGACTGTAGCGGCTGTTGGGCGGCGAGTAGGGTTGCGATCTACCAAGCCTCGGATTACTGGTTGGATGGAGCTTGGGAGGTCGTAGAAAGCGGGCGGCAGACTGCCGACCGTGGCGAAGACGTGCGCTGAGTCGGGGTCGAAAAGCGGGCGGCGGAGAAAGATCTCGGCGATCACGCAGCCGGCGACGAAAATATCTTCTGGCCAACAGGTGCATGGGGAGGATACACACCGCCTATCTTTTCCCCCTTCCCTCAATTCGTCCTTCTTCTCCTCCTTTGAACCAGGTCTGTCGACCACAGTAGCACTGACAGGAGAACCGTTAGCACTCACACCACCACCACCATTGGCATCATCACTCCCATTCCCGCTTGTCACGCCACCATTGGTACCATCTCTACTCAGCACAGCACCATGAGCCGCCACCGCCCCATTCCCCCCCCCACCCCTATACACCCCCCTCCCCACACCCCCCACCCCCCTCCTATACCCTCTTGGGGAGAGAGGAGGAGGGGCGAGGATCTCCGGAGGTGGCCAATAGATGGGCGACAGGTGGCGCGTGGATTCGAGGAATCGTGAGAAATCTTCCACTTGCTGGAGGGTGCGAGACATTGAGAGGGGGGGGCGGGATGAGGGGGAGGGGGAGGGGGAGGGGGAGGGGGAGCGGGGGGAGGATAAGGGGCGGGGGGAGGATGGCGTGGGGAGGGGAGATGGAGGAGGGAGAGCGACAGAGGGCGTGGAAGTGAGGCTGATTGCAGGAGGGGCAGGAGCAGGGGCAACGGCAGGGGCAGCAGCAGCAGCAGCAGCAGTGGCAGGGTGCTGCAAGTCACCCCCACCACGTACTATTGGCCCCTTCCCTCCTGCCGCTCCCTCACCCCATCCACCTCCCCCTCCCACTGCCAACCCCCCTCCCACTCCCCGTCGCCCTCTCTCCCTCACTCCCCATCCCCTCCCCCCTCCCCCCCCTCCACTCAACCCAGGCGGCCTGGGGCCCCTCTGGGGATGTGGATGCACGAACAGCTGGCACCTCCCATGGCCACGTGGCGCCTCCTCATTGGCCGGCGGGGGAACCACGTTCTTGGCAGCCAATGCTGCGTCGCCAGCAAGGCAGAAGCCAAAGGTGAGGTCAATCCAATGGTGAAGCTCAGAAGAGACAAAATCGCCCTCCAGTGCCGCCCGGTGGAGCGCGAGGAAGCGGTGCACGCGATCGGACTTGATTCGCAGGATCAGATCGTCGCCGTCCATCACAATTGCAGGGTCGGCTTCTGCTTTCATTCCAGAAGGCTCAGAAAACCCACAAGGTCCTCCTTCCACATTCATTCCCCTTTCTCCTGCTTTCTCTCCTCCTCTTTCTCCTTCCCTCTCTCCTCCTCTTTCTCTTTCTCTCTCTCCTTCTCTCACTCCTCCTCTCACTCCTTCTCTGTCTCCCTTCTCCCCCACTACCCCAGCACTGCCCGCAAACCCATCCACCCAATCAGGCGGCGCCAGGTCGGGCAGCCTGGCATGTTGTGACCGGAACAGGGCAAGTTCGAAGAAAAATTCAGGCAGGGTCTCATCGGGAGTCCACCTGTACATCCTCCCCATGGTGCTCGGATACTCCTTGGGCTCAAAAACCGTGCGCACAATCCGTCTAAGTATCCAGAGAGGGAGTTTCCGGGCGGCGTACATGCAGACTGCGACGTCAGAGACACATTCCTCGGCCACGTGGTGCGGCAGTTCGGAGGAGGAGTAGGTGAAATCGAGCTGCTCGTCGCCTTTTACCGCCCGCCACTTAGTTAAGCGCAGGTTGCGCCAGCCCTTGGGGGGGGGAATGGTGGTTGCAGCAGCACCGGCAGCAGCAGCCGCAGCCAGTGAACCAGCAGCAGCAGGAGAATCGCCTGTGCTTGCCTTTTCAATCAACATATCCATATCAAAAGCAGCCTTGTCAGAAGCAGAAGAGGAAGAAGACAGAGAAGCAGGGGCCTCGAAGGGAGCGACTGTGAAGTCGATAACCCACGGGATCACCGCGTGAAAGTCCCTGTCGCCGCTCCTTCTCCCTGCTATCCGGTTCAGCTCCAGAAGGTAGTCCAGGTTGGATATCTCCCAAGCCATCCACTTCCCCAGGAGTTCCCCGAACGGGAGAGCAGCGGCAAGTGCCCGCTGTGGGGTAAAAGATACAGGTACAAGAGGGGGCTCCCTGTGTGTGTGCTGTTTCTCTCTCCCTGTAAAAGAGCAGGTGTCCTCGTCTTTTGCTGCTTCTCCCCCTTTTGTCTCAACTCTCTCCCCCGCCTCTGCTCTTCCCTCCCCTCTCCTCCCCACCTCCACCTCCTCCCCCCCTCCTCCTTTCCTCTCCCCCTCCAACCCCCCCCAGAAATCTCCCCCCAGGATCAATCTCGGCCATAGATTCGCCGAGAGTGCGATATTGGGCGGCACTGCCGCCCCGCAGGAGATCCCGAGGGCGTGGGCCGCCGCCACCCCTTGCAAGAATCCAAACGCGACCAGCCGGGCGGCAAACTCGTCTCGTAGCGCCTCGGGGCTGTGCCGAAGCACGCCAGCCAGCGTGAAGGGGACGGCGGGGTACAGGAAGAAGAGGGTGGTCCCTGATTGGCTGGAGGATTGGGCGGTAGATTTCAATGCCGCTACAGGACAAAAGATGTTGTCCAAAGTGAGTTGGAGGGGGGAGGCGGATGAGGTGGAGGAGGGGAAGTAGGAGGCGGGAAGGGTAGAGGAGGAGGAGGGTGAGAGGAAGGGCAGTAGGTCAGATTCCTTCTCATGCTGCTGCTGCTGCTGCTGCTCTAACTGCTGGTTTTCTGGCTGCTGCTGCTGCTCCTGCTGCTGCTGCTCATCTTCAGGCACCCAGATTCGAAGAGAGGGGGCTTTGGGCGCCAAGTCACTGGCACCTTCTGCTGCTGCTGCTGCTGCTGCAGCGCCTGCTACGCCTGCTGCTGCTGCTTCTGCTGTTACTGCTGCTCGTGTGGAGGCAGTTGGGGCAAGAGGCGGCTTCGAGGCAGAGCTCTTCTGCACCTTCTCTCCCTCATTCGTCTTCTCTCCTTCTCTTACCTTCTCGTTCTCACTCACCTTCTCTCTCTCACTCGCCTCCTCCCCCGCTCCACCTACCGCCTCCATGCTCCCAACTCTTTGCACCTCTCCACCCTTTCTCACCTCCCCGTCCTCCTCTCTACCCCTCCTCGCCTCCCCAACCACCTCCCCGAATTCCAAAGCCTCAAACACCCCTGTGCTCTTAACTTCAGGCGGTGTCTCTTCAGGTAAATCCTCAGGCGACTTCTCAGGTGAATCGTCAGGTGAATTCCCAGGTGAACCTTCAGGTGAATTCCCAGGTGAATCTTCAGGGACTCCTCGTCTCCCTTCTTCTCCCCTCCCTTCTCCCATCTTCTCTTCTCCTTCCCTCCCATCTCCCACCCTCTCATCTCCTTCCCTGTCTCCTCCTTCCTTCACTTCCCCTCCCCCTTCCCGCTGAGTACCAAAGGAAAAGCTCCCCCCATCAGAGTCACTGTGATTAAACAGAGGCCCTCTTTCTTCCGCTATAGGCTCCCTCTCCTTTGATATAAGCACATCTACAATAGGCGCCCTGCCCTTCGATACAGTCACATCACTGGTACCCGCTACAAGCCCCTCCCGAACAGATAGGGATGCCACGACTGCAGATAGTGACCTGGCAGAGGCATGAGTCCACGTTAGATTGGGTGCCAGCCTGGCAGCTACAGCCACGGCCCACTCCACGTCGCAGCAAGCATCGGGTCTTCTGCCTTGGTTCGGGAAGTGGTTCGGAAACTGGTCTGGAAACTGGTTAGGTACGCCAACCCTACCTCCCCCACTGCACCCCCCACCCCCACTACAAGAGCTGCTGATGCTGCATCGGCAATACTGCAGACGTGGCGCCGTCTTATTGGCTCGCACTGCAAAGCACCGATTGGCCGCTCCTGCCAGGCTCGTCCACTGCTGCTGCTGCTGCTGCTGGTGGTGGTTACCAGAGGTGACTGTAGCAGGTATGCCCAAGCTGCCTATCGTGACTGTACCTGGTGCTGCTATACCAGGTGTGACTATACCCGAGGTTACTGTAGCCGGTGTGACTGTAGAGGAAGGAGTGGGCTCAGGCAGGGCAGGAGGGAGAGAAGGAGGGAGAGCAGGAGGGAGGGCAGTATGGTCGAAGTGAACAGCAGGGTCCGAGCCCAGACTGCAGACGTATTCCGGGAGGGGGAGGAGGGGGAGGGAATCGGGGTCTATGGGCGAGGGAGAGTGAGAGGGACCTATGGCAGAGGGAGAGTGATCCTCTTTCTGTTCCTCACTCGAACCAACCTTTCCAGCACCATCCCTGGTGGTGGTATTTGCAAGCAAGGAGGCAGGTTCAGAGGCGGTAGGCCTGGAGGCGGCAGGTTTGGAGGCGGCAGGTTTGGAGGCGGCAGGTTTGGAGGCGGCAGGTTCGAAGGCGGTAGACTCGGGTGTGGTAGGTTCGGAGGCGGCAGGTGTGGCGGCAGGTTTGGCAGTGTCAGGTTCGGAAGACGCAGGCAAGGAAGAGGACTGTAGCGGGGGAAGGGAGGAGGAGAGAGGGAGAGAACCCAGCGTCCCTGCTGCTGCAGAGAAGCTGTGTGGAAGGTGGGGGGAGGGGGGTGTTGGAAGGAAATGGGAAGTGGAGAAGGGAGAGAGAAAGTGAGAGACGATAAGCGGAGGAGAGGGGGAGAGAACCTAGAGATCCTGCTGCTGCAGAGAAGCTTTGTGGAAGGGGGGGGGGCGGGAAGGAGCTGGGAAACAAGAAATAGAGAATGAAAGAAAGGGAAACTGATTGGGGAAGGGAGAGAGGAAAGCGGGTAGGAGGAGGAGAGAGGGAGGGATCCCAGCGGTCCTGCTGCTGCAGAGAATCTGTGTGGAAGGGGGGGAAAGGGGGGTGTTGGAAGGGAAGTGGGGAAGGGAGAGAGAAAGTGAGAGACGATAGGAGGAGGAGAGCGGGAGGGATCCCAGCGGTCCTGCTGCTGCTGAGCAGCTGAGTGGAAGGGGGTGCTTGGAAGGAGATGGGGGAAAGGAAAGGAAAGAAAGGAAAGGAAAGGAAAGGAAAGAAAAGGAAAGAAAAGGAAAGGAAAGAAAAGGAAAGGAAAGGAAAGAAAAGGAAAGAAAAGGAAAGGAAAGGAAAGAAAAGGAAAGGAAAGAGAAGGAAAGGAAAGAAAAGGAAAGGAAAGGAAAGGAAAGAAAAGGAAAGAAAAGGAAAGAAAAGGAAAGGAAAGGAAAGAAAAGGAAAGAAAAGGAAAGGAAAGAAAAGGAAAGGAAAGAAAAGGAAAGGAAAGGAAAGGAAAGAAAAGGAAAGAAAAGGAAAGGAAAGGAAAGGCAAGAAAAGGAAAGGAAAGGAGACGAAAGTCAAACTGTGTTGCATGCGGGTGGGAAGGCGGAAGGAAGGAGCACGGATCGGAAGAAGGGCTTAAGGAGGGCTTAAGACCATGGAATGGTTTCTGCCACATAGCATAAACTCACCGCACTGCACCACGGCATACCCCATCATACACTACACTGGCAAACAAGGGCAAGACCATACCATACATACACCACTAGACCACCGCATTGCACCACGCCATACCCCTGGGAGTGGCAGAAGCGGCAGCTGCCCCCGTTCTGGCATCTGATTGGCTGGAGCAGAAACTGCTGGGAGCGGCCAGGTCTGTGGGGGAAAGGGGCACCAAATGGGGAGGGTGGAGTGGTGAGGGAGGGGGTTGGGAGGTAGGGGCGATGAGAGTTGCTAGCTGGCCATATTCTGCCCCTGTATTGGCTGCAGAAGAAACTGCTGGCTGCGGCCAGGTCTGATCCAAGTGAATGGTAATACATGGCGATGGCAGGGGATATGGGGGTTCGTTTGGGTTCAGATGACGGGCTGAGCCATCAGAACCTATGGGTACTTCAAATGCAGGGTCACCTAACCAATGACAGGAGGAAAGGCTGGAAGCGGGCAGAAAAAGAAAAGAGTGAGGAAATAGTCTCCCTCACGTCTCATTCCAAGAAAAGAGAACAAATAGGTGCTTATTGGGGCGGGGTGGGTGGGTGGGTGCTTATTCCAAAGACCACGTCCCCCTGAGGGGAATGAGGCTCACCTTTCAGTGGGGACGTAGTCTTTGGACGAGGTCACGGGCACTCCATTCTCATCCACCTCCACCTGGTGTGCGTGAGGGGGGAGAGGGAGGGAGGAGGGCGCATGGATTCTAGGACATAAGGAAGTCTCTCTCTTCGCTAGTCTTTGGACGAGGCCACGGGTACTCCATTCTCGCCCACCTCCACCTGGTGCGCGTGTGAGGGGGGGAAGTGGAGAGCCGGGAGAGAGGGTGGGGAGAAGGGGGGAGAGAGGGATGGGGAGAAGGGGGGAGAGAGGATGGGGAGAAAGGGGGGAGAGAGGGAGGGAGATCAGGGGGGAGAGAGGGGGGGAGAGCAGGGGGGAGGGAGGGGGGGAGAGCAGGGGGAAGGGAGGGGGGGAGAGCAGGGGGGAGGGAGGGGGGGAGAGAGGCGGTTTAAAGACATCAGGACGTCACAATCGTAGTTTTCAATACGTCTCACAACAACTAAGGAGAAAAAGATTATCAGGTGCGAACGAGCCACCTCGACAGCCTCTCATTTCGCACATTATCAGTCCGCCGTGCGACAACGGCGGGCAGATGCCTGGAACTTAAAATGGCATGACTAAGACATTACTGGTTGATTGCCCCTCAACTAACCCCCACCTGCCCTCACCTACCCCTAACCTCGCACACTCACCTCGCACACTATCAGTCCGCTGTGCGGCAAGGCCGGGCGGCGCCAGGAGTGCGGCTCGACGGCCAGCAAATGGGAGACGAACACGTCAGCAGAGAGCTGCTGGCGAACCAGCTCCGCCGCCTCCACCAGCGACAACGACTGCGATTGGCCCATGCTGACGTGGCACTCCGGAAGATTGAATCTCCTTGGCCTCAGGTGCTTTCGCACTAGCACAAGACACGCGGAGTCATAGCGGAGAGTGCTTGAGTCGGTTCAAGACGGTTAGAAATGTTGATTCGCGGGCGGAACCAAAGCATGTGGATCAATAAATCACCATTCGGCTCATTTCCGTCGCCTAAGCGAAACGAAAATGTATGTAGCGAAGACTGGCGAAAGAATGGTGTAGAGTCGGCCACGAAACGAGCGAATCAGAAAAGCTCCCGAAACCCCATCCGGCAAATCTAATGCGGATAATTAGCACACTGGGGAACGCTGAACCATCGGAGCTACAATGGTGACCAGAAGGGCTGACTATCCTATGACGGGCTCACGCAAGCACGATCTAAAAAACCTCTTCTGACCAGTTTCCATCAGCCATTACAGGTGAGGGAACGGGGATTCAGGGAAGGGAGGAGAAAGAATGAGTGGCAAAAGCGCGTGTTGTGGATTTCAGACAGCTTTTGCCAGAGGGAGGGGCAGAACGGGCGAATTCGGGTGGTGGAGGGGTGGGTGGGGTGGCGGGCTGGGGAGTTTGGTTGGGGGAGAAATATATTCGTGAGTAGAGTCTCGATAGAATGGTACATAGTTCCAACGTTCTCACTTTGTTTAGAAATCCAACACCTACTATTGGCGTCCGCGCGTTGGACACGATAAATATTTCTCAAAATGTAGCTCGCTCCATGTGTTTGTCCTAGTCTGGAACTCAATACCGGAATTTTTAGTTTATTCTCTCTACTGTTGTGCAGGTTTTATTCTCCATGCTTGCAAACTGCAATGCATACATTCTGCTTCAATTCCCTGCACCTTATATTTTATAGATGAAATTTTATTTTCAGGAGAAGGGAAGTAAAAAATACCACTAATGTGTATTAAACGTGGGTAAAATGATATGTGTTTCAGTCCTATTCACGGACGAATGAAAAAGCTATAGTATTGTGCGCGACCTTGTCGAATCACTTGGCCTTCGTGTGTATAACGGGAATGGAGCACGATTATTGGTGGTGTGTGTATGCGTGCACTCCTCGTCGGAGATTCGGCGGAAGAAAAGAACGGACGTCAGAGATCTGTCTTCACCTCCGCCGTCAGGCTGCCCCAACTAACCCCGTTTTCTGCGGGACCCTGGTGAAGCTCCCTTGGTTGCTTTTCCGTGTTGGTGGGGGGAGATCTTGAAAGTTGAAACAGGAGTCTAGGGTTTCGTGTTCTGGTCTTTTCTAGTTGGAGCTGCTGTCTCGCTTCAGAGCGGCATTCCCCTCACCTTCTGACATTATTTTCTAGCTTGCTTTGACTACTAGATCTAAGTCAGATTGCTCGGGTTAGGTCCCTTCAGCGAGCAGCTTGGCGGCTCTCCCCCGCCATTCTATCAGCAGCTCCAGCCGCATAATGCAAACATCTCCAAACTGTGATAGTTGGCAATTTGCGAGGAAGCATATAGAAGACCAGTCACCCTCAAGAAAGGACGGACTGTCCTTGAGACGCGAAAATTCACATCGGCGCTTGGCTCTCGCCTTCACACAAGATGTTGGTTGTCTGCTTAAGATGTGAGCACCGGCGTATGCTACTCATGACCTTTAGATTAACTTCCTTGTAGAAGTCTTACGTAACTCTCTTTCTGATCTACAGGGACCAGTACACAATCGCTACAGCCTTCGTCTACTGGCAACGGTTTTTCATGATTCAGTCCTTGTCCAAGAACGATCCATACGTATGTAGAGGTGCTCGAGTAGGCAACGAGGTTTTCTCTTACTCGCCACCAACTATTGCTGACAAGATTCGTCATCTGTTTTGTAACCAGCTTATTGCATCCGCTTGTCTGCTGCTCGCGGGGAAGGTTGAAGAGAACTTCAAGAGTTTGCAGAAGATAACGGAAATGTCGTACTATGTCCGGAACAAGAAGGATCCGAAGGCTTTGGAGTCGATTAAAGGCACTCCCGTAAGATCGATAGGTCTACGTGCAGTGTTTATTGTTTTCCTTTTTACCGAGGTGCTGATGACCAACGTTTAATGTGTGTGTGCGTCGCAGAAGCTCTTACTGGCGGAGATGGACAGAGTAGTTAAGGCGGAAGAGGCTTTACTTGTCACCATGAATTTTGATTTTTTCGTCAGTCATCCCTACAAGCCGATCTGCACGGTGGTGAAGGAGTTTGGCTTCACGAACCGCCAGTCTGAACGGGACCGGACTTTCTTCCAGATCGCGTGGAACTTCGCCAATGACAGGTCTGCTCCTTATCTTTTTGGGGTGGACTTTCTAGGTTTGTCATATGCGCTCAGTGTAATTTTTACCTGAGTAGCACAAGATCAATGCGTGTCTGTACCTCCCTCGTGGTTCGCTTTGCACGTGCCACGCTGCTTGGATGGAAATCAGTTTGCGGACTACGCTCTGCCTTCAGCCGTTTCGGCCGATGGACATTGCAGCAGCGTGCGTCAATCTTTCAGCGACTGCCTTGAGTGTCCAGCTTCCGAAAGCTGCTGAAGGAGGACCATGGTGGTCCAAGTACGGCGTCTCTCCAGACTCTCTTCAAGGTCAGCGAACTTATTGTGTCACTTTGACTCTTGTTTTTACCATGTTGTCGGGCCTCCTGATGCTGACGTACGGTTGCGCAGACGTTGAGATGCAGATCATGTCCTTGTACAAGAGGAAGGAGGGCGATAGCCAGACACCAACATCTTGTCTTTCTCTTCCAGCCACACCATCAATCAACGCCCCTCCAGCAAAGAAGCAGAGGACTGATACCCCGAGTCCAACTAGTGCCGTCATGTCAACTCACCCGTGCCAGTCTGATCTGAAGGTTTCTCGGCAGGACGAGCCAGGCCATCATGATGTTAGGCAGCCCGAGTCGAAACAGGATCACGAACCTCACTTTCAGCCCACTGAGATAGCGGGGAAGATGAGCGGGCAAGAGAAGCAGGAAGTACTGGTCAGCAGCAAGCCACCTGTTCTTGTGTCTTGTGGATCTGCCGCAGCGACTAAAGCTTCTCAGCATACCCCTCCAGAAAAGGTCGACTCAGGAGCTTCTGGTATGGAGCTTTCAGAGGAGTTGATGTGCAGATTGGAGGATGTGGAAGTGCATAGGCCAAAACGTACAGCAGCAAACGCTTTTGTTGCTTAGAAAAGTTAATTGGTTGGCAAGCATACCATCAGATTGCTTGTCTCGGTTTGTGTCGTCCTACTCTGCAGCCTTTGTCCTACTCAGCAGCCAATTGAGCTATCTATGACATGGCACCTTATGTACACTATGTGTAACGATGGATTAATGATGTGCCATCATGTGTATACTACCTCGACAGCACTTATTGTTGAAGTATCCAGGATTTTTGCAGCAGTACAGCAGGGGTAGAAGTTGCAGCTGTGCAAAAGGTCAGTCCTGTGCTGTGCACGGCGCAGCTGGGTTTCATATTTCAATTGTGTATGTCAAGGCCGTAGTTGCAATGTATCCCGAATCAATTGTGGCCTCTTATTTCTTCTACGTTCTGTATCATGTCAAACTGTTTTGTACCTTTTGATATTATTAATTCCCGAGTCCTCTCGATACAAAGGCTAGCAATGATACTGGTCCAGTGGTGCCTTCGTTCGGGGTTGCTCTGCTGGGGTGGGATGCTTTTTCGCCAAGGGCGGCGGTAGAAGTGCAAGTGCTGACGCAGAGGTTACAGCGTGTCCCACTCTTTCGGTGCCACGCAGTCGATTGGGTCAGCCCCAGTCGATCACAATGCCCATTGACGTCAGCCGTCGTGGTCCTCGAATTAAATGAGAGCTTTGCACGTGGACAGACGTGGCTGATCACTCACAAGCCTCAAAATTCTGGTAAGCCGCGTCGCAATAGGAGGCCGTCATGTGCCGTAAGTTTTTCAGAAGACGACAGGGTTTCAGATGGAAGGGGGCCAGCTCACTGTACTGCAGCCAACCGTTTGCTTCCATCTCGTTCCCACCTCAGACCACATCCACATCGCTCAAACTTCGGGAATCCCTGCTCTTCCAACCAGCAAATCTTCCAGCTTCAAGGCTTGCCACAGGTCTGGGGTCTTTGTTGGGTCACTGCCACGTCGGAATCACGTCATTCTCCTGGGAATACGCGTGTGTGTGCCCGTCGTTCCAGGAAAAGTGGTGTCGCCGAGCCACCAGGTGGGCAAGTAAACTAGGAGATAAGGCTATGAGCTGGCATGACGCGGAAAACACTTCGAGAAGTAGCGAGGTTCATGCCAAGCATTCAATTGCATGGTTGTGGACGAGGTGTACGCAAGCGGGTTGGAGCTCATGATGGAAAAGAGGCGGGACACTCTCTATGGTTTAACGGGCTGTTTTTCCCTGCTTGTTGCTTTGTGAACTTTTAGCATCATCGACAACCGCTTTTCAAAGTATTTCAAATTACTAAATAGCCCCAGCCATCTGGTCACAGTAAATGTTTTGCCAGTGTTCTCGAAGGCAGTTTGGTTGCAACGCTTGGACCCTCGACTGCCGTGTGAGGCAGAGGTGACTTCCCTCCACGTCACGGGTCCCAGCTCTGCCATTCGAGCAAACATTTCTTTTTGCTGGATTATCGATCAACGTTCACGAATGTTACTGTGCTAGCATCAGAGTGATTACTGTTGTCGCTGAGATGACATGGAACACGTGTTGCATGACCGCTCCCCCACAACCATGCAAGGCGGAGTTTGTCGGGGAGTTAGGCGCGCAGGTCTGCTCTGCAACGGAGCCTGGCCTATACCTTTGGATGCAGGGCATGGTGTGGATAACGCGCCAGGCAATCCAAACTGACCCCCTCTAATCAAACCACACCTGGAGGCTCGGCAACCACATCCGTGCTTTGGTGGCTCTGAGGCCACTTGCGACGAGACCGATTAGGCTCGGGAGGAGAGACGTGAGGTTCGGAAGGGTAATGCCCAACGCCCATGGCTCATCCATTATCCCCTGGCTGCGAGAACCTACCTAGGTTTTCAAACCCTCCTGCCTCTCTCCTCCAGGGTTCCGTTCTCAGCTCCCAGCAGCACAGCAGCAGCAATCACTTCCTGTCCTGTTCCCCTCTCCCAGCTCTGCCCAGATCTATGGCTTCTCTTCATCTGTTTCCATCCCCCAACTTCCTCAGTAGCTAGGTTTTTCTGACAGGTTTTGATTAGTGACTAAGAGAGTAATCTGGTTATGGCGTTAGGCGTGGCCCACATCCCTAGGACCCTTGGAAGCGCATGTCCAGCCAAGCTTACTTCAGCGGCGCCTTCTCTTAGGACCAAAACGCAATGTCGGAGCACAGGGAAGTTTAGGCCAAAGAAGCAGCAGTCGCAGCGGCGGTCGGAACCTTGCGAGCGGCTTCAAACAACAGTTCAAGCATCACTAGCGAGCGAGCGACTAAGTAGCGCGTTTCCGTACGCTTCTGCCGATGAGTTAACAAGGAGGAGTATGCCAGTTGCTCAACAACGATGGGCTAGTAGCACTCTTCAAAATGACGAGTCATGGATTGTTTACACGAGCGACGACTTTCCAGAGGACAACAGCGCGACGGAGAGATTAGAAAGACTAGGATCTAGCGCACAACTGGATACCGCCTCGTGGACGGAGCACAGCGTTCCTAGTTCGCGGGATAGCGGAGGAAGGAGTGCGGGAGTTCCTGTCTTCATCATGCTCCCTCTGGACTCTATCACCATGAGCAACACGATAAGCCGACCGCGAGCGTTTAGAGCTAGCTTGACAGCCCTGAAAAGCGCCGGCGTGGAAGGAGTCATGATGGACGTCTGGTGGGGAATAGTAGAAAGAGAAGGGCCGGGAAGATACGACTGGTCGGCATACAAGGAGCTAGTTTCGCTCGTCAAAGAAGCGGGGCTGAAGGTCCAGGCGGTGATGTCCTTTCACCAGTGTGGAGGCAACGTTGGAGACCATTGCATGTAAGCCTTAAGTTTCCGCATCTTCGGTCTTCAGAGACCTCCAGCGTTCCGCTTAGTAGTCAGGGATGGAAGTATTATCAGGGCTGCGGTCCATGCCATTTTTTTAGATGCAAAGCCGTCAAACGTGCTGATTTTTCCCCTCTTCTTACCCGTCCTGAACGGCCAACGCTTATGTCGCAGGATACCTTTGCCTCCGTGGGTCCACGAGGCGATAGACAAGAACAACGATGTTGTGTACACGGACCGGGCCGGGCGACGAAACAGAGAGTACCTTTCCTTGGGCTGCGACAACCTTCCTGTTCTTCAAGGTCGGACGCCGATTCAAGCTTACAGCGACTTCATGAGGAGCTTCAGGGACGCGTTCTCGGAAGACCTCGGTTCTGTTATCACGGTGAGTCGACAATCGCGATAGGGCAAACTGGCCATTTTGTTTCGGCTTCGTCCTGGGCTTGGTCTGTGAGATGATTCTTACCCTTTTTTTTTCGTTGCTCCGCAGGAAATACAAGTTGGCATGGGTCCCGCTGGCGAGCTTCGGTACCCCTCTTATCCAGAGGGTAACGGAATGTGGCAGTTCCCGGGAATTGGCGAGTTTCAGTGCTACGACAAGGTATGCTGCCTCCTTCAACTCGTTTCGAGATGTCCTCCTTCTGGGTCTCTTAATGCGATTTTTTGTAGCCCTGTTAGTTTATCCTTTGATAGTTCTTCCGCTAATTTCTCTTGTGGGCTGTCGTGTTCCTGCAGTACATGCTCTCGAGCTTGAGAGCAGCGGCCGAGGCGAACGGAAAGCCCAATTGGGGTCTCGGAGGTCCTCACGACTCAGGCTACTACAAGCAATGGCCTCAAGAAACAGGATTCTTTCACGAGTTCGGCAACTGGAACTCACAATACGGACACTTTTTCTTGCAGGTTAGTAGTTGCGACTTCCTGATTAATCGTTCGCATTGCTGCTATCAGTCGACGCTTTTTCACCTTCTAGTGTTTGTCGTTCTTCATTCCTCGCTGCGTTGTATTGTATCCAATGCTTCTCCTTGGAATGTTGCAAAGCTGAAATTCTTTTGACTCCTTTTATCTTCCATCTCCCGCGTGCAGTGGTACTCTGAGATGCTGATTCAACATGGCGACCGGGTGCTCTCCTCAGCGTCATCAATTTTCCGAGGCACCAATACGTCCATTTCGGGCAAGGTGGCTGGTATCCACTGGCACTACGGCACCAAGTCGCATCCACCAGAGCTCACAGCGGGTTACTACAACACCATTTTCCGCGACGGCTACATTCCGCTGGCCCGGATGTTTGCGAGACATGGCGCTGTGCTCAACTTCACGTGCATCGAGATGAAAGATGCGGAGCAGCCATGGTATGCGCTGTGCAGTCCGGAGGGGTTGTTGAGGCAAGTCGCACATGCAGCTCATGTGGCTGGCACAAGAGTCTCTGGAGAGAATGCTCTGCCCCGGTTCGACGAGGGAGCCTTCAATCAGGTAATTTTTGCGTGAATTGATGACTTTCCCTGTTCCATGCCAAATTTATGTAAAATGCTCCATTGTCGACAACGTTTCTGAAACGCTGTTGTGTTTTTGTCACAGATTGTGTGGAAATCGAGGCTGCAGTTCGACGGATTCTCCCACGAAGCCCCGATGTCATCGTTCACGTTCCTGCGCATGAACGAGTGCTTGTTCCGGCCGGACAACTGGCGCAACTTCGTAATGTTTGTGCGGCACATGCGAGAAGGCCGGACATTCGCCCCTTGGGATGAGCGCCACAGACACTCCCATGCACAGCTGCACGCCACAGGATCCCTCACACAAGCAGCAGCAGCTCTGATGCTACAATAGGTTCGGTTGGCAGATGGTGCAGGACTGGCTGGCTGGCTAGCTTGAGTGGTCCGCGCCGCTACCCCTTTTTTGACATCAGCACGTGGGTTCGCCTCCAGCAGTTTTTCCGCCTTCCAACCCCCAATAGGCAGACACATGCCACTAACCATTCCGGGGACTTCAGTCCACCACTGCGACCATCTGTGTCTCGTCTCATAAGCGCTACAGCCTTCCCAGCAGGTGTCTTCCACCCATCCCCCAGCGACGTGCCGGGACCTGCCTTCGAGCAGTTATAGGTGGGGTTTGATTGCAACCCTTCTTGTTTCCTCTCCTGTTTGGAAGGAAAGGACCCTAGGGCATTGGGTTAGGTTGCATGCTGATCTCAACGCTGTGTATAATTGTAGAGCAGCGTGGTACTTCGTTTGTGCCCCTGCCATTGTAAAAGTGACATCATGATGCTGTATAGATTCATGAGAAATACGAATGATTGAAAGTGGTGATCCTTACATTCTGGCATCAAATGCTGAAGCTGACTTTTATGAATGGGTGAGACCCGGTTAGTAAAGCAATATCGGGGACAACAGCAACAAAAGCAACGGTTGCTTGATCGGTTTCTCCCCCTGAGCCTCTCACCTGTCTTCTTCCCTCAGGAAAGTCGATCAGCAGCCAACCGCAGCATTTGCTCCACACACTCCATCTCTCCCCCTGAGCAGCCGATCACTGACATTTTCACCACGCAGGTCTGTGGCTTTTGAGGCTGAGGTTGACACCTCAGCTTCCTTGCTGTTCTCGCTGGTCGCTGGAACTAACTGGTTCGGCTCATTAGCCACCATGGTCGGCGCGTGTAAGGAAATGGCTGTCTATTGTTTTGACAATCTTCTGTCGCACTATAATGGCGACGATCCTCCCCCACCAGCGTTTGAGGGTGGCCAATAGTAAGCTAATTAGAATTTTACGTGTCCCGCCCTTTCCGTAAGCGACTGCGCATCAGGAAGACCTGTTCTAATTGTTTTTGTGGTCTATATGACCTCGCAGCCCGCTGTTTGTTACCTGGAAGAAGGTATCGGACTCCGGAGAGACACGACTACGAGGGTGCATCGGAACACTGGAAGCTCGCTGCGTACTAACTGGGTTCAAGGACTACGCGCTTACAAGGTATGGTCACATGAAGCTCGCACGTGCTTCCAACCCTTCCACATCCGTACTTCCATCCCCTCCATTTCACATGATGCAGCTCCTCATGCCGTCGAAATTTCATGATGCAGTGCTTTGAGGGACCGCCGGTTCTCACCCATACAGCCTCGCGAATTTTCAAATCTCCAAGTGACTGTTTCAGTGCTGACCAACTATGAGATTGCGGTCGATTATCTTGATTGGGATGTAAGTCTCCCGGTTCTGGGGGTCGTTGTGCATCGAGAGCTATGGTGTGTCGTAATCTCTTCGTTAGAAAAAAAAAAAAAAAAAAAACTCAATAAATGCTCGTGTGCTTGGTTGCTCTACTTGCAGATTGGTACACACGGGATGATTCTTGAATTTTTTGATTTTCAAAACACAAAGAGAAGTGCCACTTATTTACCAGAAGTCGCACTTCATGAAGGTCAGTCCCCCCCCCCACCCCCCTCCCTCCCCCTCCCCTCCGCGCCTCCCTTCCTTCTTCCTTGTCCCCCTTCCCCTCTTCTCCCACTCCTCTCTCTCCAGGCCCGTTTTCCCCCGTCCCTCACTTTCCTTCAATAACGGTCCCTTCATTTTCATTCCTCCTCCCATCTCTCTCCTCCTCCCCCCGCTTCTTCCCCTACGCATTGTTTGAGTGATTTCAACGTGTGTTGCTCCCTTATATTTGCAGGTTGGACAAAGATTGAGGCCGTGGATTCTTTGATTAGAAAGGCTGGGTATAACGGACCTATCACCGATGCTCTCAGAAGAAAGCTTCGTGTGACTCGATATCAGTCTTCCATCTTCACGCTCCACTACGAGGAGTATGTGGATTATGTCCAACGAACAAGGGGTTACACTCCAAAAGTCTCAAGGTGGTAACAATTTGGGCCGATTTTCCCAACGCCCTCTGTACATAATTTCTTCTGGCTGGTTGCAGATACTGCATGCTGGCCATGCCTCATTGCTGTCTATCGTCTGGCCAGGTCATGTACGGGTAGTGAAGGAGCTTTACAAACTCTTTGGAAGCTGCTTGGCTTCAATTCTTCTACATGATGAAGGGCGAAGGCTTTGTTAATGGCTACCATTGTTACCTCTAGTTTCACCACGCCTGTATCTTGCTCCAGCACACTGTGATATCAATCAGTAATTCTTACTGCATCCCCTGCTTTCAGCAGTGTTACATGTGCAAGGAACCCAACCATCATGGGCTACATGTATACAAACATAAACAGAGACTTATACTACGTTTGAGAGACAACTGCACACCCTCGACGAAGGAAGCTAAAACCAAAAATTCCTCTTTGAATTGAGCTCTGCTCAGGCTGGATACCCCCCTCTATCCTTTCGTCATCACCTTGAGCAGCATTTCCCATGTCTTCTTCCTCCGTGTCAGTTTCCATGCCCAACAGTCCTTGGTCAACTTCAGCAGCCTCTTGTGATGCATCCAACTGTCTTGAGCTGTGCATGCTATTTGTGCCAACCGTGCTGCTATCAGCAGCACCAGTCATCTGCAAGCGAGGGAAGGAAGTGGCCAGCAGCTCAGTGGAAGTGATTGGGTTGAGTCAAGGGGACGAATAGCCTGCTGCCAACCCATTCTGTGAGATCAACTCACCAGCTGCTGCCACTGCTGCTGCTGCCTCGCCTGTTGCCGTTGCTGCTGAGCAGCAGCTGCTGCCGCCGCTTGGGCCGAAACAGCAGTCAGGTTTGCGATGGTCTCATCCACAACCGCTTGCATGTATGCTGAAACAGCAGTTTGCACCTGGCTCACAGCATCATTCACACGCCCCTTAATTTCATCCACGTGTTTGTCAATGTCTTCTTCGTTCTGTAACAACACCGGCTGTAGCAAGTTATTGTAGACGTGGTCCGTGCCTTTGTTGTCAGGGTACCAGAGGTAGATGACCAGGGCTAGCTTCGCCTCTGCATACATTGGCAATCTGTGCATTCCACAAAGTGTCACATGGGTAAAAAGCGATGGATGAGATGAAATTAGCAAACTGGACAGGACTATTCAGCTTATTAGCTCATGTTTGCCCAGTTAATACGTCTTTCTAGGGATATGGAAAACTTGATAATCGCAAGGTTCATTCAATATGTGCAACTGAGCGGTTTATGGTAACTCACAAGATTTCAAGCTAAATGGCCTGGCCAAGATCTTACCGTTCCAAGAAGGGGTCAGCCAAGCGTTCTGTGACTGTAATGAGGGCAATGAGCACCCTGCAACAAGTGGAGGGAAGCAGGTACGGAGGAAACAAGAGCCGGAAAGCGTATGTTCATGGCAAGATGAGTGGCAGATAACGGTTATAACTGACAAGTGCGGCACGAACATGGTTGCAGCTATGAGAGGGATGAGAGGGATGAGAGGGACGAGAGGGATGAGAGGGATGAGAGGGACGACACGTTTCCTATACCGGCAGGTGGGCGTACGGATGAAAGAGACTCCCACCAGAATTGGCAGAACCATAGTAGCTCCTTGACGTCAGGCCGTCGCTTCCTGATGGCGCACGCTGGATATACTTTTGAGAGGCCTCACAACCAACAAGCACGAGTTGGGATGAAAGAGGCTCGTACCAGAATTGGCAGAACCATAGTAGCTCTTTGACGTCAGGCCGTCGCTTCCTGATGGCTTTAAAGCAGAGGTACGCTGGGTATAGGTACCCGAACACCAGTCTGCTTAAGATCGTGCATACAGGGAACAGAGAAACGACGGGTAGAAAGGATGCGGATTTTAGGCAAGAGAGGATCAGTCAGCGGTTGTGCGAGAAAGTTACGGACCACGCGACTAAGACACGGATCGATGATGTGACACGTTGAGAAGAAACAGACGAGCATCCGAGCCGAAGGATCAGCAGGCTGAGCACGTACGTCAAGAACTGAAGCAAGGCCGGGGGAAGCATCTCGTTCGCTCAGCGACGCTCTGTGAAGGACTGTGCTAGGAAAAGCGTACGAGGCCCCTACGGCACAGTCGCCGTGAGAAATATCGTACGACAGAGCGGGCCTGCGGCAAGACGAATGAATAAATAGCTTTTCCGGTAGCAAAGCATTCTGCGACACTGCATAAAAAGCAACTCAGTAGCAAATCTCTGACCTACCGGCGACAACGAGCTCTGCAGGCAAAACTGCGCCGCCCGTGGGGCTCGAACCCACGACCACAAGGTTAAGAGCCTTGCGCTCTACCAACTGAGCTAGGGCGGCTGATATCACTTTCTTGTGGTTTTTATTCCTCCCTTTTCTTGTTGCTTTCAAATGCCCCTTTTCTTTCTGGCCACGGAATGGCTTTGTCGCGTGCTCCCACATGGGCATGGCCTCAATGCCGATGCGTCCTTCGCTCCGGTCCATCCGTTACAGTCACAGTGACCCTCCGCAAGGGCAATGACAGACGTCGCATCAGGGCGACTGCGAGCAGCAGCGGCGACCGCGGAGGGGGAAGCGGAAGGGGAAGCGGAGGGGGAAGAGGCGGAAAAGGGGGCGATGGGGAGTGGCTTACGGGGGGATCGTGGTTCGAATTTGACACCGATTCCCTCGCCGTGACGTCAGCTCCTCCTGACGATGACGTCAGCCTGACTGGCGATGCCAGAGACGCGCCTCGGCCGCCAGATCTGATCATCAGCAGTAGGCCGTCCGAGCTTGAGATGCGCCGAAATGGGCGGCAAGTTTCGTCGGATGCGGCGGCTGGGGCGCGGCTGCGCGGCAGGAGCGGCGGAAGGGGCGGGGGAAGGAGCGGGGGACGGGGCGGGAGCTTGAAAGATGAGGAGCTGGGGGAAATAATGGAGGCGGTTGGGCGCGCGGACGGGGGGAAAGAGGGGGCGGGGGGGGGAGAGGTGGGGGGGGGTGAGGGCGGATTTTGGAGGGGGGATGCTATGGAGGTAGAGAGCGTGAGAGAGGTGCATTTCAGCGGCTGCATTAATGAGTCGTACGCTATAAGCTACAGGCGGGGGGGAGGGGGAGCGGAGAGGGGGGATGTGCCCCGGCGGAGCATCTTTGTAAAAGTGAACAGGTGAGATTCACGGGGGGCTGGGGGCGTGCCGCAGGGATTTTTTGCAGGGACTATGGAGGTGGAAGGAGTAAGGGAGGTGCATTTCAGCGGATGCGTTAATGAGTCGTACGTTATAAGATAAAAGTGGGGGGTGGGGGAGGGGGAGAGGGGGGGGGAAGTGGAAGAAGGTTTGAGGAGGGGGGAGATGGGGTTTGGAAGAGCCTCCTTGTCAGAGTGAACAGGTGAGGGGAGGGGGGAATGAGGGTAGGATGGGGTGTGTGTGGGGAAGGTTCAAAGGAGGGGAAGGTGGGTAAGTTGAGGATTCAGGGGAAGGTGGGTAGGGAAGAGAAGGAGGCGGAATAGGCTTTTATGATTATTCTCATGCTCTTAGGCTTTTATGTTTCCTTCCAATGGTTTCAAATTCGGTCTCAATTTCCTGTCACCTTATTGTCACCTTATTGTCGCCTTATTGTCAACTTATTGTCAACTTATTGTCACCTTATTGTCAACTTATTGTCACCTTATTGTCACCTTATTGTCACCTTATTTATTGTCACCTTATTGTCACCTTATTGTCTCCTTATTGTCACCTTATTGTCACCTTATTGTCACCTTATTGTCAACTTATTGTCACCTTATTGTCAACTTCTCACTCTATTTATTTTGGGTTTTCCGTCCATCACCTTATCCCCACCCACCCATGTCTCCTGCTCCCCTCCCTGCATCCTGCGTACATGCACATGCACATGCACATCCACTGCACCGCCCTATCCAGGAGCTTCAGAGCAAGCGAGATGTTCGAAGGGGAAGCGCAAGTGTGAGTCCCACCCCTCTTCCACGTCTCTCCCATGCCCCCTCCCTCCCATGCTCCTCCCATACCTCGTTTCATCCCTTTTTTTTTTAGGCGCCTCAAAATTATGCCCCCTCCCATGCCCCTTCCATACCTCATTCCATGCGTCTTCCAGTGGCCCCATTTGCGTGCTCCTTCCCTCCGATGTCGCAGCGCATGCATATGGTCACTTTTTTTTAGGCGCCTCGAAAATCGACTCCTCCGATGTCGCAGCGCATGCATATGGCCACTTTTTTTTAGGCGCCTCAAAACTAGACTCCTCCGATGTCGCAGCGCATGCATATGGTCACTTTTTTTTAGGCGCCTCAAAAATAGACTCCTCCGATGTCGCAGCGCATGCATATGGTCACTTTTTTTTAGGCGCCTCAAAAATAGACTCCTCCGATGTCGCAGCGCATGCATATGGTCACTTTTTTTTAGGCGCCTCAAAAATAGACTCCTCCGATGTCGCAGCGCATGCATATGGTCACTTTTTTCTAGGCGCCTCAAAAATAGACTCCTCCGATGTCACAGCGCATGCATATGGTCACTTTTTTCTAGGCGCCTCAAAAATAGACTCCTCCGATGTCGCAGCGCATGCATATGGTCACTTTTTTTTAGGCGCCTCAAAAATAGACTCCTCCGATGTCGCAGCGCATGCATATGGTCACTCCTTGAATCGAATCAAAAGGGGAATGCGAATGCCTGTGCCGACTCTCGTCTCCACAGAGGCTAACGTTTGTGCTTAGCCCTTTCTTGTCTCCACATAGTTTAACTCATTCTGGTGGTCTCCACATAGTTAAACTCATTCTGGTGGTCTCCATGTGACCACCCCCGCCTCCCCTCTCCCAACCTTCTAGTCTTTCAGCGATCGCAGCAACTGATACCATCAGAGTGCCTCGGCCAATCGCAACAGGGGACTTCCGAAGCCTTTCCTCCTCCTCCTCCTCCTCCTCCTCCTCCTCCTCCTCCTCCTCCTCCTCCTCCTCCTCCTCCTCCTCCTCCTCCCTTGCTCTGGATTCTCCCGATGCTGTTTCGCATCGAGGCTCATATATTGTAATGGAGCATCTGCAACTGCTGCCATTCGCTATGGTGAGACCCGAAATTCGCTATAAACTTTCCTTCTTATCTTACCCTGGGATTTTTGCGTTGCCTCCCTTTTTTACCATTGTTTCAAATCTCAGGTGATTTTTGAGTCGACTCACAAATCTCAGTCACTTTCACTCTCACTCTCATTCCCGTGGTTGCTTTCAAATCTCCTCTCTCACTCCCCACGTTTCGTCTCCTTCCCCTCGTTTCATCTCAGATGGATCCGGCCAATCAGGAGCAGCTAGGCCGGTCACTGGCACAGCTGCACCTCGTGTCATCTGCCATTCCAGGGGTTCAATTCGGTTTCAACTCTCCCACACGGTACAGATGCCACATGAAACCGGACTCACAAAGTGCCACTTGATACTGTAACGGCAAGATGTCCACACCTTTCCCTGGCGTTGTACAGTCTCAAACCCTACAGCACGCAGTTGTCAGAGTCCTTTTCACAAATAAGTGCATCTATTTCTTTTCTGTGCGTGCCTGTACCTTCCTCTCGCCTCTGCCCCAGGCTTGGCGTCATGCCCCTAGCCAACACGCCCCGCTCCTCCTCCTGGTCCCATTTCTTCATCACCCATCGATTACGGGACCGCCTCGACGTATGTATGTGGCTGTTGTTGTGGCTAAATGACGCGCACCAAACATTGGTATCATGCCTCTAACCAACACGCCCCGCTCCTCCTCCTGGTCCCACTTCTTCATCACCCACCGATTGCAAGACCGCCTCGATGTTCGTTCTTGCTAATGCTTATTGCGCCTCATTAATTCTATGAGGTTATCTGTGTGCCGAGGTACCATGCCTTTCTGAAGGTGGCTTTTGAGTCAAAAACCAAGTCTCATTGAGGAATGTTTTGTCTCTCTGCCCCCTTCCTCTGCCAAACAGCGTGTCCTGGCTAGATTTGGTGACGAGGCTCGGGAGCTTCGGGAGATCGTCCCGAGCCTGGTAGAGGCGGCTGAGCGGATCTTGTCTTCCGAAGCGATGGCGGACGTTCGGCCGAGCCTGCTCCATGGAGACCTCTGGGTATCATGCTGAATCTTTGTGACAATGCCTGCGCCCTGGTTGAGACCTCTTTCCTCTTGGCTACTTTGTGCATACATTGTAAGGCACATGGTGACTTTTGAGTCGACTCAAAAGTCACCACATCACATCATAGAACACGTTTATTCGACAAATCCTGGGTCTTCATGCCACTCCTGAAAGGGCAGCTATGTATACCCAGGAAGCAGCTCTGCCCCTTCCACTTGGTGACTTTTGAGTCAACTCAAAAGTCACCCAGGAAGCAGCTCTGCCCCTTCCACTTCTCTCCCCGCATCTCCAGGTGCGTAACGCAGGCATGCTGCAATCAGGAGACGCAGTGATATGGCAACTTTCCAGTTGACTCAAAAGCCTCCTCCTCCGCTTCTCTCTCCCCCCATCACCAGGTGGGCAACGCGGGCATGCTTCGATCAGGACAGGCAGTGACTTTTGAGTCGACTCAAAAGTTCTCCCCCCCCCCCCCATCACCAGGTGGGCAACGCGGGCATGCTTCGATCAGGACAGGCAGTGACTTTTGAGTCGACTCAAAAGTTCTCCCCCCCCCCCCCCATCACCAGGTGGGCAACGCGGGCATGCTTCGATCAGGACAGGCAGTGACTTTTGAGTCGACTCAAAAGTTCTCCCCCCCCCCCCCATCACCAGGTGGGCAATGCGGGCATGCTTCGATCAGGACAGGCAGTGACTTTTGAGTCGACTCAAAAGTTCTCCCCCCCCCCCGCATCACCAGGTGGGCAATGCGGGCATGCTTCGATCAGGACAGGCAGTGATGTTCGACCCAGCAGGATTCTTCGGCCACTCTGAATTCGGTGCGAATGCTAATTTGTTCCCATTCTGCAACAAATTCAAACACTGGAACCGGTGCCTGTAGCTTGTCCCGCCGGTTCTGTGGCATCATTGGGTTGGACACAGTGCCGTAATCACCACCCAGGCCTGATTGGTGTTTGATTTCGTGTCCTCCCCTCCCCCCCCCCACCACCATTCAGATCTGGCTTTCAGAGGCTGGAAGCCCGCCCCTGGCTTCCCTGGTTTTAGTGAGTCCTTTTTGCTCTTACCTTGGTACCTCCTTGTTGCTCTTACCTTGGTACCTCCTTTTTGCTCTTACCTTGGTACCTCCTTGTTGCTCTTACCTTGGTACCTCCTTTTTGCTCTTACCTTGGTACCTCCTTGTTGCTCTTACCTTGGTACCTCCTTGTTGCTCTTACCTTGGTACCTCCTTGTTGCTCTTACCTTGGTACCTCCTTGTTGCTCTTACCTTGGTACCTCCTTGTTGCTCTTACCTTGGTACCTCCTTGTTGCTCTTACCTTGGTACCTCCTTTTTGCTCTTACCTTGGTACCTCCTTGTTGCTCTTACCTTGGTACCTCCTTGTTGCTCTTACCTTGCTACCTCCTTGTTGCTCTTACCTTGCTACCTCCTTGTTGCTCTTACCTTGGTACCTCCTTTTTGCTCTTACCTTGGTACCTCCTTGTTGCTCTTACCTTGGTACCTCCTTGTTGCTCTTACCTTGCTACCTCCTTGTTGCTTCCTGTTCCTTCCTCGTTCCTTCCTCGTTCCTTCCTCGTTCCTTCCACGTTCCTTCCTCGTTCCTTCCTCGTTCCTTCCTCGTTCCTTCCTTGTTCCTTCCTCACTCGTTCTTGCCTTGAGTAAGCTCTCTCGTTTACCTCCTCTCCCCTTGCTCTTCCCTGTATCACGAAGAGGTACCAAAGGCTCAGTCCTCCCTCCCTCCCTTCCATCTCTTACTTTCTGTAAGACTGTGCCACATTGCCCTCCCATTTGCGGACCTTTCATTTCGCCACACATGCAGCCGATTCTTATCACGAAGTGATACCCAAGGCCCAGTCCTCCCGCCCTCGAGAGGAGTCTATTTTTGAGGCGCCTCAAAAATAGACTCCTAACGCATTTCGCCACACATGCAGCCAATTCTTTCTACGCCGCTTGTCACGAAGTGATACCCAAGGCCCGGTCCTCCCGCCCTCCCTTCACAGACTGCGCCATGTTGCCCTCCTGTTTGCCGCCCTCTCCTTCCCTCCCCACTCGCAGCCGATTCTTTCTACACTGCATATCACGAAGTGATACCCAAGGCCCGGTCCTCCCGCCCTCCCTTCACAGACTGCGCCATGTTGCCCTCCTGTTTGCCTCCCTCTCCTTCCCTCCCCACTTGCAGCCGATTCTTTCTACGCTGCATATCACGAAGTGATACCCAAGGCCCGGTCCTCCCGCCCTCCCTTCACAGACTGCGCCATGTTGCCCTCCTGTTTGCCTCCCTCTCCTACCCTCCCCACTTGCAGCCGATTCTTTCTACGCTGCATATCACGAAGTGATACCCAAGGCCCGGTCCTCCCGCCCTCCCTTCACAGACTGCGCCATGTTGCCCTCCTGTTTGCCTCCCTCTCCTACCCTCCCCACTTGCAGCCGATTCTTTCTACACTGCATATCACGAAGTGATACCCAAGGCTCCGGGGTTTGAGGAGAGGCAGTGCGTGTACCAGCTGTTCCACCTGCTAAATCACGTGCTTATATGTAAGTTATATTTCCCAGCTTATTGTGCATTGCTGCTTTTTCGCTGCACATTTGTTGTGGGTTGTAGAGCATTGCTTGCACTGCAACACCTCACACCTTACAGGGGTGTGCCGAGCCGATTGCTTGAAAGCCCGTTTCTTCTGCCTTCCGTCCAATGGAACTGTGCAGATGGAAGGGAGTATTTCCCTCATGCTATGCAGATGGCGACCCGTGTCGTTCAACTTCTGTTAGACGAAACAGTGTATCCGTGATAGTCCCATCCCATGGGACTCTCGTGTGAGATGGACGTGCATGGAAGTTCTCATTTTTCCATAATATGCAGGATGCCTATAACCATATGGAGAGGATTGATTATGTGTCTGATGACACCTACTTGTAGTACTCATGCAACAATATGTCATTCTTGCATGCGTTTTTTTTTTTTTTTTTTTTTTTTCCTTGTGCAACGGATGAACATGTAACACTGTGCAACTCTCGTGTTGCTCACGCTAAATCAGGGCATAACCTGAGGCCAGTTTCGTGAGTGCGGCGAGACACTTTCGCGAGCTTCTGGGCAGACTGACGAAACCCGACACTCAGGTCGCAGATCTGGTTACCTTGAGCGCATCATGCCATACGTGCTCGGGAGCGCTGGAAATTTCGAAATTTGAAATTCATGGCGCAACGGCCCCTAGCCCAAGCTCTAGATTGCGGTGGAGCGGAGGAAACACCGAGGCATGGCTGGCTGGGGGGGGGATGGGTCACTCATGGGGATTGCCGTTAGCCGCAAGCAAAAAGGACTCGGCCATTTCTCAAATCTCTACACTTACCTTTAGCTACCATCACCACCAGGGCCGCGATGGCCATATAGCCTCGGTTTAGCTTGCACCACAGTAATTGTGGTTGGTGCTTTCTTGACGAATAGGCATGACTGTCATTTGAATTCCCATAACCTTTGATTATACCCTGTCGCTTACTCCAGGTCGCTTACTACGGCACGCTCCTTATCGCTGGTTGTCAGTTCTGACTTGTCGGCTTCGAATGTCGTCAAATGAGCAGTAGACTGTTGGTAGGCCGTACGCAGATCAGCTTGTAACGAGGATGGATAACCTCGCCATGGACGAGAGTAGGAACATTCTCTTTCTAATAGACGTCAATCCATTCCTCGCGACGCCAGCAAAGGCCGTTTCGATCCAAGCCAGCGTCTTGAAGTGTCTCCTCTCCTTCCACCCCTCCTCGTCACTCCGATGGGGTTACCACTTTTTCGACTCCAGCGTCAGCCCGTTACGATCGGAGAACAAGATTAAGAGGCTCCTTAAGAAATGCGCCGGCTCGTATGATGCGGCGACCGAGACTACTGAGAGCAACCGCAGTCGCGCCGCTAAGGACAACGCGAACCGACCGATCTTTCTTCCCGCGAAGGAGCAGGATTTCTGCCGTCTGGCGCGTGAGCTACACGCGCTGGCACACGCCGCACGCGGTAGCGCCGGATTACCCGGCGGCATTCACGGCCCCAGCCGAGACACTCTATTGTTAACTGCCGGGCCGTACAAAACGGACGAAGCCCCCCAGGATACGGCGGCTCGTACGCACCAGGAAAACGCCATGCGAGAACCTGGTTACCAAGTAAACCAAGGCATTGCGAAGCCTGGCGACAACATGGGCAACATCTGGCGAACTCTGTCCGATCTCGTGCAAGTGCGGTACACGTGGAGCCACTACCACGCCCGTAGCCCTCCGAGGACCACCCACGCCGTTACCATCACTGCTACAGAGAGCCATCGCCATTCGCATAAAATGGGGTTACCGGGTGACGCTGATGGTGGAAAACCTCTAGGCGGAGACGACCGTCTGGGTTTGGATCCGGCACGTGTGAACCACGTGGTTTTATTCACCAGCCTCTGCGGCGGAGGCTCCGCCAGCCCGGGTGTAGCAGCGCAAGCGGGAGACGGCGCTGAGGCGGCTGTAGCAGCGGGGAAGGCGGGGCGCGGCGGAGGGGAGTGGGCGGGTGCCGCCGGGGCGGCGAGGGTGCAGACGATGTTGGCACCGCTGGGTATTCAGGTCTCGTGGGTCGACGTGGGGCCAGCGGCGGAATCGCATTTGGATGAGCCAGAAGGAGCCGACGCAGCAGCAGATGCGCGTGCGCATAATCCTCGTGATAAAAACGAGAGGAGCGGCTGTGTCACACAAGCAGATGGCGCAGCGGCACGAGCGGCCAGGAACGAGGTGCTGATGGCGGGATGGTCGGTCATGAGACTAAAGCCGTTTTACTCAGTATCGGGGGGTACTACTTGTCCGTTAATATCTACTATATGGCAGGGGTTGAGCGGGGGAAGCGAGCCCTTAGCAGCAGCGAGGATGCTGCTACCCTGCAGTGCGGGCGCATCAGTAGGCCACGGTGATCCCAAGGTTAGCGGTAGTGGGGGAATCCACGGCCGACCGAGCGCAGGCGCGCAGACACGGTTGTCGAACAGCCAGATACCTTGCTTTCTGCGCGTCTATGCGGTGCCTGCTGCTGCTGCAGACGTGGCAGTGAACGCTGGCGGTTCTAGCAGGCGGGCTTATAGCGAGTACGAAGGCGAATACGGCGGGTCGGATGGTACACTTTCAAGAGCGAGTAAGATTCTTTCGGGCAGCATAGAGCTGACCCTTCTAGACGTCCAACAGAGGACAGGAAACCTGCCAACTAGTGCAGCTGAGGGGGGGGAGTGTGGGACGGGGGCAGGTGTGAGTCAGGAGCCGTTCCTTCAGTACGTGCTTCTGGAAAGAAAGAGCAAAGTTTCCTCTGTAGCGGCTGCTTCTGCTGCTGCTTCTGCACCTGCTGCTGCTGCTGCTGCTGCTGCTGCTGCTGCTGGTGCTGGTGGTGCTGATGGCTCAGCTGATCCCGTGAAAAGGACTGAGACAGGGCTCTTTGGAGTTCTCCTAAACTTTCTAGAGCAGGAGGGGTTGGAAGCGCACGTGCATGTGAGGAGCAATCGGGTGTCGTGTGCGGGAATCATCGCGCCTTTCACTGGGCACGCAGCCGTGTTGAGAATTAGAGACTGCCCCACCCTGCTGGCCCGGCAGCGGCGCAAGCCAGAGAGACCGCTAAGGAAGCCGGAAAGAGCTAGGCAGAGTCCCCCCCGGGGGTTCCAGGTGTCTGGTAAAGGCGGGAAGCAGAGGTACCAGGGGCGCCGTCAACAGGGTAACCAAGAACAGGGTTACCAGCAACAGGGCTACCAGCGGGGGAAGGAGAAGGAGCCTGAAGGGAAGGCAAGCACTGGGAGGAGACGGCAGGAGAAGGTGCCTGGAGGGAGGGATGAGGTGAAAAGTGGGAGAGGGAGAAGGGCAGGGAAAGAGAAGGAGCAGTGTGGGGTGCGGAAAGGGGAGCAGGGTACAGAGGCTGTGAGCGGCAATGGAAATATTGGGAAGGGGGAGCTTGGGAGAAAGAGAGGAGAGAAGCGAGGATCAAGGGGGGTGAATCACAGGGAGGGGACTCATAGGGTAAATTCTGGCCCAGGAGAGGATGGGTGGGAAGGTGGGTTGCAGTTAGTGGTATATTCCCAGGCGGATAGGCAGGAAACGTGGGGCGGGGCAGAGGGGCGGTATGAGGGTTTGGAGGAGGGAGGGGGGGGAGGGATGGAGGCGGAGGAGGAGGAGGAGGGGTCCACGGGCGAGTGTGAGGGAGAAGGGGAGAACGAAGATGAGTTCGTTATAGGAACACAGGCGTCGCAGGTCGCAGGGGAGGGGGGTGGGCGGCAAGCGGTGGCAGGGGCGGCATGGGGAGGGGGTAACGGACAGGAGGAGGTGCATGTTGGTGAGCGGGAGGGGATGGAGTGGGGTTTAGGGTTCCAGAGGGATGAGGGTTTTGGCAGGGAGCATGTGGGTGAGGGGGGTGGGAGTGCTGACGTATGTGAGACCAGGCGCAAAGGTTACAATGACGAAGGTGACTGTAACGAAGGGGGGGCTGGAGGTTCGTTCAGGAGGCGTGAGTTGGGTGAAGGAACGGCTTGGGATGAGGAGAGGGGGTATGAGGAAAGGGGGTATGAGGAGGCCGAGTTGGAGTTCCTTCTAAGCCAGCAAGAAACGGCCAACAACGAATCTGGCATGATCCGCGATGATTCAGAGGAGATTCGCAACGGCCCAGACAAGATTCGCAGGAGAAATCTAGGCGGGGAGGCGAGCTCTTTCTGGTTATCTGGCGCCGAACGAGCGGAGTGTGGTGGGGACCACATGACGCGGCTGAGAGCCGTGCTGACTCATACCTGGGCAGGAGGGCGGGGGGATCAGTCAATGCTGCAGGGTGCGGTGGGAGGGGAAGAAAGAGGGCGAGGAGGACCGGGTACGGCCACAGAAACAGATGCAGAGGAAGTAGAAGAGGCAGAGGCGGAAGCACTTGTTAGAGATGCTGCTGGGAGATCTGAGCAGGAGCAGGGCAGGGAAGGTGTGAGAACGGCGATGGGGAAAGGGCGGGGAGGCGGGCGAGGCGGGCGAGGCGGGGGAGGCAGGGGAGGCGAGGGAGGCGGAGCAATGGGGCGAGCTTTAGACGGAAGAGGACTGGAGTTGGTGCTGTGGGATGGAGGGAGAAGAGGTGGTGAGGAATCTGGGGCACTTGGGAGTGTTGCGGATCAAAGGAAAGGGGAGGCAGAGAGAGTAGAAGAAGGCAAGGGGCTGGGGAAATTGGAGGGGGAGATGTCAGGGAGAATGGGGGGGGAAATTCCGAAGGGAGGTGACTCTGCCTTCGGTTGTAGACCCGTTGAGAGTGCTGCCAGGCTGGCAGAGCGTGTGGCTGACGTGTTGCATGACGTGACAGCGGATCTGTACAGTGCTGCCGCGGGATTGGTGCGGGAGACACGGCAGCTGTTCGGAGGGGAAGTAGAGAGGAGGAGGGGGATGTGCGGAGGGGAGAAGGGAGAGGGGAAGGTAGAGAGGAGTGGGGGGATGTGGAGAGAGGATGACGTGGAGAGGAGGGAAGAGGGGGGGTTAGAGGAGGAGGTAGAGAGGAAGGTGCAGGAGGCGCTGCTTTTGAGCAAGGCGGATTTGCAGAGGAAGTATCCCTTGGGTCGATGTGCTGAGACGCACGAGATATCGAGAGCAGGGGAGCAAGGGCCGCCCACGCTGGGAGACAGGGTCAGATGGTGAGCGCTAGTTAGTCTAGGCGGCATCACCTGACTCTGTCATCATCATCATCATCATCATCATCATCATCATCATCATCATCATCATCATCATCATCATCATCATCATCATCATCATCATCATCATCATCATCATCATCATCATCATCATCATCATCATCATCATCATCATCATCATCATCATCATCATCATCATCATCATCATCATCATCATCATCATCATCATCATCATCATCATCATCATCATCATCATCATCATCATCAGCATCATCATCAGCATCATCATCTGAAAACAAGTTTTCCTTCAGCTGAACCGTGAAGAACCCTTTCAGAACCGTGCTGCACCATGCGGATTGAGACTCTGTCACTCCCTTTCCCGTCCAACCCTTCCCTTCACTTCCTCACCTTCTCCCCACCCCCTCCCCCGCCCCTCACCCCCCCCCCCCCAAGCCACGAGCTTCAGATTCTGCTTCGCCTGGAGCTGCTGCCCTGCGACGACCCTTCACACCCCCTGGTGATCCGACTCGTGAAGCAGACCAAGACCCTGCTGGAGATGGTGGATTTGAGCAGGGAGGGCGGCGTGTTTGGGGAGAGCCTGGAGGAGTACGTCAGAAGACTACTGTGCGCGAGGTGAGTCTGAGGGAATTTGGGAAGTTCACGTGTGGACATAGCCCAAGATGACTTTTGAGTCGACTCAAAAGTCAGCCCAAGACCCTTTCTGGAGATGGTGGATTTGAGCAGGTAGGGGGGCGTGTAGGGCAGGAGCCTGGAGGAGTACATCAGGAGACTGCTGTGCTCCAGGTGAGTGCATGGGGACGCAGTACTCACACGAATCGTATAGTGAGATGTGGGTTGAGATGGGTTGAGATGTGAAGCAGAGCAGGAGGATACTGTCGGAGATGGTTGATTTGAGGAGAGAGGGGGCCGGGCGTGAACGGGGAGAGCCCGGATGACTACGTGAGGAGACTGCTGTGCGCGGGGTGAGTTGGTGGGAATGTGGGACGCTCAGTCGTGGAATGTGATTCGCAGGTGATTTTTGAGTCGACTCAAAAGAGATTTTTGAGTCGACTCAAAAATCAGACTGCTGTGCGCGGGGTGAGTTGGTGGGAATGTGGGACGCTCACTCGTGGAATGTGACTTGGTTCACCCTAATTTCCTCTCTGCTCTTCTACAAGCTCCACTTCCACAGGTGGTGACCACCCTCCCCTCATAGGACTCCCCTCATCGACCCTCCACCACCTCTCGTACCTCCCTACCCCCCTCCTTCCCTACTGCTCTCAGGTACTGCACAAGACGCCCCAACTTGCTCTCACTGCTCTTCTCCAAGCTGCGCTTTCACGGCAGCCCTCTCATCGCCCCTCCACTCCACCCCCCCTCATCCCCTCTCTACCCCAATACTCCTCTCATCCTACCCCCATCCTCTTTGCTCTCCCTACTCTTTTCAAGTACCGCACCAGTTCTTCTTGAAGCGAAAGTTCCGTGTGACATTGTGACGAGGTGACTTTTGAGTCGACTCAAAAGCTACCCCAATACTCCTCTCATCCTACCCCCATCCTCTTTGTTCTCCCTCCTCTTTTCAGGTACCGCACCACTCACCCCAACTTCCTCTCTCTGCTCTTCTCCAAGCTGCACTTTCAAGGGAGTCCCCTCATCGCCCCTCCACCCCCGGCAGCAGCACAAGCCGAACCCTTGCTGCCCACTCCCACTCGTTCCAACCACCCATCTGTAGCTGGTAACCACCCGGGTGCGTCAGAGCCTGCTACAGCCGTGGCTCCCCCAGAGGCAGGCGGAAACGCTGGTCCAGCTACTATTGTGCGTGATCTATCCCAGGCTTTTGATGCTGTAGCAAGGGACGAGGGGAGGGGCGAGAGGGAGGTTGGGGCTGATAGGATGGACAAGCAGCGGCATGAGGAGCAGGAGGAGCAGGAGGAGCAGGAGGAGCAGGAGGAGCAGGAGGAGCAGGAGGAGCAGGAGGAGCAGGAGGAGCAGGAGGAGCAGGGGCATCAGCATAAGAGTGCAGGAGAGGCAGGGGAAGAAGTGGAGGAGGGAGAGGTGGGGCAGGAGGGAGAGGAGGAAGGAGAGGTGGGTGAAGAGGAAGAGGTGTCGTTAAACGGGGTGTCGGTGCGAGTGCGGCTGGGGCAACACGCACGGGCACGGGCAGCGGATCGAAGCCAAAGTGTGACTAAAGCAGGGTCGGACGCACATGGCTCTGTGAAACAGATAAGTGACTCTAACAGAGTAGGCACTCCCAGCCTACAGAGGCACCAACGGCGGGGTGGTTCCCAGGGGAATGGCAACAGCTTTCAGCAGCAGAACTGCAAACAGCAGCGCTGGGTGAGTGATACTGGAGCCACTTCAGGGAGAATTTCAGGGGGGCGTGCGTTCGAGCAGGGGATGCGTGATAGGGCGAGTGGCAGTGTGAGTAGGAGATCTGATAGCCTCGCTCCCAATGCTCGAGGGTCGGTAGGAGGGGACAGTCACCGTGGATCCTTCGGCTTGAACAGTCTCCGCGGGTCGTTGGGGCTTAACAGTTACCACGCTTCTCTTGGGCCCAGCAGTTACCGAGTCTCTGGTGGTAGCGCGGGCGTTGGTGCTCGCAGTGGCAGTGCCGCTGCCAGTGTTGGTGCCGGTACTGCTGCTGCTGCTCGTGCTGGTTTGGGTGCTGGTGGAACTGGTGGTTTCCGTGCATCCGCTGCTGGGGATGCCACAGCGCCTGTGGCCCTAGCAAACATGACCAATCGGGCAGCGAGGATTCTCAAAGCGGCAGCAGCAGCTGCAGCAGCTGCTGGTGGCGGTGGTGGCACTGGTGCAGGCGCATCAGGTGTAGGTGCATCTGGTGCAGGTGCAACTGGTGCCGCTGTCACTGTCTCAGCAGCCCAAGCATCCAGCCGCCGTCCCAACCCATCCGCCAGGCATCAAATGGCGCCTCCCCCCCTCCGCCCTCCGTCCTCCCACCCCCCTGCACATCACTTGTCGGCCCATCCCGAGTCAAGGAAGCGAAAGAATCCAGATGCCACGAGGGGTGGAGATGGTGCGGGGAAGAAGCATAGCGACGCTGGGAGGCACGAGGGTGGGGGGAAGAAGCATAGCGCAGCTGGGAGGCGTGGGGGTGGGGGGAGGCATGCAGACGGCGCTGCTGACTGTGTGACGTCAACGTATCGGGGGCCACTGGCAGGGGTGGCAGGGGCGGCAGGGGCAGCAGGGTTGGCAGGGGCGGCAGGGGGGGATGAGGAACGAGCAAGAAAGGTTCCCCGGCGTAGTTGGCCGTTTGGAAGGGATGTGGGGAGCACTCGAAGGAAGGGGGAGAGGGAGGGGAGGGGGGAGAGGAAGGGGGAGAATGAGAAGGGAGGCGAGGGGAGAGAAGGGATGGAGGTGGTTGGGGATGCTGCTTGGCTGGCTAAGCGACGTGGAGTGGAGATTGGTGGAGGGAAGGAGAAGGGGAGAGGGACGGGGGGCGGAAAAATGGGAGGGGGAGGAGCAGAAGCAAAGGACGCATTTACACGAAAGCTGGAGAAGAATTTAGAGAGGGCTGGGTTAAAGGCAGGGCTTAAGGAAAAGAAGCACGAAGGGACAGGAGACTGGGAGGATACCAGGAGGATGGGTGCACGAGACAACTACCCTGGGGGGGGGAAGGGGGCGATTGATCCATTTAGGAGTGAGAAGAAGACAAGCGGTGTGAGCCAGTTCTCCAAGTGGCACAGTGCTCTGCCGCCCAAGACCTTCCGCCGCCCGTTGCAGCAGCAGAAGCTGCCATTCGGCCTCCCTAGAAGCTCCTCTGCTGGTGGCGGTTCTGCTGCTGCTGCTGCTGCTGCTGCTGGGAAAGATGCGAAGGGAGAGAAGAGAGGCGTGGGGTCTGCTGTTGGTGGGGGGATGTGTGACGGACTGAGTGCTAAAGGCAGTGTGAGCACCACTGGTGCTGCTGCCTCTGTCTCTGCGTCTCTTCCCGGTCCCCTTGCCCCGGATGTTGCCGTAGCTGTTTCTGTGGCTGCGTCTGCGGCTGGAGAGGACAGGCAGCCCACCGGGCCTGCGGTTCGGCGATCAGGTTCGGGAGCTGGGTTTGAGCTGATTGGGCGGCAGAGCAGCTTCGGCAGGCTGGTTTTGACACAAGAGAGCAGCAAGGAAAGGGATACGGAGGGCCAAGTGGTTAAAGAGGGGGATCCAAGTAAGGGGTCAAGGGGTGAGGCTGGCGCTGGTGTATCCTCTTGTACACAAGAGGTTGAGAAGGGAAGAGAAGAAGCAGCAGTTGCAAAAAGAAGCAGCAGCTTGAGAATGAGGGATTCTGGAGTTGCTTGTCCCATGGTGTCGCCAGCAGCTGCACGTACAAAAGCCGCAGCAGCACCACCAGCACCCGCAGCAGCACCAACAGCTGCAGCACCAGCGGCAACAACAGCAACGGTTACCACGTCGGTTACAAGGCGATGGGACTTGGCCGGAACATCAGAGACCACTGGCGGTGTGGACGGCTTTAGGGGGAATGCACCGAGATTCGGTCCTCCTGCTGCTGACCTGTTTCTTGATTCTCTAGCAGAAATGCTGTTGGGGGGGAGTGATGGTGTTGGTGATCAGTCACCCCCTGCTGTTGCTGAGTGTTTCATCCGCCGCCGACCTTGCCTTGCTGCCGATCCTGCTCCTGCTCCCGCTCCTGCTCCTGCTCCTATTCCCGCTCCAACTCCTGCTCCTACTCCTGCCCCTGCGCCTGCTCCTGCGCCTGCTCCTGCCCCTGCCCCTGCCCCTGATGCTGATGCTGCTGTGGAAGTGGCTGCTGATGTGGATGCTGATGTGGCTGCTGATGTGGCTGCTGGTGTGGATGCTGATGTGGCTGCTGATGTGGCTGCTGATGTGGCTGCTGATGTGGCTGCTGATGTGGAAGCTGATGCCCCTGGTCTTGTTTCTGCTCCCACACAACCAGTGTTGGTCACATCGAATGGTGGTGGTGAGGCTGATGCTGCTGATGGTGGTGATGGTGGTGCTGCCGCTGCTGCAGATGCTGATAATAAAGCTACCAACGTCACGGCTACTTGCAGTGATGCTGCTGTCGCTCCTGCCCATGTTGCCGAGACTGCTCCCCATGCTCATACGAGAACTAAGGCAGGGGGCAGTGTGGGGAAGGGCAGAGGGGGAGGAAATGGGAGAGGTGTGAGGGTGGGAAGGAGGAGAGCTGGAGTAGGGAAGGGGAAGAGGGGTAAGCTGGTGGACAGAATAGAGGAGAGCAGGGTTAGTTTGACGAGGGATGAGGAGAGTAGAGAGCAGGTGTCGGGACAGGCAGTGGAGCAGCAGCAACACTCGGAGCAGCAATCAAGACCAGGGGAGGGGGAGGGGGATGGGGAGGGAGAGGGGGAGGGGGAGCAGCAACTGCAACAGGCGGACGGGGAGAGGGAGGGGGAGCAGCAGCCGAGTCAGGGGGAAGGGGAGGGGGAGGCGGGGCAGCAACTGCAACAGGTGGAGGGGGAGGGGGAGCAGCAGGGGGAGGGTGAAGAAGAGCAGCAATCACAACAGGGGGAGGGGGAGGGGGAGGGGGAGGGGGAGCAGCAACCACAACAAGGGGAGGGGGAGGGGGAGGGGGAGAAGCGGATACAGGGGAGGAGGACAGGAGGGGTCGAAGCTGGGAAAAGCGCGACAGCAGCAGCAGAGGAAGCGCAGATGCGCCTCAGGCGCAGGCGAAAGCCGGAAACTCCCTGTAAGCTGGTGCCTGAGCGTCTAAGGAGTTATAACTCCGTAAAGCGGCTGGTGAAAGGGAGGGGGGAAGCGCAACGGGGGAGTGAAGGGGAAGGGAAGGGGAAGCGGAAAGGTAAGTGTGCGCGGAAGGTTAAGGGGGAAGAGCAGGGGGAGAGTGGGGGGAACGTTAAGGGGGAAGCGCAGGGGGGGAGTGGGGGTGATGTTAAGGGGAAAACGCAGGGAAAGCGTGTGGTGAAGGTAAAGGGTAACGCCCAAAATGGGGACATAGATGTGGTGAAGGGGAGGGAGCAGGGGAGGGGTGGAGAAAATACAGAAATGGAGGAGGAAAGGGAGGGGCAAAGGGAGGAGGAAAGCGAGGAGCAAAGGGCGGAGCACTGGGAGGAGCAACGGGGGGAACAAAAGGAGGTGCTGGTATATAAGCGGAGGAACGGGTCTCAAGTGAGTACTAGTAAGGGCAGCTCTGCAGTTGCTGCAGCTAGTTCCTCGTACCACACACGATCGCAAGGGAAAGTAGAGGTAGAGGATGCGGAATCACCCGGGGTTATTGAGGCGCCTCAAAAGTCGTATACTTGTGCTGTTGCAGCTGGTTCTTTGTACCACACACGGTCTCAAGGGAGAGTAGAAGATGCAGCGGAATCGCCTGGGGCTGAGGATTCCCGCAGGAGGGGAGCGGGCTCGGGTTTTAATGGCTTGGGCTTTAAGGGGAAGAGCAAAAGGGAGGCAGGAATTGTGGGCGAGGTGGAACAAGATGGGGATTCGTTATGCACTAAGGGACGAAAGGGAAGGATTGGGGGGAGGAGCAGAGCACAGGGGGAGAAGAGTCGAGAATCTGTGTCAGAGGGAAGGATGAGAACGAGAAGCGCAGGGCCGGTGCTTGAAAGGCTGGGTGAAGGGATGGTTACCAGACAAGGGGTGGTTACCAGACCAGGGGTGGTTACCAGACAAGGGGTGGTTACCAGACAAGGGGTGGTTACCGGACAAGGGGTGGTTACCAGACAAGGGGTGGTTACCAGACAAGGGGTGGTTACCAGAGTTGCTGGAGAAGGGATGGGTAGAAAGCGAAGGGTGGGTAGTGGAGAGAAAACGAGAGGGAGGCCAGCCGGGAAAAGAGGAGGGAAGGGAGCGAAGGAGAGTGCGAAAGCAGAGGGAGGGAGTGAGGGGGAGAAGGAAGGGGAAGATAGAGAGGAGGAGGTAGATAGGGACGAGGAGGAGGAGGGGCAAGGAGAAGGGCAGGAGGGAGGAGGAGAAGCAGAGAAGGATGACAGTGGGGAGGATAAGGAGGAGGAGGATGATAGGGAGGAGGAGGGGGGAGGCGAGGGGATGGAGGGAGTTGAAGATGGCAAGGAAGTGGAGGGTGGGGGAGGGGAGGCGGGGAGGGAGGGGAATGGGGAGGAGGGGGAGAAAGATGAAGGGAGAGAGGAAGGGGAGGAAGCGGTCGGGCAGCAGAGAGAGGAAAGGGAGGGAGGAGGGGGAGGGGAAGAAGGGGAGGAAGGGGAGGAGCAGGGTGCGGAAGAGGAGGGAGGGCCAGAAGCGTGGAGGCTGGAAGAGGAAGGAAAGGAAGGGGAGGAAGGAGATGGGACGAAAGGTGAGGTCGTTGACACGAGGGAAGGTGAGGAGAAAGAAGATGGTGCGCAGGGGGGAGAGGCCGAGGGGGATGCTGAGGGTGGTGCCGGGGGTGGTGCCGAGGGTGGTGCCGAGGTTGGTGCTGGGGGTAGTTACAAAAGTGATGCAGGGGGTGCGAGAGCTGAGACGGAGGAGGGAAGGGTGCAGGAGGAACGGGCGGAGGGGGCTGGGGTAGAGGAGGAAAGGGAGGAGAGGGAGGAGGAAATTGAGGAAGAAAGGGAGGAGGAGAGGGAGGAGGAGAGGGAGGAAAAAAGGTTGGAGGAAAGGGATGAGGCGAGGATGGAGAAGGAAGTGGAGGATGTGGAGGCAGCAGGTGCGAGGGAAGAAGGGGAGGTGGAAGAGGATGGGGAGAACGAGAGCAGAAAAGCTGAGCAGGGGCGGAGGGAGGGTGGAATGGCGGCACAGGTGGAGGGGGAAGAGGGGGAAGAGGGGGCGGGGGGGGGAGAGGGGGAAGAGGGGGAGGAGGAGGAGAGGGTGGAAGGAAAGGAAGGGGCAGAGTTGGAAGCGAAGGAAGGGAGGGGAAAGGCGGAGGGGGGGAAGGAGGGGACGAGATGTACGGCAGAGAGCAGGAGGAGGAGGAGGAAGGGGGGCGAGGCAATCAGGAGGATGAGCTTTGTAGGGAGGTAGAGGAGGAGGAGGAGGAAGAGGGGGAGGAGGGGGAGGAGGGGGAGGAGGGGGAGGAAGGGAGGGAAAAGGTGGAGGGGGGAGAGGACGCGGGCGAGGTGGACGAGAGAGAGGAGGAGCAAGAAGAGGGGGAAGACAAGCAGGAGAATAAGCTTTGCAGGGAGGTAGAGGAGGAGGCGGAGGAAGAGGGGCGAGGCAATCAGGAGGATGAGCTTTGTAGGGAGGTAGAGGAGGAGGAGGAGGAAGAGGGGGAGGAGGGGGAGGAGGGGGAGGAGGGGGAGGAGGGGGAGGAAGGGAGGGAAAAGGTGGAGGGGGGAGAGGACGCGGGCGAGGTGGACGAGAGAGAGGAGGAGCAAGAAGAGGGGGAAGACAAGCAGGAGAATAAGCTTTGCAGGGAGGTAGAGGAGGAGGCGGAGGAAGAGGGGCGAGACAAACAGGAGGATGAGCTTTGTAGGGAGGTAGAGGAGGAGGCGGTGCAAGAGACGGAAAGGGAGATTGAGAAAATAGCTGGGGGTGTGGAGGGAGGGGAAGAAGCAGAGGAGAAGGAAGAGGCGGAGATGGAAGATGGGAAAGGAGCCGAGCACGGGGAGAAGGTTAAAGAGGTAGATAGGGGAGGAGAGAAAGAGGTCGAGGAAGGGGAAGAAGTGGAGGAGAAGGAAGAGAAGGAGAGGGAAGAGGAGAAAGGGGTCAAGCAAGTGGAGGAGAAGGTTACAGAGGTAGAGAGGGGAGGAGAGACAGGGGTCGAGGAAGGGGAAGAGGTGGAGGAGAAGGAGTGCAATGCGGAAGAGGAGGAGAATGAGCAAGAGGAGGAACGGGTTAGATTTTTTGAGGCGCCTCAAAAACAGACTCCTCACGCAAGGGGAAGAGAATGCAGAGACGAGGGCGATAAGCAGCAGGAGCGGGAGGAGAAGCGAGTGGACGAGGGAATGGGAGAGGCTGAGGCTGAGGCTGAGGCTGAGGCTGAGGCTGAGGAGGCTTTTGAGTCGACTCAACAGCGAGTGGACGAGGGAATGGGAGAGGGAGAGGCTCTGAACGAGAGGGCCATGGTGACTCAGCCAAGGGAAGAGAAACCAGAGGCTGCAGAGACGGAGGAGCATAGTGGGGAAGCGGAGGAGGGGGGGGGAGGAATATTTGGGAGGAAGAGAAGACGAGACTCCGAGGTTGATAGTACCAGCGAGGAAAAGGGCGGTCGGAATGGTCTGGAGAAGGGAGGGCAGACTACTGAAATGGGCGCCCAATGTATAAGTGAGTGGATAGAAGGGACTCCTGAGGTGGGAGGGGGGGGAGGGGAGAAAGAGAAAGGGGGAGGAACAGGGGCAGGGATGCCTGTACCTACTCTATCTAATACGAAGGACCAATTGAGAAGCAGTGGTGGTTTGCCTATGCGAGAGGCTGAGGGATGTGGGAACCCTCTAGTAGAGGATGGCGGGAAGAAGAAGAGGAGGAGGAGGGTGCAGCAGGGGGGAACCATAATGGCGCTCTTTTTGAAACGGGCATGCACAGGGAGGGGAGTTGCAGGAGAGATTGCCACGGGACGGGCGGAAGATGGTGAGAGGGGAATGAGCGCGGAAGGGAGTGGGGGCGACGGGGGTGGAGGGGAAAAGGGCGGAGGTGAGGGGCACGGAGGTGAGGCAGCCGGAGGGGCGAGCATGGGAATGAGGGCAGGTGGGGCGAGCGTCGGTGCACTGGCACGAGTGGAGAGTGCTGGGACGAAGGCAGGAGGGGGGAGCGCCGGTGCACTGGCAAGAGGGGCGAGTGCAGAGACGAGGGCAGGAGGGGGGAGCGTGGGTGCAAAGGCACGAGGGCAGTCGCAGGATATTCGAAAGTGGCTGGGAGTGGGGGGGGGGGGAAGAGAGGCGACGAGGGGATGGGAGAAGGGGGGCAGAAAGGAGGCCAGAAAGGAGGCCAGAAAGGAGGGCAGGGAGCAGCGGGGGGGTCAAGGGGGGGAGAGGGGCGTGAGACGATGGAGGGGGGAGTGCGGGAGGAAAAGGGGGAGGGAAGAGAGCAGCAGGGGAGGGTGGTGCGTCCCATTCCCAGCAAGGACTTTTTCTCACCAGCGGCTGTTGCGGGGAAGCACCAGCAGCAGCACTCTCAGCCTCTGGCTGTTTCATCGTCTCTCAACAGCAACAGCAGTGCTGCTGCTGCTGGTGCCTCCATCACTAATAGCACTGCGTGTAAAGCCACTCCTGATACCATCACCACCACCAAGACCAGGCAGACTTACATTAAAGCAGCCACTGGTGCTAAGGCTGGAGCTGCTTACCCTTCCCCGTCCTCCTCTCACCGGCTCACTCCTCAGAAGCGACGGGCCAGCTACCTAGCCGCAATTCCTTCCTTCTCAGATCAATCCTGCTCGCCTCCCCTCCCCACTCCCTCCCCTCCCACCGAACCCACCTCCCCTCTCACTCAACCCACCCCGCCTCCTTCTCCTCACCCCGATGGCCCCAGCCCTAAGAAACGTCAAGCCGCAGTCCCACGGTCCGACAGAAACGTCACATGTTGCCTCCCCACCTCCTCTGATCCTCCACAGTCCTCCTCGCATTCTATTCCGCCTGATCCCTCTTCCCCTTCACCCGTCCACAGCCCTCCAAACCCTAAACCCGATCCTCAGCCTCAATCCCACTTTCAACCCCAATCCTCTAAGCTCCAACCCGCTGTGCTCCAGCTGTCTCATCCCCGGATGGAATCCCCTGGCAGACCTCCCCAGGGCTCTTTTCCGCAGGAGCGCTGCTCCACCTTAAGTGCACGCTCCTTGGCACGAAAGCTGGGGTGCAAAACTCCCCGGAGCTCCTTTCCCAAGGAGACTTGTTTCCCCCCGGGTGCAGGCTCCAGGGCAAGCACTCCACTAAAGGGAGGGCGGAGGGTAGACGAAGGGGGGTTGCAGATGCGACGGGATGAAGAGAGAGAGGCAGGGGGGGATGGAGAGGGAGAGGTGGCGGCTCAAGCAAAGGAACTGCTGGGGGCAGGGGGGAAGGCAGAGGGAGCAGAGGCGGCTCAAGTAAAGCACCCCGTGAGGGCAGATGCAGCAGAACAGGAAGGAGGGGAGACGGCCTCTGGAGTACCTCAAAGCTCGTGTGAAAAAGGGCCTGATTCGCTTGAGAAGCCATACCAGAAGGGGCCACAGAATAAGCCTGGTTCGCTTGCTGCCCTTTTGCAGAACCGCCTACAGAAGAAGCTTGGTCAATCACGCACGGCCATTGAGGCGCCTCAACAGCCAAGCATGGCTGCACAACTCCCACCCGCCAGCCGAGTGCTCGATTTCCCTCCAGTGACTTTTGAGTCGACTCAAAATGCCTCTCAAGAACCACGCACAGCAGCACAACTCCCACCTGCCAGCCGGGCGCTGGATTTCCCTCCAGTGCCATCCCATCCGCAGCAGATCACTACCCTCCACGTTCTCACCGATCCTGTCTCCGTGCCTTTTGCCAAGCCAGCTCCTGCACCTGCCACTGCCGGGCCTGTTTCCGAAGCTGTGGATCGCAGGCTCAGGGGAGGTACGGCAGACGGTGGAAAGGATAAGGAGGGGTTACGCATCGTGGGAACTGCTGGGGAGGCAAGGGCGCAGGAGGATGGGAGTGTGGGAGAGGGGTTGGTAGTGGAGAAAGGGTCACTGGGGCTGAAGCGCGTCACTGCTGATCGTAAGACCAACGCCAACGGTGCTCAAGGGGCGGGTGAACCTGAGGCGATGGGAGGAGGGATGGGAGGAGGGATGAGAGGGACGGGAGGAGGGATGGGAGGAGGGATGGGAGGAGGGACGGGAGGAGGGATGGGAGGAGGGACGGTAGGAGGGATGGGAGGAGGGATGGGAGGAGGGATGGGAGGAGGTATGGGAGGAGGGATGGGAGGAGGGATGGGAGGCCGAGGGGTTGGAGGGGAGCAGGGAATGGCTGTTCGCCTGATGGGGGTTGATCTCATGCTGCCACAGCGAGCGAGGAGGCAGGCTCATTGTGGTTTGAAGGTGCATGGAGGGGTGCTGGTGGAGAACCAAGCACCGGAATGGCATGAGGGCTTGGCAGAATCAGCGTTTGGAACGCAGAATCAACGTTTGGAACAGAAACACGTGCAGGTTGTAGCAGAAACAGCTGCCCCTGCGGCCCCTGTTGCTGCTGCATCTGCCGCCACAACTGTCCCTGCTGCTGCTGCAGCTGCTCCTGCTGCTACTGCCCCTGCTGCTGCTGCAGCTGCAGCTGCTGCTGTTTCTCCTCCTCCTCATCCTGCTCTTTCTCATCGTCCCCCTCAACCAGCAGCATCTCGCTCCCATATCTCCCACTCCTGTGCCTCGCTCTCCTTTGTCTCCGACCCTACCCTAGCGGATGCTCTAGAGCCAGTAATCGGGTCTCAGGACAGCCTAGTGCGGCAGTACTGGGGCTTTGAGGCGTCCCAAAGCTCGGTTATCGGGTCGCAGGATAGCCTGGTTCGACAATACTGGGAGGGCGACGGGGGCACGAACGAGGAGGGGGGAGATCGAGGGGGGGGAGGAGAGGTAAACGAGGGGGGAAAGGGAGAGGAGAGAGGGATAGAGGAGGAAGGGAATGGAGGGGAAGTCCCATCAACTCTATTCACACCAGTAGCAATCCCATCGCCTGCAGTTGCTCTGGCACCAGCTTTCACAGCAGCGGTTGCCCCTTCTTATCAAGCCTTTTCTGGTGCCTGGGAAAATGAAGGCCTGCAAACGAATGTGCAACGAGTACCGGATGGCCCAGCGGAGCACCTGATCCAGGACTCGTTGCAACAGGGGCAGCAGCAGTGCCCGCAGCAGCAGCGCCGGCAGCAGCAGCGCCAGCAGCAGCAGTGCCAGCAGCAGCGGCAGCGGCCTAACCAGCAGCCGCTTTGCCAGCAACCTCAGCAGCACCAGCAGCAGCAGCACCCGCAGCAGCGCCAGCAGCAGCAGCACCCGCAGCAGCGCCAGCAGCAGCACCACCACCACCACCAGCACCAGCACCAGCACCAGCACCAGCACCAGCACCACCAGCACCAGAACCACCAGCACCAGCACCAGCACCACCAGCACCAGCACCAGCACCACCAGCACCAGCACCACCAGCACCACCAGCAACAGCAACAGCTGCAGCAGCAAAGTCAATGGCAGCAGCAGCAACAACAGGGAGTAGCAGCAGGGGCACAAGCTTACATACCTGCTGTCAGCCCACAGCAAGTTGCCCTCCCCTCTGCTTGTCTCAGTGCCTTTCAGAGCATATCATCGCTTGGCTTCCGTTCGCTCTCTACACACACCCATGCAGCAACACCCAGCACAACAGCAGCAGGAGGCACAGCAGCAGCAGGCGGGGCAGCGGCAGCAGCAAGCAGTGTCCAGATAACAGCCAAAGCGACGGCAGCAGCCCCAGCTATAGCAGTGAGAGGGAAGGCTGCCAAGGGGAAAGCGGCAGGCAAAGGGAAAGCAGCACCAAGAGCGAAAGCAACAGGGGAAGGGACGGCAGTGGTCAGACGGAAAGCAGCAGCAAGGGCTTTAGCAACTGCAGAGAAGCCACCAGCAGCACCACAAGCAACACTAGCAACGCTGACAGCAACTGCGGCAGCAGCAGCGCCATGCTGGAACCCAGTGCCTCATCCCACATCACTATTCCCCTCTATAACTGCCCCCACTGGCGCAGCGACCCCCACCACCACTGCAGCAACCCCTTTTGCTGCAGCAAACCCTTTCGCTGCAGCAACCCCTGTTCTCCAGCAATCGGGTTTCCAGCCGTACATTAAGCGGGACCAGCTTAGGCAGCCGAGCGAGACTCCGGTGCACCAAACGATTGCTAACCAGTATTTGCCACATCAGCCTGTGCCACATCAGCCACTTGGGCTTCACCACCATGTGCCACATGGCACTGTGCCACATGGCATGGTGCCACGTCAGTCAGCAGCACATCACTCACAGCCACATCAACCCATGCCACATCACCCAGTGGCACTTTATCCTGGCACACAGCAGACAGTGTCCCATCAGCCGCAGCACAACAGGGCACAGCAAAGCCAAGACCAGCCAACCCAACCACAGCGAAACCAGCCTGTGGGAAACAACGGAGTGCAAGTGAACCCAGCCCCGGTGACAGCAGCGCATCCAAACCTGAACCCAGCTCATCCGAACCTGAACCCAGCTCATCCGAACCTCAACCTAGCTCATCCGAACCTCAACCCTTCCCATCTAAGCCACAGAGCAGCCCGTCCGAACCTGAACCCTCTTGGGGTGTTTCTAGCAGCGGTGGAGCGGGCTCGGCAAATCGGGTCGGTACCTCCCCATGTGAATGCGGCATTGGATCAGGTGCATTTGCTGGTGCTGCAGGGGGGGCAGCAGGCAGAGATGGCCATGCGAGCGCTGCTGCTGCAGAGTTGGCTTGACTCGACCAGAGAGTATGAAGCGGATGTTTGACCAGGCAGACTGTATTCTATGTTATAATGCTTCCAATTTAGTGTTGTGTAATACTTTCAAACCTAGATACCAATACAATGCAGTGCAATATAAATCTGCTCGTTTTTCTTCACTTTCTCAGTACAGTACGGTTGAACATCCTCCTGACCGACACTACAGCTCGCTCTTGAAGCATTGCAGGGCGGTTATAAACAGTGCATGCGTATCTACAAATCACATACTTAGTAACAGCACATACATCATCAAATCCATGTGACCACTTTATCTAATGTGCTACACTGTAGTACATGCCCCACATAATGGGTACAATATGGTTACACTATACAGTGGCACTGGCTCCGTAGTCATGGCTCTCTTGGCTCTTCTCCCACGCCGTTCGCAACGGCACACTTCCAAGCCCTCTCGCCTCCCCTCCACGACCACCATCGTTACCAGCAGCACTACCATCGCCAGCACCAGGAGAATGTTTCTCGCTGCCTCCTTGCCCCTCCCCTCCCAGCAACTTGGTTGCTAACCCACCCCCCAAACTATCCCCACCACCAGCACTACCAACTGCATTACCTCTGCTACCACCACCACCAGCAGCAACAGCAGGGGAAGCAGCAGGACTGCCGGAGACCGCAGGGGCGGCTCCAGGGGCGGGTGCATCCAGGGGAGGGTTCTTCTCCAGCAGGCTGACGAGCTCGGCGGTGGTCTTGAGCGCATCGGAGAAGCGCCAGAGCGTGTTGAAGAGCGCCACGACCTCGTTGCGCTGCAGACACAGCTGCTCCACTCCGCCCCCATTCCCATTGCCATTGCTCTTCCCATTGCCGTTGCCACTGTTACCATTGGTGCCGTCCACAGAGAAGAGGATCTTAAGCGCGGTTGCGAGCCCGAGAATCTCCAGCTTGCCCCACAGGCGGCAGCGCTCACAGCCCACACAGTCCATGATGAGGCTGGTAGAGGGATGGGGAGGGATGGGGAGAGCGTGGGGAGAGGGAGGGACTAGTAAGGACGGAATGCCAAACAGAGCGCACTTGGCTTGCCCCACAGGCGGCAGCGCGCTAGCAGCCCACCCACTCCATGATGAGGCTGGTAGAGGGATGGGGAGAGCGTGGGGAGAGGGAGGGGCTAGTAAGGACGGGATGCCAAACAGAGCGCACTCGGCTTGCCCCACAGGCGGCAGCGCGCTAGCAGCCCACCCACTCCATGATGAGACAGGGTAATAGGTTGGTGGGGAGCGATGGCGAGCAGGGAAGAAAGAGCCAACTACGATGAAACTGGGTAATAGGTTGGGTGTGTAATGAGTCGATTTTTTAGTCGACTCAAAAACACTCCATGATGAGACGGGGTGATAGGTTGGTGGGGAGAGAGGGCGAACAGGGAAGCAACGACAACGATCCAACTACGATGAAACTGGGTAATGTAGGTTGGGCAATGCTTGGGAAGTGAGACCTTGGCAAGAAGCTGAGGTACCCCTGCAGCGTTTGCTTCTGCCGACCGAGGCCCCTCATTCCTGCGCCTCATCAAACGGCGACAGGCAAGCAGCCCTCAGCCTCTCGCCCCCCCACATCCCTTCCCCCTAGCTCTCTCACACAGAGGCACCTGGATATTCACCTGATGTTTCTGAAGTGCCCCTGCAGCGTCTGCCTCAGCTGCGGCCCCTCGTCCCCACGCCACATCCGCGCCTCATCAAACGGCAATGGGCATGCAGCTCTCAGCCTCTCGCTCCTCACCACCTGCTGCACCAGCGTTGCTGTCTGTGCGTCCTCCCCTGGGTTCCCCGTGTCGTACGACGCCCGCGACAGAAAATCTGCTGCCTGTTTGGTGGGAGGTAGAATACTAGAAGCGAAAGTTAGGAGATTGGGAGAAGCAGCCCTCATTCTCTCGCTCCTCACCACCTGCTGCACCAGCGCTGCTGTCTGTGCGTCCTCCTGAGGGTTCCCTGTGTTGTATGATGCACGTGCTAAGAAATCTGCCGCCTGAGAACGGATGAAGGATGGGGAACACGGGGGGGAGGTGGGAGGTTGGGCCGCGCAGCACCCAGCCCTCAGCCTCTCGCTCCTCACCACCTCCTGCACCAGCGGTGCTGTCTGTGCGTCCTACTGGGGGTTCCACGTGTCATACGACGCCCCGGACAGGAAATCCGCCGCGTGTGGTCAGATACACAGTGCACAGGGAAAGGGAGAAGGTCGGGGACAGGGGAGAGCGGGGTGCGAGGAAGGGAGTTAGAGTGGCTTAGAAGTTTGGGAATCCGAAGCATGTAGTCGAACCTAATGTGCACAGGGAAAGGGCCGAGATGACGTGGTTCAGGCCAGCAAGGGGCGCAGAACAAAGAGGAATTTCAAGTAGAGGGCCACATGCCAGACGCCAGACGCCAGACGCCAGAGGCCAGACGCCAGAGGCCAGACGCCAGAGGCCAGAGGACAGACGCCAGAGGCCAGAGGCCAGAGGCCAGAGGACAGACGCCAGACGCCAGACGCCAGACGCCAGACGCCAGAGGCCAGAGGCCAGACGCCAGACGCCAGACGCCAGACGCCAGACGCCAGACGCCAGACGCCAGAGGCCAGAGGCAAGACGCCAGAGGCCAGAGGACAGACGCCAGAGGCCAGAGGCCAGAGGCAAGACGCCAGAGGCCAGAGGACAGACGCCAGAGGCCAGAGGCCAGAGGACAGAGGCCAGAGGCCAGACGCCAGAGGCCAGAGGACACACGCCAGAGGCCAGAGGACACACGCCAGAGGCCAGACGCCAGACGCCAGAGGCCAGAGGACAGACGCCAGAAGCCAGAGGTCAGAGGCCAGAGGCCAGAGGCCAGACGTCAGACGCCAGACGCCAGACGCCAGACGCCAGACGCCAGACGCCAGACGCCAGACGCCAGACGCCAGAGGCCAGAGGCCAGACGCCAGAGGCCAGAGGACAGACGCCAGAGGCCAGAGGCCAGAGGCCAGAGGCCAGAGGCCAGAGGCCAGAGGCCAGAGGCCAGAGGCCAGACGCCAGACGCCAGAGGCCAGAGGACAGACCCAGAGGCCAGAGGCCAGAGGCCTGAGGCCAGAGGCCAGAGGACAGACGCCAGAGGCCTCAGGCCAGAGGCCAGACGCCAGACGCCAGACGCCAGAGGCCAGAGGCCAGAGGACAGACGCCAGAGGCCAGAGGCCAGAGGCCAGACGCCAGAGGCCAGACGACAGACGCCAGAGGCCAGACGCCAGAGGCCAGACGCCAGAGGCCAGACGCCAGAGGCCAGAGGCCAGACGCCAGAGGCCAGAGGACAGACGCCAGAGGCCAGAGGCCAGACACCAGTGGCCAGAGGTCAGAGGCCAGAGGGCCGGAGGCCAGAGGCCAGACGCCAGACGCCAGAGGGCAGACGCCAGAGGCCAGACGCCAGACGCCAGACGCCAGACGCCAGACGCCAGACGCCAGACGCCAGACGCCAGACGCCAGACGCCAGACGCCAGACGCCAGACGCCAGACGCCAGAGGCCAGAGGCCAGACGCCAGAGGCCAGATGCCAGATGGCAGGGGCCAGAGGCCAGAGGCCAGAGGCCAGATGGCAGGGGCCAGGGGCGATGCCAGATGGCAGGGGCCAGGGGCGATGGCAGATGGTGTGGGAAACAGCGAGCACCACTGACAGACTGCCGTGATTGACCAACGTTGAATGCTGTGGGAACTTGAAGCAAGAAGGGCTTCGCGACAGAGGGATTTCTCAATCTGAGATGTATACCACTAGAGGTTCTTACCTTACTTTGGTGGCGGCACGCACATGAGAGCACGTGAAGAAGGGTACATGGAAGAAGGGTATATTCAAACACAGGGTCGTCTCACTTTGGCATGCGTACTGCTAGAGGTTCTTTCCTGGGTGGCGGCGTGCAGCACGAAGAGGAAGGTGAAGCAGAGGTTGGCCTGCTCTGGAAACTTGTCTGCTGTTGCTCTCACGTTGAGTGCACATGAGAAGGGGCAAGGGCAATCTGATAGTGGGGGTTCTTCTTACCTTGGTCGCTGCACGCAGCACGAAGAGGAATGTGAAGTAGAGGTTGGCCAGGCGCTCTGGGAACTTGGCGACACGATGGTGGAAGATGGCGATATTGGGACCCCACTGCGGTACGGGGCAGCGGAAACGAGGGGCAGCAGGGAGGTTGGAAGTTGGACAGGGGAACAATGAAGAGGATCAAGGGAAGTCGGCCACGGGATGGTGGAAGATGGTGATATTGGGACCCCACTGAGATACGGGGCAGGGGAAACGAGGGGCAGCAGGGAGGTTGGAAGTTGGACAGGGGAACAACGAAGAGGATCAAGGGAAGTCGGCCACGGGATGTTGAAAAGACCGAATTCTACTTGTGCTTCAAGATCAGGATCAATTCCAGAGAACAAAAAACATGGGGTTGGATAAGTAGGGGAGCGCAACAGAACCACAAAGGCAAGGGGGGGGGAGTGACAAGGATTGCACGACGCATGAAGCAAGGAGGAACTCAGCATCAGGACGAGGGAGTGAGAAGCTGGCGATGCTGGGAGCAAGCATGAGGCTCGCCGCTCCGAGCACGTGTGCTCTGGGGCTGCTATCCCCATCACCCTCGCCTACCCTTTGCCCAGCAGTGGAATCCCACATCTGTGATGCAGCTACGTGCACTGATATCGACTAGTGCAGGCCTCATATGAGGCGGGAGAACACCCGCCGCTCCGTGCACGCGTGCTAGGAGCTGTCCTGGTGCTAAGTCGAGCCAACGGAACCCCATCTGGCTCACCTGGCCAGGAGTGGAGTCCCAGATATGAGACGCCCGGTTATGGCTCTTTTCGCCTTGTGTCTCACTGCCCACAGCGCTCACCTGGCCAGCAGTGGAGTCCCAGATATGAGACGCCCGGTTATGGCTCTTTTCGCCTTGTGTCTCACTGCCCACAGCGCTCACCTGGCCAGCAGTGGAGTCCCAGATATGAGACGCCCGGTTATGGCTCTTTTCCCCTTGCGTCTCACTGCCCACAGCGCTCACCTGGCCAGCAGTGGAGTCCCAGATATGAGACGCCCGGTTATGGCTCTTTTCCCCTTGCGTCTCACTGCCCACAGCGCTCACCTGGCCAGCAGTGGAGTCCCAGATCTGAGACGCCCGGTTATGGCTCTTTTCCCCTTGCGTCTCACTGCCCACAGCGCTCACCTGGCCAGCAGTGGAGTCCCAGATCTGAGACGCCCGGTTATGGCTCTTTTCCCCTTGCGTCTCACTGCCCACAGCGCTCACCTGGCCAGCAGTGGAGTCCCAGATCTGAGACGCCCGGTTATGGCTCTTTTCCCCTTGCGTCTCACTGCCCACAGCGCTCACCTGGCCAGCAGTGGAGTCCCAGATCTGAGACGCCCGGTTATGGCTCTTTTCCCCTTGCGTCTCACTGCCCACAGCGCTCACCTGGCCAGCAGTGGAGTCCCAGATCTGAGACGCCCGGTTATGGCTCTTTTCCCCTTGCGTCTCACTGCCCACAGCGCTCACCTGGCCAGCAGTGGAGTCCCAGATCTGAGACGCCGCCACATGGACCGATATCGACTGGTGCAGCCCCGATATGAGGCGGTAGAACACCCGCCGCTCCGTGCACGTGTCCTTGGACCCATCCTGGAAGCAGCTCTCCTGGTAAATGGCCTGCCATATGCGCCGCGCTGAATCGCCCCCGTACCCAGTGTAGCGTTCAGGGTTGAGTGCTAGGTTCACGTACACCTGGGAGGCTGGTGGAGCAGGTGGGAGGCCGGAAGGGGGGGAGAGGCAGAGGAGGGGAGGAAAAGCGGGGGTGGTTGCTTGAGGGAGTGTGTCCTTCAACCCATCCTGGAAGCAGCTTTCCTGGTAAATGGCCTGCCATATGCGCCTGGCTGAGCCCCCCCCTACCCGGTGTCGCGTTCAGGGTTCAGTGCCAGGTTCACATGCACCTGGGAGGCTGGGAAGGGGTTTAGGGTGGAAAAGCGGGGGGGAGGGTGGGAAGGGGTTTAGGGTGGAAAAGCGGGGGGGAGGGTGGGAAGGGGTTTAGGGTGGAAAAGGGGGGGGGGGGGGGGGTGGGAAGGGGTGAGAGGCAGGAAAAGGCGGGTGGGTAAGTGGGGTATAAGTTGGTTGTGCGAGCGTCCTTGGACCCATCCTGCAAGCTATGTGTTGTTTCAAGCAGCTCTCCTGGTAGATGGCCTGCCATATGCGCCATGCTGAATCCCATACATACCCAACTTAGCGTTCAGGGTTGAATGCTAACTTCACGTTCTTTTGAGGCGCCTCAAAAGGCGTTCAGGGTTGACTCAAAAGACTTCACGTACACCTATGAGTCGACTCAAAAGACTTCACGTACACCTATGAGTCGACTCAAAAGACTTCACGTACACTTAAAAGGCTGGGAAAAAAGGGTTTACCTGGGTCTGACTCGTCATCAGCCGTCCACGAGTTATCCGCCTCCACCCACGCCTGAAACGCACTCCGAAAGCTGTTTCACACCCAACAATCTCTTTGTGCATCACATCCATATTGCTCCATATCGCGATACAGGTATGGTGGTGAGAGCGATATGTTCACATCCATCATACCCATATCGCCATCTCCGTACCTGTATCGCTCTCACCATACCTGTATCATTCTCACCACACCTGTATCGCTCTCACCACACCTGTATCGCTCTCACCATACCTGTATCGCTCTCACCATACCTGTATCTGACTCATCATCAGCCGTCCACGGGTTATCCGCCTCCACCCACGCCTGAAACGCACTCCGATCCACTGTCCGATCCACCGACCCCGCTGACTCAGCCTTTGCTGACTCAGCGACGCCGGAACCTGATTCATCCGCGCCCGAGTCCAGGTCAGCATCGCGTGGCTCGTCCACGTCGGCAGGGAGCAGGGAGGGCGGGCGCGGGGAGGGGCAGCGGAGGGGAGCGGGGACCTCGTCATCCCGGCATTCCCCCACGGAACAATCTCGCGAGTGGCACATGCCGTCGTCAGGCCAGAAGGGGCAGTCGCACCACAGACGAGCCTGACAGGGGGGGGGGTTGTGGAGGGGGGTGGGTAATAATGGGGATGGGAGGGAGGAAAGTGGAGGGGAGCAGGGGCCTCGTCATCCCGGCATTCCCCCACGGAGCAATCCCTAGACTGGCACATGCCGTCGTCAGGCCAGAAGGGGCAGTCGCACCACAGACGAGCCTGGAGGGGGGAAGTGGGAGGGGGGAGGGGGGAGCGGGAGGGGGGAGGGGGGAGGGGAGCAATAGGAGCAGTGGATGCGGATGGGCGCAAACAGAGGGTCGTCGTCGTCCTGGAACGCCCCCCCATGGAACTCCCCATCGTCCTCCCCATGGAACAATCTCTGGAGAGGCACATGCCGTCATCAGGCCAGAAGGGACAGTAGCATCACCGACGAACCTCACAGAGGGGTGGAACGAATCTCACAGAGGGGTGGAACGAACCTCACAGAGGGGTGGAAGAACAGAGAAAAGCGGGAACCCTTTCATCCCTAGCACGCTTTTTGAGTCGACTCAAAAATCGACTCAAAGGTCTAGTTTTGAGGCGCCTCAAAACAAGAACAGAGGGGTGGAAGAACAGAGAAAAACCTTGAAAAGCGGGAACCGTTTCATCCCTTGCACGCTCTCACTCTCCTGTGGAACACTCCTTCAAGTGACTCCTTCAAGTGACTCCTTCAAGTGACACCTTGAAGCAAAGATGCTGACCACAATGCAACACACCCCAGGCTGCTGGCGGCTGCCGGCGACTGCTGGCGGCTGCTGGCGGCTGCTGGCCGCTGCTGGCCGCTGCTGGCGGCTGCTGGCCGCTGCTGGCGGCTGCTGGCGGCTTCTGGCGGCTGCTTGCCGCTGCTGGCGACTGCTGGCGGCTGCTGGCGGCTGCTGGCGGCTGCTGGCGGCTGCTGGCGGCTGCTGGCCGCCGCCGGCGGCTGCTGGCCGCTGCTGGCCACTGCTTGTCACTGCTAGCCGCTGCTGGCCACTGCTTGTCACTGCTAGCCGCTGCTGGCCACTGCTGGCGGGCTGCTGGCCGCTGCTGGCCGCTGCTTGTCACTGCTAGCCGCTGCTGGCTGCTGCTCCACTGGATCAAACGCGTTCGTGTTTTGACGCACCTCGAAGTATTTGAGGAAGGTTGTGTTGACGAGCTGCGTACTGAGCCGTCCGGGCACAAGGGAATGAGGTTCCTCACGACCCAGCCAAGGCAGAGGGCAGCGCACCTTGAAGTATTGAAAAAAGGGTGATGTTGACGAGCTGGGTCCGCTGCGGTTGCAGCACCTGCGTGTTGAGTTCGTCTACTGTTTCGAATTCTTGTGTGTTTTGAGGTCCTCCTAACTCAATACACACCTTGAATCGCAGAGGGCAGCGCACCTTGAAGTATTTGAAGAAGGTGGTGTTGACGAGCTGGGTCAGCAGCGGTTGCAGCACCTGCGTGTTGAGTTCGTCTACTGTCTCGTACTCGCAGCAGCAGTCGTCCACCACGCCTGACAGCCGCTTCACCTGCAAGCAAGCAGTTTGAGATGCAGCAGGCAGAAACACGAAGCAGTAATGAGCTTAAGGGTCAGAGGTGTTTGGTTCGTCCGTCGTACTCGCAAAAGCAGTCATCCACCGCGCCTGACAGCCGCAACACCTGTCAGCGACACGTGGCAAGAAGAAAAAACAGTTGACACGAGGCGGCAGCGTGGGGAAGTTGCTGCAGCGGGAAGCGATGGAGCGTACCGAGCGTACCTGACATGTGCTTGAAGGATCATGTGAAGAAGCAGCAGCCACTGGAGGAGGGATCCGATTACCAGCGACACCAAAAGCGCGCAGGCAGCTATGGCGCATGCCAGAGAGGCACGGAGCGTACCTGACACGTGCACGAAGGATCCTGTGAAGATGTAGCAGACACTGGAAGAGATATCTAGATTACCAGCGACACCAAAAGCGCGCAGGCAGCTGTGGAGCATCCCAGAGAAGACGGCACGGAGCGTACCTGACACGTGCACGAAGAATCCTGTGAAGATGTAGCAGACACTGGAAGAGATATCTAGATTACCAGCGACACCAAAAGCGCGCAGGCAGCTGTGGAGCATCCCAGAGAAGACGGCACGGAGCGTACCTGACACGTGCACGAAGAATCCTGTGAAGATGTAGCAGACACTGGAAGAGATATCTAGATTACCAGCGACACCAAAAGCGCGCAGGCAGCTGTGGAGCATCCCAGAGAAGACGGCACGGAGCGTACCTGACACGTGCACGAAGAATCCTGTGAAGATGCAGCAGACGCTGGAGGAGACTACCAGTGACTCCAAGAGCGATTTTTGAGGCGCCTCAAAAATCTGGAGGAGACTACCAGTGACTCCAAGAGCGCACAGAAGGCTATGGAGGATGCCTATAAGAGGGTACTTAGCGTACCTGACACGTGCACGAAGGATCCTGTGAAGAAGCAGCAGAAGCTGGAGGGGAAACCGCGGACACTGAAGCAGAATGAGCGGACGCTGGAGATTCAGAAGCGCTGCTCGCTCCTGCCGGTTTCGTTACCGAGTCGACAGGCGGTTGGTTTCCCGTGGACACCTCTCCACTCTTCACACCCCATTGCCGAAGCACCTGATCGAAAAGACCGCTGCTTTTTGCAGCAGCGGCTGTTAGGTACTCTGAGCCTGATGCTCCGTTTGCTACAGCTATAGCTACAGCTACGGCTACAGCCACGAGTGCGGCTGTAGCGGCGAGAGCTAACCAAACGAGGCCTGTTGATCCTCCATGCGATCTTCCAGGTTTTTTCCTGCCCGCATTTTGCTGTTGATCTCCGTGTTTCGACACGCCGTTACCAGGAGCCATGGAAAAAGGGAATCTCTACGCTTGCTTTCGATGCACGAGATTGACGGGATTGGAAGACAAAATAAGAAATCTCGCCGTAAAAAGGTTATGCTCTCAGTCGAGGCTGTTCCTATGTAGAAACCGTGCCTAAAAGCAACCCTACAAGACGTGACGCTGACGAGCTTGCGATCTCTACACGCCGACTTCCATCCAAGCACCTGATCTTCTGTCCCGATGAGAAACACTGGGACGTCAGGAGACTGGAATGCCTGAAATATCTGAAGCCAGCGACTAGGAACATAGATTGTCTCCACTACAGTAGACAGTGAGCCTCGAGATTTGCCTGGTACTGTACTGTATTTGCGATGTGGAGGGAGGAATTGATGGTGGAATATGGCTACATCGCCGTGAGAGCGTGTCCGGCGCGTACGTTTGATTGCGGTTGGGTGCGATGCTCTCTGAGTCAGAAGGTCCAAATATCGTTCAGAAACGGTTGGGCACGGTATCGAGAGAGAGCGGGACACGTCGTGAGGGCAAAAGGCTCGAAATGATTTCAGCTGTACACGAGTCAGAGAAGCTTCTGGCGATTGGGTTTCCATTCCATCCCAGTCGCCTCAACCTTCTGGAAGCAAGCACGAGAATGAAACGCACTCCAGCCAATCAGCGCCTTCAACATGGTTGGGTTTGTGCTACGCTGGCACTGTCTTGCACTACAAGGCAGGCCTCCTTGAACCCTCGGTCTCGGTCACGGGCCTCCTGTAACGCGTTACAGGTTGGAGGTGCTTCAATCCACGGTCACAATCGCTCTGTCAGGGAGATGGTCTTTCAGATGCGAGATTCGGGATGTTCGTCGGCTGTACGAAATGGGGGTCTTAGCTTCTGCAGTCAAATCAGTATGGAAAATCCTTTCATTCGCCGTCAACACATGCGAGTGATGACTTGGGGCCCTTCGGAGCCAAAACAGGCAGCTATATGAAACCAGTCATCCGAACCTGCTGCGAAACAAAACATTTTCGGGCTAGATTAGATAGGCAAATCAGGCACGCAGGCTGCCCAGGGCAAAACAAAATAAATCCCTTAGGGGCCCGCATGCCGTTTCGGGTTGGGTAAACCCTAAACTCTCGGAGGTATGTTTCGTGGGGCGATTTCGGTATAGCTGGATGACGGGGCTAGACTGCCTCGGTAACTTTCAAACGTATAGAAACGCGCCATGTCAGCATGACGGCAGCATCAGTATATTGCTTTTGTGCTGGAGCAGGGTCAGGGGAAATTTGATCCCGAAACACCTATTTCCTGTCGATTTTACAAATACTCTTTGTTGGGATGCGTGTTCCATCACATCATTCACCTCCATTCGCGAACCAAGCCTTCAGGAGGACCCATTCACTAGCGCCAACAAGGCTTGGGGACGCGGAAACGGGCATTTGCGAGGGTCGTTAACGGTCAATCTGTCCTCACGATGCGTGGCGAACTTTCTCGCCGCACCGCTAGATCTCAAACTTTCGAGCCGCATTCCTCCCGAATTTGCTTTCCCAAATTCCGCCAGGTCTCATTGTGCCTCGTATGCATGCTTGTTTCAAAAATTCCCACAACCGCCGTTTCCTTCCACTGCTCCTTTGTGTTCTCAGTGAGCATACCTCGTGCTCGTAGATACCTTGTTCTTTACGAAGAGGAACTTTCGACGGGCAACGAGACTACGCTTCGCAGTCGCGAAAGCCGTCTTAATTCAGGGGTGCGTCCCCGAGACGTGACATTAACCGGCTGATTTCTTCTTCACTGTTGTTACCTACTTCTAGAGGCACCATGGGGATGCATCGGAGACCCAGTGTCCACAAAACCAAGTCGCCGCTGCTTCGACGCAACCGCTGCTTCTACCAAAGATATTTTCCAGCTCCTATATCGCTTCTGGTAGCTGTTTACGTGATTCTGAGCTTGATAACGGGTCAGGCACTTTCGTCCGCTGCGCATTTAGCGTTTTCCCGGTTCCCTGAAGCAACATCAGTGCCTTCTCTGTTTCTAAGAGCGCCCGCTCGCATCCCAGAGGCTGTCAGATCCCGCCTTCCCCAGCCAAACCTTTTTGCGGTCAGATCCCGCCTTCCCCAGCCAGACCGCTCCATCACCTCCCAGCGCCTTCCCGCTGCTCATCGTGAAGGCACCGAGAAGATCCTGCTGGAAGACAGTGCTTCGAACGAATCTCGCACTGACGGGGATATCGGGGGGGAGTACGGTCGTGGCGGTGATGGGGGAGGGAGCACGGAGTGGCCGTTACTTCAAGGGGACGGGGCTCAACCTGAGGCGAGTTCGCCTTTCAACGGAGAAGGGCTGCGCGGGGAGAGGGAGAGTGAGGGTGAGGGTGAGGGGAGAAGGGAGAGTGACGAGAGTGGGGAGAGTGAGGAGGGGGGGGCGAGTGGGGCGAGTCCTCCTCCTGCCACGTGGTGCGACAGCGAGGCGTGCTTGCGCGGCGCGCTGCTGGATCGCGCGCCGTCCATCTACCTCACGCGCGACCTGTACCTGACCAATGGCGAGCTGCCACCTGTCAGGCACGCGGTGGCCGTCACAGGCCTGTGCTCGTCCGATCAGTGCACCATCGACGGCCAGGGACAGTCCAGGGTGAGGCGGAGGGGATTGCGGGTGAAGAGGATAAAGATGGGAAGCGTGTTCACGTAGCGGTGCCTTCTACCCCTTGGAAATGTCTTCCTTCGTCTTCTGCGCAGGTTATCATCCCCGGTCTTCTGCCCTCCCCTCCCAGCGCCACGTGCCACCGCCGCTCAGATTTTTTCTGTCCGGGCAGGCGGCTATCTCGCCTTCCGAATCTCCCCTACTACACCTTTTCCCCCTCCAACCCTGCTGCGTGCTCTTACCCCTCGGATATTCACCGTCCGGGGGGAACTACCCTGCCCTCCTAGTCACCCCTGCCACACTCTTCCCCTCCGTTACCCTGCGTGCTCTTACCCCTCAGATTTTCACTGTCCGGGCAGGCGGCTATCTCGCCCTCCAGAATATCGCTCTGGTTCACGGATTCGTTTCCCGGGGGAAGTTCGGCGGGGCAGTTTTAGTTTCCGGGCTGCCCGACTCAACCTCTTCTCCAGGGCAGCCCCTGCCCGGAGCTTACCTGTCCGCTATAAGCACGAGTTTCTTTAATAACAGTGGAGGGAGCGGGGGGGGAGCAGTGGCTATAGGGAGTTATGCGGCGGGGTTTTTCGATGGGGCCAATTTCGCATTCAACTCTGTTTTCACTGTAAGTCACATATCATGCTTCTATGGTGTGCCGCCTACACACCCCACATGTCAACCTCATGTCAGCGTATCACCTGATACGTATCAACCACGTATCACCTGATACGTATCAACCACGTATCACCTGATACGTATCAACCACGTATCACCTGATACGTATCAACCACGTATCACCTGACAGTACCTACTGACAGGCAAATGACCCTTGTTGAAAACCTTACTCTTGTTTACCCTTAACTCTTTCTTCTTCTCAGGATGCCGCTCGGATGCACCGAAGCAGGGGAGGCGCTATCTACCTGGGCCCTCAGGCCGACAGGAGCGTCACCATTCCTCGGCAGACGAACAGCAGCAGTGGAAACTCTTCTATACAGCTGAAGCTCGGGGCCGCGTGTTCTGGCTACCCCGCTCCCTGCGTCACTGTGCTCGATTCGCTGTTTGTCGCCAACTCTGCTGCTGTCGGCGGCGCAGTGTTTGTGGACGGTGCTTATGCTGCCTGCAGCAGCGCAACGACATCTCCGCAGGTACACATGCGCCACTCTCTCGCTCTTTGTTGCCAAGTCTGCTGCTGCTGGTGCCGCTCTGTTTGTGGGCGGTGCTCATGCTGCCTGCAGCAACTCGGAAGCATCTGCACAGGTACTTGTAGCAACAGGCACACTTGTTAGTCTGAAACTGGTTATCCGTGCTTCCCCTCCCACCCACCGCCCTACTGCAACCTGGCCACCACCCCTCTCCGCTCGTCTCTTGACGTGCGCAACATGCTCTTTGGAGCCAACACCCCCGAGGTGGGCGGAGTAGCTGCTGTTGTGGGCACTCACGGTCGTGACTTCTCATGTGCTTGCATCCCCCTGCCTCATTCCTCTCAATCACTTCCCAGGTCGCCACCCCTCTTGGCTCTTCTCTTGACGTGCGCAACGTGCTGTTTGAAGCCAACACCGCCACGGTCGACGGAGGAGCCGTTGCTGTGGGCTCGCACGGTCGCCTTGGGGGCCGAGGGTCATTCTCCACCGTCCGATTTAACACAAACACTGCTGGTGTACGTTCCCAGTGTGCATATCTTTGAGGCGCCTCAAAAGGAGTCTATCTTTGAGGCGCCTCAAAAATAGACTCCTTACGTTCCCAGTGTGCATATCTGCTCAGGCCATTTGCCTGCAGTTCGTGCGTTTTCCCAACCTGTAAAAGATCCCGCTGCTGTAGTAGTCTTTTGAGGCGCTCTCCCTCCTCAAAAGTCGCAGTTCGTGCGTTTTCCCAACCTGTAAAACATCCCGCTGCTGTAGTAGTTGCATAAACTCCATTCATACTGTTTACCACTCTCCATTCGTAGAACTCATCTCCTCCCGCCTCTTCTTCCTCCCTGCTCCACCCACCGACCCTCTCGCACATGCCTGGCAGAGAGACGGAGGGGCGCTGTTCGTAGGAGGGGGGCGACCGGAGCATGCAGGCAGCAAAGCCACACTGTATGATGCTGCGTTCCATGGTAACACTGCTGGTAACACTGCTGGTAACACTGCTGGTAACACTGCTGGTAACACTGCTGGTAACACTGCTGATAACACTGTTGGTAACACTACTGGTAACACTGCTGGTAACACTGCTGGTAACACTGCTGGTAACGGCGTTGGCAGCACAACTGCAGAGCCAGAGCAGCCTAGAGGCACTGGCATGCACGGGATTACCACACGAGGCACGCTGAGACAAGGTGGCCATGACGTGGCAGTGAGACGATGGGCATCTGCTCACATCCACCACTGCACCTTCCACGAAGCTTCCTCATCGGCCAATCGCTTGTCCTCCTCTCCTCAACCTCCCTCCACCTCCTCCTACTCCCCACCTCTTTTCTGTGTGGGCGCTTGTGCCGTCTGCCCTGAAGCCGCCACTCCAATTGCTGCTCTAGCGAGAGGCAACGTGACTGTATCTGAAGGTGCGTCTACCAGGGTCACCTCACCTGTGTGCAAGAGCAGACTAGATATCCACCAGTTCTCGCCTGTCATTCCCCCGCAACTCGCCCCACACCTCCCTTGCCTTTTTCCTCCGCATATATCCTTCTCGTGCACTTCTTCCCGACTCGACCTCCTTCCTCCCCCCTGCCTCCTTGGCCTCCCCTGCAGCTGACTGCCCAAGTGCCCCTCCAGCCTTAACTTGCTCTTTCCTTCCCGACTACCTCAAGCCAGCCACCCAGCCCTCAGCAGCAGCAGCAGCAGCAGCAGCAGAAGCGGCAGCAGCAGCACAACCGCCACTGCAAGAGCAGAAGCATAGGGAACCCCAGCAGCTTCCCCGCCTCCCCAGGAATCTGCAGCATCTGCCCCTGACTTCCACAGCTCATCCTCTCTCCACCATCACAACCGTCCTTTCTCCTGCGGATGGCTCTGCTGCTGCTTCTACTGCCACCTCTGCTGCCTCTGCTGATGCATCTGCTGCTGCCCTCCCTGCCACTGCTGCTCCTGCCACTACCTCTTCTCCCTCCCAAACTCCTGACTCACAAGCATCAGCCCCCTTCCCTGTTACTGCACCATCACCGTCCCCAGCTGCCCCCTTCCCTGTTACTGCACCATCACTGTCCCCAGCAGCTGCTACACCTACTGCCACCCCTACCCGCACCTTCACCACCCTTGCCCCTATCCCTCCTACCCCATTCCCCACCGCCACTCCCTCTGCCTGTGTCTGCCCCCAGGTAGAAGTGCCACCTCTCTCCTCCTCTCCTGCCTCCTCTCCTGCCCCCTCTGACCTGCCTCCTCCCTGCATTCATCAGCCCCTAGAGAAGCACACCCAGGAGCCACAACCACCAAGGCAAGCCCTCCCTTCTCCCGTCTTGGTAGAATCACATGCACCTACAACCATGCAATTGCTCGCTCTCCGTATAACAAATTTACACGCACCATGTTGTCACCCGTGCTACAGGCCACGAATAGATGTTTGCAGACTCTCACTGTTGAAGGTTGTTTTTAAGATTATCCCGCTTCCTGGTTCCCTGCGCTACAGCTGTAACGGCACAATGCAGGGGGCTGTTATGGGAGACCCGCACTTTGTGGGGCGGCATGGGGAGCGATTCGACTTTCACGGCGTGCCTGGGGAGAGCTACTGCTTGATATCGGACTCCAATATTCATGTTAACATGCGCCTCTTTGCTGGGCCACATAACGGCACAACGGTAAGAAATCAACCATACAAAGCATTGACTAACACTGGCTTGTTTCCTTTTCTAAGCTCTATTTTCTTGCAGTACATGGATGAGATTGGCTTCCTGTATCAGCATAAAGAGGCACACAATAGTGAGGATGAATTGGTGGAGGTGGTGGTGGCTGCACAATCCCTGCCCGGGGCAAGGATTGCTGATTTCCAAGGCGGCCTTTTTATCAATGGAGCAGAGTTGCCTAATGCCGACCTCACTGTCTCCATGAGCAATAAGATGCTCAGAGTGGATCGTACTGCAAAGGCAGTCCGGATTCGTGTAACAAAAAACATGGACCTGTTTGTGGACATCATACCCGCCACATTCAACCATAGCCGTTGGATGCTCCATAATTATGTAAGCATGCATTTGGTTTTTGCTAATGTTCCACATCGTTCAAAATTGCAGCAGATGCTTTTAAAACACCTGTTTCGTGCAGCTCAATGTGAGGATAGGAAGCTACAAAGAGTCAACACCCGTTCATGGATTGCTAGGGCAGACTTTCCAAGGCACCTATGAACGGCTTGCTAAGGTGAGCAGATTGATCAGCAAGAAGGGCACTGACAGAGAGTTCACAATAATTGATGGAAAGGAAGAAGATTACAAGTCTTCAGGGCTACTGGAAACGGACTGCAAATTCAGCCGGTTCAAGATGTCGTGAGCATTGTTGATGTGGTAAATAACATTTCCATGTGATGGATGTGTATATGTTATATATAGAAGGTGACAATTCATTAGCTTATATGAGAAGAAAAGCGCCAGAATTTGAACGATGTCAGACTGAAGCATCACATCTCCAGTCAGCCAATCAGCCTCATCCCCGACCACGCGCCTCGAGGTTCCCTAAAACTTCCCGCCAAAACCCAAGCTTCTGTGCTTTTCCTGACTCCTGCCAACCCAATCCCAAGATCAGCATTGCTTTTCAGGAGAACAGTGCTAGTTATGAGGAGCGGGTTTCTTTAGGAGTTCAAATTCTCGGGAATAACATAAGGAGCACTGAGTTTCTCGAGCCATTTCTCGGAGTTTCCTGTGACAGGCTCGAGGCAAGGCTCGGTCATAGTAAATGCGGGGAGTAGTAAAGCTGCGACTAGAAGAGCGGAGTCGGTTTCAGAACTAGAGAGGAAGTTCTAGACACAGAGTTGTGTTTGCGTATCCTTATTAACCGTAGTTCGTTAGTTACCTGACAGCCACTGGTGAAGCTAGATCACCATTTTTAGTGAGAGGCTCTGGATTAAATAGTCAACACCGCGTTGATTACGTCACAAGTGCCAGATTCTGCTCGTCGCTCGCTGCAATCGAGCAATAAGCAAGTTAACTATGAGTAAGACATGCAGTAAAGAGCAGTTGCTAAGGACTCTAGAGGACCCAATCCCTAGCGGCTTTCTCGAGTTAACCCTTCGCCACGTGTCGAAACAGGATCCGCTGAACCTAACCCACGTCATAGCAGGCTTCAACAGAAGCACCACTCCGCGACTGTGCTCCGCTCTCCTCCACCTTACGTCTCGCACAGTCGAAAAAATCCTTCAACTCATCTCAATACAGGATGCGATTTCATCTCAGCAGACTACCACGCCGAGCACTGCTAATGCCTCTACTGCGGCCTCTGCTCATGCGTCCGTCTCTGCTCCCCCACAAAACGCTCAGAACGCGAGCAATGGCGGAAAATCCGGAGAATCCTCAGCAGCAGCATCGAAAGCAGCACCAGCTACAGCCTCGGGAGTCTCCTCTCACGCCGAATCGGCGGACGAAGCACGGGCCGTTCTCCAGGGGATCATCTTAATAACGCGTCTTATTCTATCGGATACATTTGCGGGATCAGGCAGCGCGGTTACCCCACCAGCGGACCTGCTGACCGTCTGTCAGTCCATTCACAACGTTCTTCTCGCTCTCAGCGGTTTCGACCCGGCGTCACAGGAAGCGGCAGCTCGCGTGTTCGAATCCTGGTGGCAGGCGGATTTACGAGGCAAAGAAACCCTCGTTGCGCAGACGCTTCCATATCTCCTCGCGAGATCGCTCGAGCTCTCTCGGCCAGTCGACGTGCGACGCGTGTACGCCATGCGCGACGCGTTTTCGCTCCTCGATTTCGACGACGCGGAGAGCATCGACGGGATTCGCGGGCTGCTACTCAGGTGTCTCTTCGCGCCGGTGTACTATAAGACCACAGAGGGCCGGCGATTCCTATCCTTCTGTCTACTATTAGACCTTCAGCTTCTAAAGGAATCCATTATTATTATCAGGAATCAGATCCCTTCGGGAAAGAAGTCGCTCCTTGAAGCGTACGGCGAGGTCGTTTTCCGAGCCTGGCGATCTGCCGAGCCTGGCCCGAGCCTGTTGGAAATCGAGTACGGCTTTCTGCAGGGGCTGGTCGAAGCTGCAGTCTTCGCTCGGACGCCCGAGCTGGGGGCGGCTGTACGGCGGGTGGTGGGCGGCTTCTCCAATCAGAAGCTGCAACGTGGCGTGGACGAGCTGATCTTGCGCGTATCGGAGCCGATTATCTTTCGAGGCTTACAGGTGGGCTCCTGAAAATCCCCGTTTATTACTGTGCTGTCACTATCCAGCTCCTACATATGAATCTCGCCCTGCTCTATTAGCGAAGCATAATCACATAGCCCTGTGTTCCTCTCTCCCCCTCCCTGCTCCCCCCTCTCAGGCCGCCAATCCCGCTGTTCGCCGCAACGCTCTTCTCCTATTGGCCGAGCTCTTCCCCCTTCGCGACCCGTCTCTCGGGCGCGAGGCGAACGAGTCGCTCTTTAATCGCCAGCTGTCGCTCCTCCTCCACCGCCTCTTAATCGACCCCTGCCCCGCGGTTCGAGCCTCCGCAGCTGAGGTGGCAGGGCGGGTGCTCTGTATCTTCTGGGAGGTTATCCCGTCGGGCGTCGCCACGTCAGCGCTGACGCGGATGGTTGACGAGCTGGCGGCTGACGTGGCCAGCCCTGCGGTGCGGGTGGCAGCAGTGCGGGCGGTGGGGCACCTGTTACGGGGTAACCCGGTGTGCCACCCGGTGCTGAGAGGGTTACTGCCAAGATTAGCAGCGGGGCTAAGGGACAGGTCACGGGGAGTAAGAGCGGCTGTAGCTGAAGTGCTTGTGGCGGTGGCTAGCAGCAGCATCAAGATGTTCGATGTAATCACATCAGGCAAGCTAATAGAGGCTCTTGAAGAGCCCAACGACCCAATAGTGTCGCGCCACGTCACCCGCGTCCTCCTGCCGACGTACCTGCCGGCCCACCTTCCGCCTGTCGCTGCTGCCGGCCGTTTCATCACCCTCATGCAGCGCTCCCTCCCTGCTGCTGCGGCTTTCGCCCGCTGCTGCTTCCAGGAAGGAGCGCAGTTGGCGGCTGTTACTGAAGCCGTAAGGGCGGTTGTTGACTTGCTGGTGATTTTAGAGGGGGGTGGGGGGGAGGGGAGGAGCGAGGGGAGGAGAGAGGGGGAGGAGAGGAGGATAGAGGGGAGTTGAGAGGCGGAGGAGAGGACGGCAGAGGGGAGAGAGGGGAGGAGAAGAGGGGTAGGATGAGGGAAGGGAAGAAGCAGAGGGGTGGGGGAAACGGCAAGAGAAAGGGGAAGAGGAGACGAGGGGGGGCGGAGGAGGGAGAGGGGGCAGGTGGGGAGGTGGCATGTGGGATGGGGGGGAAGGGGGGTGCCAAGGGCGAGAGTGAGTGGAGTGAGGAGGAGGAGAAGGGACGGGAAGGACTGTACATTGTGCTAATGGGCCTTGTTCAGGGCGTAGTGGATACGCGAGGAGGAGGAGGGGGGGATGCAGATTCAGTTGCAACGTCAGCTGTGGCGGAAATTCTGGACGGCACTGTTCTGAGACAGTTGCTCTTTTCGGCACATAGCGCAAGTCAACGGGCGGCGGTGCTGCAGATTGCCGCCCTGCTACCGCCCGTATCCGTGCAGGAGCTTGCTGATGTGTGCAGGGAGACACTTCTGGGGGGAAAGCGCGCTGGTGGTTTGGAAGGGACCGGGGCTGAGTTTGCAGCAGGAGCAGGGAAGGGGGAACGGCAAGCAAGGGGTGCTTTGGGAGGAAGGAAAGGGTTGGAGGAGGGCGGAGGGTTGGGCGAGGTGGTGAGCTGGGTGGACGGGAGGAGGGCGGAGAGGATGGAGGCGGAGGCGGTAGTGGCGCTCACCCGTGCGTGGGGGGGACTGGGGCAGCTTGTGGAGGCTCTCGAGGGGTCGCTCGCTGCTGCTGTGGAGGGGGAGAGGGAGAGGAGGGATGCGGCGGCGGAGGAGACTATTGCCCTTTCAGACGACGAGGAGGGGGAGGAGGAGAGGGAGGAGGCAAAGGAGGTGGAAGAGGTGCAGGAGATAGTGGATGAAGAGGTGGTACAAGTGGTGAAAGAGGAGGAGATGGAAGATGGGGGGGAGGAGGAGCAGCAGGTGAGGGAGGAGGAGCGTTCAGAGGGGAGCAGGCGCGTGACGAGGAGCATGAGAGGGGCAATGGGAGGTCGGGATGGGTCAGCAGCAAGGGGCAGTGCGAGGAGGAAGGAGGAAGGGAGGAGGAGGCGAAAACGAGGGGCTGTTCTTGATGACAGGGAGGCTTATAACGAGGATGCAGCAGCGGAGTGTGATTCGGACGAATCAGAGCTTGACAGCGAGGCAGCTCGTCCTGTGGCGTCTCCCTGTGTGGTGGCCCACCGCCTGGAGATTCTCCTGGGCCAATCAGAGGCGAGAGCCGAGCTGCTGCGCATGCCAGGGGTGGTGGGGCGCCTGCTGGCCCTGCTGCGGACAGCTGTCGTCTTGCAATTGGCCGGGATGGGTGGTGGTGACGACGGTGTGAGGCAGGAGGAGGGTGCTGGTTGTGCTGCTGCTGCCTCTGATGCTGATGCTGCTGCTGCTGCTGCTGCTGCTGCTACTGGTGGTGGTGATGCTGATGCGTGGTTGGAGGGCGCACCCCTGCGCGTGTGTGTGAAGCTGGTGGTGTTCATGTGGAGTGCACGGCAGCAGGAGGAGGAGGAGCTGGCACGAAGAGCCCAGAAGCAAGGGAGGGACGTGGAGGACAAGGGGTCATCTAGCCTGGTACGTTTGTTCATTGTGTTTTTGTCGTTGCAGATGGGAAGAGGAGGGTTGGGCAAACGGGCATAGAAGCAAGGGAGGGCGGTGGACGACAAGGGGCCATCCAGCCTGGTACGTCTCTTATTTGGAGGGCAAACGTCTCTTGTAAGCTGCTCATGTGTGGGGTGGGTCTATGTGAAGCTGGTGGTGTTCATGTGGAGTTCAAGGCAACAGGAGGAAGAGGAGCTAGAGCGAAGGGCCCAGAAGCAAGGGAGGGAGGTGGACGACAAGGGGAGCACGAGCCTGGTAGGTCTCTTGCTCCTGTTGCCCTTGCACCAGCGTAGATTCTCCTGCCATGCCATGCCTTCAGCCATGCCTTCTGTTTCTGCCCCGTTCTTGCTCCCTGTGTATCCCCTTAGGCCCTTGCTCCCTATTCTCTCCTTTATTCATTTCTTCATAACCCAAGCCAGCGGCCCCTTCACACGGCCTTACTTCACCCTTCTTTCTCCCCATTCTCTTGCCTTCCCCCCCATCCCCCACCTTCACCAGTGTGAGCTGTCAGATCTTCTTCTCGAGTTGATCTCAGCCGTCCACGCCAAGCTGACCCTCATCTCACAAGCAGGCCTAACTCCTGACAAATCTGGGCCGTCCAAGCCATGTGGAGGCAGCATCTGGACCGTCTCTCCAGCCTTCCTGTCCATTCTCGCAGCAGTCCTCGCCTCCTCCTACACATCCCTCTTCCTCCCCATGGGGAGAGGTAAAACCGAGGCTGAAAGTAAAAAGCCTGAAGCTCTGGTGTTTAGGTGTTGTTCTCTTGCGCTCGCCCTGCTGAGAGGGCTGGCTGTAAGTGTGAGGGAGGGAGGGGAGGGGACAGGAAGGGAGGGTGGACCTGTTGTTTGGATGGCGTTGCTCTCAGCTGTTGCCTGTTGCAAGAGGATTCTCACTGCTGCTGGCTCTGCTGTTGCTGTTGCTGCTGCTGCTGCTGGTGGCAGTAATGGTGCTGCTGCTGCTGATGGTGTGTCCACTGGTGCTGTGCAGTGGGGGGGGATGAGGGAGGAAATTCAGGCGTTGCAGAAAGGGGTGGATGCTGCCAGTGCCTTGCTAAAGGGTGGATTGCACGGGTGTGAACACGAGGGGGGACTGGAGGATGGGGAACACAGGAATGGGAGGGATAGTGGGACGCGGAATGGGGGTAGAGATCAAGATGGCGAGGCAGGATTGGAGGAAGGGGAGGTGAACAATGAAGGGGAAGGGGAAGGGGGAAGGATTGATGTTGAGGAGGTAAGGGGTTTGGAGGAGGTTGCAGAGCATGGGTTGGATGGAGGGCATGAGGGAGAGGATGGAGGGGGAGGACAGATGAAAGGGAGAAGAGGTGATGAGGGAAGAGCAGGACAGGTGCAAAGAAGCCAAGGGAGAATTGATCCGGTATTATGGAAGATTGCCCGCAAGGTGCTGGCTGAGACCTGAGGTCAATGCATACGTGGACATGGGAAGCACTTGGGCCAACAACCTTGGAGAATTGCCCATGGTGAAGTAAAATTGGGTTATGTGTCAATTGTATATTTACCTTCTTGAGAGATTCGTTACCAGCTGCCTGCGACGTCGGTTTTTTTTCCCTACTCTGATAATTCTACGCTGTTTTGTTTTCCCACCCGAAGCATGGGCACGAGCTTATGCAATACAATCATTCGGTTGATTTGTAAGGGTGTCAAAACCCATAAGAATACAGTAGCATGCAATAGCTTGTAGCACTACTAGCATATGGCACAATGCATCAGAGAAATTATTATTCAAAGCACCGCGAGATTCATTTAGACCTCGTTTCCGCTGATTTTGTGGCGATTTGAAGTGATGAAAGCGCATGGTATTGTTATTACATAGCTATCGACATGGCAATTTCAGTGGTGTAGCAGTGTCTCCATGGAGATAAATTTGATGCCCGCGCGGTGAACTCCACGCCTCCACGCTTTCGTCACACCGTTTCGCTCCTGGTGGGGCATTGGCGAAGAGGTGCTGCTGCTCCCTCCTGGTAACATTATGTCATGCCTGCATTCGTCGCCAACATCAACCAACAGAAACTCCCTTGTTTCCGTCCCTTGGGAACTCCATACATGTTTGCCTCACTGTTTTCTTTCCGTGCCTTGGGGGTAGTTTCTAGTATCACCAGGATTTGTATTAGAGCCTAGTGCCGCTCATACGGGCAATGCTGCCACGGCTGCATGTTTAGCAAGATTCCCTGGGTTTGAAATAGGCGTGTCCTGATGTGACCGTTACTTCAGGCAGATTAACATTGCGAAGACGTTGTGATAGCGCCTCGGTTACAACTCTTTCTAAAGCGCGTGCTAAGGCATCGAGCGTTCATGATACTTGTTTTTCGCGCTTAGAATCTGTTTCCATGCTTAACGAGCCTGCCGATTCCGTTCCAGCTGCTGCGATGAGTCCAGTCTACGCCAATGGCTCGAAGCTGTTCAACGATCCCATTCACGGCCATATCACGGTTGACAAGGTACGGGAATCAACGCCAAAATCAGGGTACGGACTTCTGAGCCGACTCACTTGCCGCCGTTCATTACCATATTACCGTTGACAAGGTACGGGTCTTATAACGGGAAACAGGGTACGGGTCTTATAACGGGAAACAGGGTACGGGAAAGCAGAGAGACGAATAATTAAAGTCGGCAAGATGCGGGATTCAACGCGGAAGCGGGGTACTGAAAGGCAGCAATATGAATATCAGGAGCTAGTCGGCCAGGTCGTGATGCACATGCAGGTGTTAAGATGTTCACCGCTCCTTAGTAACGATTTGGCAGTCGAAGTACGTTGTTTTCCAACGATATATGAACCCACACCAAACGCTATCATAGCCAAACACTGATTCCCATGGTCAAATCGCATCGCGCTTCCTCCTATCCTGTAACAAGGCGCTTTCCCTCGCCATCCCTCCCGACCCTCCCTCCCGACCCTCCCTCCCTCTGACAGACCTGTCTCAGGTTCACAGGCACGTGCGAGTTTCAGGGATTAAGCCGCATCCGTCCCTGTCTGTTCCTTATCTCCCCCTCCTCCTCCATCCCCATATCTCCCCCTCCTCCTCCATCCCCATATCTCCCCCCCCCCTCTCCCAGACGTGCCTCAGCTTCATAGACACGTGCGAGTTTCAGCGACTCAGGCACATCCGCCAGCTAGGCGTGTGCAACTACGTGTACCCGTCAGCCAATCACACGAGACTGGAGCACTCCATCGGGACATCGCACCTGGCCAATCAGGTGGTGGAATCGCTGAGGCGGCATCAGCCGGAGCTGAGAATCAACGATGATGACGTCATGGCGGTTACTCTGGCTGGGCTGTGCCATGACATGGGGCATGGATGCTTCAGCCACATGCTCGATAGAGCCATCTTCTCCCGCTTCTGCCCTGGATCCGACTGGTACGTGCTTGCAGCTGATTCCTCTGTGCATACGCACAAGTCTACTCATCAGTCACTCATCACTCAACAGTCAACTCATTGAGCCTCCCAGGAAGATATATGTATCTCAGGAGCCACGAGTCGTAGATGGATTATAGGTGGGCTGCGGAGGCCCTTGTGTGCCCTCACGAGTCCACTTAACAGTCAACTCATTGAACCTCTCTGCATGATACGTGTATCTCAGGAGCCAGGAGAGGCGGTCTGTGGAGCTGGTGGATAGAGTGTTTGAGAGCAACAGCATTGACATCGAACCATGTGTGTACTCAGATAATCACTTACTCCCTTCCCCCCTCTTCCCCCCCCCCTTCCCTCCCCCCCTTCTCTCCCTCCCCCCTCCCCCCCACGTGGATGATGCACATCAGGAGTCACGAGCGGCGGTCAGTGGAGCTGGTGGACAGAGTAATCGACAACAACAGCATAGACATCGAACCTGACACCATTGCCACCATCAAGGTGAGATAGTAAGCAATGTACCAGGCTGTCGTATTGTATGCAGTGCAGGGTAGTACGTCTATTAGCAAGATGTCACTGTTTGAGTCGACTCTCAAGCCACCTAGCGTGGAGAGCTACAGCAGAGGCATCGAACCTGACACCGTTGCCACCATCAAGGTGACGATTCGGAGCCCCGTCGCCCGATTACTGGCCTTGGAAGCTGGAACCCTTGAGGCACTTGCTGGGGAGAAATTTAGAGGCGCCTCTGATATTGGCCTTGGATCGGCTGACGCTCTTGCCGGAGAGGAATTTGGAGGCGCCTCTGATGTTGGCCTTGGAACCCCCGAGGCACTTGCTGGGAGGAAACTGGAGGCGCCTCTATTTCTGGCCTTGGAACCCCCGAGGCACTTGCCGGGAGGAAATTGGAGGCGCCTCTATTTCTGGCCGTGGAACCCCCGAGGCACTTGCCAGGAGGAAATTGGAGGCGCCTCTATTTCTGGCCATGGAACCCCCGAGGCACTTGCCGGGAGGAAATTGGAGGCGCCTCTATTTCTGGCCGTGGAACCCCCGAGGCACTTGCCGGGAGGAAATTGGAGGCGCCTCTATTTCTGGCCGTGGAACCCCCGAGGCACTTGCCGGGAGGAAATTGGAGGCGCCTCTATTTCTGGCCTTGGAACCCCCGAGGCACTTGCCGGGAGGAAATTGGAGGCGCCTCTATTTCTGGCCTTGGAACCCCTCAGGCTCTGGCTGGGGAGGCTCTTTGGGCTCCTGTGTGCCCTTGTCCGTGTTTTTGCCATGCCATGACTCACTAAGCTTACCACCTGAAACCAGTGTTCGATGCTGATTTGGTTCTTTTCATCATGCCTGATCGGCAGTTTTTCTCCACATTCACCTCAACTCTCTTTCTGCTGTTTTCCCGCTATCTTTCGGTTTCTTCACCACGTTTTTCTCTCCATTGCTGCTTTTCCCCCCCTGCTGCTTCCCCCCTGTTCCGACCGTCCCAGAGCCTCATTCTACCTGACAAGTCCAAGAGGCGACGGGTAGGTGGGCGTGGGGGATAGGTAAGCGGATGGGTAGGTGGGGGATAGGTAAGCGGATGGGTAGGTGGGGGATAGGTAAGCGGATGGGTAGGTGGGGGATAGGTAAGCGGATGGGTAGGTGGGGGATAGGTAAGCGGATGGGTAGGTGGGGGATAGGTAAGCGGATGGGTAGGTGGGGGATAGGTAAGCGGATGGGTAGGTGGGGGATAGGTAAGCGGATGGGTAGGTGGGGGATAGGTAAGCGGATGGGTAGGTGAGGGGGTAAGAGGATGGGTAGGTGATGGAGAAATCCTCATTGTCTAGGACACCAGGAATTGCTGTTGGTGCCTATTTTTGAGGCAGCTAAAAAATAAACGCCTCAAAAACAGCCTGTCTGTCCCTCCCTGAATGCCACTCTCCCACTTCTCCTTCAATCCCACTCCCTCCCCTCGCCTCACCTCTCACTCTCCCCGCCTCCTTTCCTGTCGAATCTTCCACCTGTCCCCAGCCCGGCTCTTGTACTTTTGAGCTCGACTGGAAGCGGAAAGCCCTTTGCTTCTCTGTGTTTACCTCTTCTGCTTCAGTACATTTAGCCCTCCTGCTTCTAGCCTGATCTCTAAGGCGCCTGAGAGTCCCCATTTCCTGCATGGAGTTGCTGCAGGACACCTCAGAAAAGGAGTTTCTTCTGTGGGATATTGTGACGAACGGTTTTTGAGTCGCCTAAAAAGACGCCTGAGAGTTTTCCCCTGGAAGGCTGCAGGATTACAAGGAGAAGGAGAAGGAGGAGTTGCTGTGGGACATTGTGGCTTGTGATCGGTCAGGCGCCTAAAATAGAAAATCGCCTGAGAGTCTTTCGTTCCTGTTTGGAGTGGGTGCATGCAGGATTACAAGGAGAAGGAGTTTCTGTGGGACATTGTGGCCAACGCACGCACGGGGATAGACGTGGACAAGTGAGTGAGAGTGTGTGCGAGTGAGTATGTGCGAGTGAGTGTGTGCGAGTGAGTGTGTTCGAGGGAGTGTGTGTTCTCTTGATACATAACCTTTGCTCCCTTGCATTGTGGCCAATGCAGGCTCAGGGATAGACGTGGACAAGTGAGTGTGTGCGTGGGAGTGTGTGTTACCTTGATATATAACCTTGGTTTCCTTCCATTCTTTATCCAGTGGGCTAACACCGCTGTCTGTGTGCCCCTTGCTCCCATCGCAGGTTCGACTACTTGGCTCGCGACAGCTACTTCTGCAACGTCAAGTCGTGCTTCGACCACAAGAGGTGAGGCTGGATTGGTGAGCGTACTCGGGAGTAGTGCAAGCGGGAGGAGCAAGGGTGTTACAGGTAGGCATGTTAAAATGTCGGGCCTCGGGCCGCTTTTGAGTCGACTCAAAAGAAGGGAGCACTGCAAGCGGGAGTGGCAAGAGCGTTACACGTAGGCATGTTCAAATGTCGGGCCTCGGGCCAGCCCGGCCCGCCACGTGCGTGACGGGCTGGGCTCGGGCTGGGCCGGCAGTTACGGGTGGGACAACAAGATCGTGAGACCCTCTCTTGCCCTCTCTTGCCCTCTCTTCCCTGTCCCTCTCGACCCCCCTCTTCCCCTTCCCTCCTTCCCCTAACAGAATAATTCAGATGCTGCGGGTGATAGACGATGAGATCTGCTTCAAATATAGAGAGTGTGAGACCCTCTCTTGCCCTCTCTTGCCCTCTCTTGCCCTCTTTTGCGTGCTTGTGCCCTCACTTACCCACTCTTGCCCTCTATCTCCCTCTCTTACTCAACTTTCTCTCGGCCCTCACTTTCTCCCCCTTCCCGCTGTAGTGGAAACTGTGTGCTTGACATGTTTGCGCTCAGCGCCAACAAATTACCGCAACGTGTGTGTGCACGCACAAGACAGTCGAAGCGGTCGAAGCCATGATTCTAGAGGCGCTCACTGAGGCCAACCACGTGTACCACTTTTGGGGAGATAGCGCAGAGCCAAGTCTCTCCTTCTCTCCCCCTCCCCCGTTTGTGCACCTCTGCAGTGGAAACGTGGATTATATATTTGCGCTCACAGCCAAGATCTGTTGCTAGGCGCCTCAAAGGTCTCCCCTCCCTCCCTCTCTCCCTCCCTCCCTCCCTCCCTCCCTCCCTCCCTCCCTCCCTCCCTCCCTCTCTCCCTCCCTCCCTCCCTCCCTCCCTCCCTCCCTCCCTCCCTCCCTCCCTCCCACTCACCCACCCTTGCAGTGGAGACTGTGAATGATATGTTTGCGCTGAGGGCCAAGATGTACCGCAACGTGTACACACACAAGACAGTCAAGGCGGTCGAAGCCATGATTCTAGAGGCGCTCGCTCAGGCCAACCACGTGTACCGATTCGGGGAGATAGCGCAGAGCCAAGATCTCGACAGATTCTGCCAGCTGGACGACACGATCCTGAGGGAGATCCTGCGGTCCCGCGACCCCAGCCTGGCCAAGTCGCAGGAGATTTTAAGGCAGCTCGAGCGGCGGCAGCTGTACCAGGTGTGTCTTGGTAGATACCTGTACCAGGTAGCGCTTTTCTGCCAGCTGAAGGGAGATCCCGTGGTCCCGAGATCATAACCTGGCCAAGATGTAGCAGCAGATCTTTTAGGCAGCTGGGGAGGAGGCAGCTGTACCAGGTGACACATGCATGCAGGTTTATCAGGTAGTACTTGGTCTAGGCTGTATTTATTTCTGCCAGCTAGACAACTCGATCCTGTGGGAAGTCCTGTTGTCCCGGGATCCCAGCCTGGCCAAGTCACAGGAGACCCTCAGGCAGCTGGAGAGGGGGCAGCTGTGCCAGGTACCACCTGCATACAGGTGGGTCTGGGTAGACGCCTGTACCAGGTACCACCTGCATACAGGTGGGTCTGGGTAGACGCCTGTACCAGGTACCACCTGCATACAGGTGGGTCTGGGTAGACGCCTGTATCAGGTACCACCTGCATACAGGTGGGTCTGGGTAGACGCCTGTACCAGGTACCACCTGCATACAGGTGGGTCTGGGTAGACGCCTGTACCAGGTACCACCTGCATACAGGTGGGTCTGGGTAGACGCCTGTACCAGGTACCACCTGCATACAGGTGGGTCTGGGTAGACGCCTGTATCAGGTACCACCTGCATACAGGTGGGTCTGGGTAGACGCCTGTACCAGGTACCACCTGCATACAGGTGGGTCTGGGTAGACGCCTGTACCAGGTACCACCTGCATACAGGTGGGTCTGGGTAGACGCCTGTACCAGGTACCACCTGCATACAGGTGGGTCTGGGTAGACGCCTGTATCAGGTACCACCTGCATACAGGTGGGTCTGGGTAGACGCCTGTACCAGGTACCACCTGCATACAGGTGGGTCTGGGTAGACGCCTGTACCAGGTACCACCTGTGTACAGGTGGGTCTGGGTAGACGCCTGTACCAGGTACCACCTGCATACAGGTGGGTCTGGGTAGACGCCTGTACCAGGTACCACCTGCATACTGGTGGGTCTGGGTAGACGCCTGTACCAGGTACCACCTTCCCAGCAGCTGGATGGCACGATCCTGCGGGAGATTCTGCGGTCCAGAGATCCCAGTCTGGCCAAGCCGCAGGAGATCCTCAGGCAGCTTGAATGGAAGGCAGCTGTACTGTACCAGGTGATACCTGCATCCAGATTTGCATGCAGGTGTGAACGAGTGTGTGGTGCCTGTGGATGCACTGCACCATATCAAGCACCACAATGCTAAATCCGGAATCCTAAACCCTGGTTTCCGCTTTCCTCCCACTTACCCTCACTCCCTTCTTCCCGTTCCCCCCCTCTCGGTCTCCTCCCGTACATGAACGAGTTTGGGGTGCCTGCGGACACTCTGTGCCTTGTTGCCACCTTCACTCCCTTCTGCTCATTACATTCCCCCCCCCACCACCACCCCCCCCCCCCTCCCCCTCCCCCCTCTTCTTCCCCTTCCCGCCCGCGGTACATGAACGAGTTCGTGGTGCCCGTGGACGCGCTGCACCTTGTTGCCACCTGTTTCGCTCACTCTCACTCCCTTGTGGCCATTATCCCACGCACCCCCTTCCGCTTCCCTTCCCCCCCATCCTCCCGGCCGCGGTACATGAACGAGTTCGTGGTGCCCGTGGACGCGCTGCACCATATTGGGCCCTCGCAGCAGCTTGCTCACAGTATCAACATTCTTCCTTCTCTCCCCCCTCTCTTCCTCCCCCCTACCCCACTCCCCCCCATCCTCCCTCCTGCAGTACTTGAACGAGTTCGTGGTGCCGGTGGGCGCACTGCACTGTTCCCTCCCCCCCATAACGGGCTCTCTCTCGCAGCTCTCTCACTGTATCTATACACTCCCTCCCCCTACCCCTTCCCCCCCATCCTCCCGCCTGCAGTACATGAACGAGTTCGTGGTGCCCGTGGACGCGCTGCACCATTTCAAGAAGCTCACAGTGGACGAGCTGCTGAGGCATGTGAGTGTGTGTGGGCGTCTGAGCGTGGGCGTGTGAGCGAGAGCGTGTGTGTGTGTCTAGGTGTGTGCATGGAGCGTGGGGATGCAGAGAGTACCCAGCAAGTAAGTTTGTGGTGCCCGTGGACGCCTTCCACCATTTCAAGATGCTGAGGCAAGCTGCTGAGGCACGTGAGTGCGTGTGTGAGTGTGTGTGGGAGTGCGTCTGTGTGAGTGTGTGTGTGTGTTTGTGCATGACTGTCTACCCTGCCACTTAATACCACGTGATCCAACACGTGATCCCGCAACATTCATTGCAGGGCGAGGGGTCATACCTGAGGGAGCATGGTGACCAAGTGATGGTTATTGTCTGCCATGTTACCATGTTACTACATGCCATGTGAACCTGCAATCTGCAGGGCGAGGGGTCATACCTCAGGGAGCATGGTGATCAAGTGATAGTGGACAACATTAAGATCGACTATGGGCAAGACACAGACAACCCCCTCGACAAGTGAGTGCCGCTAGAATTGTGAGGTCCCTAGGCAGTGGTAGTGCCAGAGTGACAGTAACACGAGGTCGTTTAGGGTCCCCACCGAGGCAGTGATAGTGGGGAATATCAAGGTCGACTATGGGCAAGACACAGACAACCCCCTTGACAAGTGAGTCCCTCCCTGCACCCATGTCGTTACACATGGACATGGTGATGGTACTCGTTCTGACCCCAGAAAGTGAGCTTTCTGCCTTTATAGCAGCATTGTGTCACACAGTGTGCAATGCCATTGTTTATGGTGAGATGTATGGATGGCCTCATTTTCCTCCGTGTTTCATCCGTTACCTCTCTTTCTCATCCAGCCTCATCTGGTTCTCTCCCCCTTTTCACCCCGTGGCTGCAACGCCCATGTTACTGCAATCGAAACGCCTGCTTGGCAATGTGCTTTGGAACGACTAATTCACCACATGGAATGGGACGCCATTTCCTCCAGGGTCCACTTCTTCGATGTGAGTTCCCGATGCCAGGCTTGCAGAGATGATGCCATGTCCACACATGCATGAGATCATGCCCACACACACCGAGTCACACATCACACGTACACATGTTGGACATGCATCGCATTGGCCCTCCTCTCCAAACGTGTGTATGTAAATGCGAATGCCCATTATACATCCAGGTCTCACATTCTATGCAGTCTCTGCTAACGGCAACATATTTCTGCTACGCCCCATTCCCTGCCTTGTGAGACTGCAGACCCAGGAGCACAGGGAGCAGATTGATCCTCAGAAGAAACTATCCAAGTTCAAAATCCCATGTCATCGCATGAGCACAATGATGCCGCAGAATTACAAGGACATGACTGTTCGGGTGTACATCCGCACAAGAGATCAACGCCTTGTAAGCCCTTCTTTGCACACCTTTTATTTTCGCATACCAAGTCTTGTAGTACTGTAGATCACACGCATAGCCTGCACTGACTGTTTTTATATCACCTGATTGTGCCATTTGTTGAAATCCGGCAGGAGGATGAAGTGAAGGAGGCGTTCGTCAACTACCAGATGAAGACATTTGGCCGCGAAGTCATGCGCACACCAAGCCGTAAGCGCATGCGCAGGAACCCGGAAAACGGAAACGGGATACCCAATGGGGGTGGAACTGTAACGGAGGAGTTTACAGGTGATGATGACGACGTGGTCTGCTCACAAACGGCAAGGAAGCTGATGTAATGTGACCTGGTGGTGGAGCAATGTATCCCCCGATGGCGCCTGCTTGTCAGGCTAGGATTTCATGTTCCCTCATAGCTGTTCATCCACCTCTTGTGGTTTACAAAAGATGTTCGATTACAGGAGGGGGCAGTCACCAACCTGAGTCATCAGTGAGTTCTCACCTATTATCATACAATGGCTTAGTTCGCTTCAACGCCAGCTATATGCAGTACATCTGCCAACATATTGCCACGTTTCCAACAGCGCTGAGAAATCGCACTGATAGGCCTGGCAAAGGCCGTGCATTATGGATCTCCAGCTTTCGCATCCCAGGAACAGTAAGAGTGGCATGTTACAGAACAGAGACAACCCGGCACTTCCAAAAGGTGGCTATTGAATATCGTGTTAATCTGAATATTGAGCGTACAAAATTGTTCACTCAAAGCCGACCTTCTAAAAGGGCTGTACATGAATCTCAAAATATATTATCTTGCATTTAACGGGGGGACACGGTGATCTGGTCAGCGGGCACAATCAGGTCACCCTTCCTGTACTCGGACCAGGCAGCCACGGGCCAGGTGGCTCCACGGCCCATGAGGCTGAGAGCGAGGGGAACATCGATGATGATCTCCTTCTCGGTGGGCTTGGCACCCTCCTTGGTCTTGATCAGGTAAGAGCGGCCGACCCACCCGATCCAGCCAGCAATGTACAGGAAGACGAGGCCAGGGGAGACGAACTCGCCGTTGTGCCTGTAGTCACCGTCGACGATCAGGTGGGGAAGACCGTCAGTGCCGCACAGCAGGCCGGACTTGCCGTAGAACGAGAACCTGCGCTCAGTCCTCTCGATGGTGGCCTTGAGGGCCAGAGCGGGGGCGGAGCCCTCCTTGTAGAGCTTGAGGCGGTTGTTCAGCTTCTTGATGGAGTTCTTCTGGCGCTTGGCGAAAGCCTTGGAGTCCTTGCAGGGGGTCAGGCCAGCGACATCGGCGAGTGCGACCTCAGGAGCGGCCAGGGCACCAGTGCTGACGACGGCAGCAAGGGCGAGGGCAGAGGCGATCTTGCCAGCCTGCTCAGCAACGTTCTCCTTCTCCGCGGAGCAGACGGTCTTAGCGGACACCTGCTTCACGAAGCAAGACGCCTTGGTGGTGGAGAAAGCCGCCTTGGAGGACAGGCTCTTGGGGGCGACGAGGGGAGCACCCAGGCCAACAGCAGCCATGGAGACGGCGGCCATTTTTCCTCTGTAGTTTGGTTACTGGGAGAGGAAGTGTGGCTGCTGAGTCTGGAAGGAGATCGCTGCTTGCGGAGAGGAAAGCAATCCTTTCTGAGTCTAAAACTGGATGTGAGGTCCTGCTGCTGGAGGTACACCGCTTGGTGGGATTTTCCAGGAGTTCAGGGGAACCCAGCAGCGAGCAGCACAAGAATCCCGACAGGTGGCGCCGTTCAATCAGAAATTTGCACGCCGGGTCCCTCGACCAATCGGTGAGCTGCAAGCCGATAAGGCAGACCGATTTTGTGACCTTCAGGGAATTCTGGTCCACGTGGAACCAAATGTACGTTGGCGGGGAGTTCGTTATCTGCCCGCACGGTGGCATCTCGTCATAACCTGGGAAAAAGTGACTCCAAATCTGAAATCTCGCAACCAATCTTTGTAGTGTGGAAAATCATTACACAAAACCTTACGCCCACATATACTGCAGATATAACCCTAAAAAGGGAACCATCGCAGTTTACAACAGTGTAAAGCCCTGCTTCCAAATTTGTGAACTCAAACTATCACTTTCACAAATTCCTCAGCAAAGATTCACAACACAATCATGCTGCAACTGCCCTTCGGATATGCTATCCTGCTGACCATTTGATGAACCTTCAAACTCTCGACATACTCATGATACCGTAGATACGTTTATCAATGTTACTTGGGCACTGTCAAGTAATGGCGGCATGTCTATCTCAGGCTTCACAGAGTACACTAACCAATTTATGCATAATTGCTAATTGCCCATCCATCCCTCCTTAGAAAAATGCGCAGAAAAATGCTCCATCCATGAAAGCAGCCACTGGGCTAGCACTTCAGAGCCCAGTCTCCCTTGCATACCCCTACAGACCCATCCACCAACAATCAGCTCCATGCATCCATCTGTCCGTCCCCAGTGCTTGAATTGAAGTTTCATCCATCTCTCAAATCAGCAGTGTATCTGTAAGTCTAGCAACTTGTTGCCATGTTGGTCGATCCAGCAAGTGCAGTAGCTGCTGGTTGGGAATGCAACCGGCTACTCTGGCGAAGGACTAGGTATGTTGCGAGGGCTTGGTTGGTGTGCAACGATAGGAGAGAACGAAAGAGAAGTGAGTGTGAGTGACAGCTTGAAAGCCACGGGGTAGAGGGGAATTGGCAAGGCAGGGAGTAGATTTGCTGTAATGCGTCTAGGGGTCCCTGTCAAGCCGTGCGAGGTCATAGACCTGCCGAATGTTGCCCGATGCTGCAAGCAGGCAAGGAAAGGGGGAGGGGGGGGGGGGGGGGGGGGGGATGGAAGTAGGGTGACTGGGAATATCGCAGCGAGATGGGAGTGGAATGGAAGATGGTACCACGGATGGGAGTCGAACGGAGGTACCACGGATGAGAGTGAAATGGAGGGATTCACTGCGGAGCCACTCTTTGAAGTGCGCCTGAATGACGTTGGTGAGCTGGCAAGGCAAGGCATGCATGCAAAGAGGCGGACGAGAGCAAGAGAGCCATCAAGCGAGCAAGGGAGGGAGAGACTCACTGAGGAGCCACTCTTTGAAGTGCGCTTGAATGACGTTGGTGAGCTCCCTCTTCCGCCCCTCGTCCAGCACTGCTGTCTTGAGCGTCTGGCGTAGGCTCTCCACCGTCTTCGTCTGAGGCGCACACAAGAAGGGGGGGGGGAGGGAGAGGAGGAGAAACATGAAGGGTTTGAGGGGAAGGCAGAGATGCATACAAGGAAGTATCAAAGAGTCGACAAAGTCCACTCGTCCAGCGCCGCTGTCTTGATTGTCTGGCGTAGGCTCTTCACAACCAATTGCGAGAGAGGATGGATGAACCAAGAGGCAGAGGAAAAGGCAGAGAGGCAGGCAGGGAATGAGCATAGGGTGGCCACACTCCCTCCCCTCCTCCACCCTGCGTCCAGCCCCGCTGTCTTGAGCGTCTGGCATAGGGCTCTCCACTGTCTTGGTCTGACCAGTGCGGGCGAGGATGAACCAAGAGGCAGAGGATGAACCAGAGAGTTGGGCACTGGACACAGAATGATCGTCGTAGGGTTGACCCTCTTCCGCCCCCATCCACCACTGTTGTCTTGAGCGTCTGCCTAGGCTCTCCACTGTGTTGGTCTGACAGACACAGAGATACACTAGGAGAGATCCTCAAGGGAGTCATTGGGTGCAGAAGTCACACAGGGAGGGGGGATGAAGGGAGTCGACGGGCGCAGAATAGGGAGTCTAGATTTCGTAACACATGTACATTTGATAGAGTGCAAAACCAAGTGCCTTAAGTTGCAGAGAGACATTTTCAAGTGTACCTTGTGTGTTACAAGCGACTCAAAACCACCATAAGCTGTGTACCTTGTGGTGCAGCGCAATGAGGTGCATCTTGGGAGTGGCGAACGGGTTGGCCCTCTTCTTGAAATGGGCAGTAAGCCACGCGGGGGCAACAAGCCACGTGAGGGCAACAAGCCACGCACCTTGTGTTGCAGTGAGATCAGGTCAGGTACATCCTAGGCAGAGCAAGCTGGTTGGACCCCATGACCTGCTGCAGCAGCAGATTCACTGCAGGATTTGTTGTTGTTTACTGTAGCACGCAACCAACCAGCCACGCACCTTGTGTTGCAGTGCGATCAGGTACGTCTTAGGCAGGGCAAACGGGTTGGCCCTCGTGGCCTGCTGCAGAAGTGGGCTGGCACCCCCACCACTGGTCTGCTCCTGCTGCGTCCGAAACGGGACCTGATGTGGTTGGGGAAAAGGGGGGGAACGTGTATTCAAAGTACGGCCCGCTGGGCACAAAGACTGGCGGCGCCACTGCAGAGCTGCTCCTGCTGCGTCGCATAGGGGTTTTAGTGGGCGTGCTGGGGGGAAGGGAACAGGGCGCCTTAGTACACCTTCAAGGGCAACTGAAGATTTGGAAGTGAGCCACGACAAACTGATGGGTGCGAGTGGGCCCGCACACAAGAATGGGGAAATGATTCACAGCAAATGGCACAAGTTTACCAGCCTCAAGAGGCAGCTTATGAGTCGACTCAAAAGCAGACTCAAGGCAAATGGCACAAGTTTACCAGCCTCAAGAGGCAGCTTATGAGTCGACTCAAAAGCAGACTCAAGGCAAATGGCACAAGTTTACCAGCCTCAAGAGGCAGCTTTTGAGTCGACTCAAAAGCAGACTCAAGGCAAATGGCACAAGTTTACCAGCCTCAAGAGGCATCAGAACGGGCAGTGAATCTAATCGAAAGGAGGAGAAAGAGGGGGGAGCAACCACAACATGACTCACCACAAACGGCACAAACTTTTCAGGCGGCTTCAAAACATGGAGTGACTACAGATCGGATGAGACAGAGGGAGAAGCACCCTCAAGATGACTCACCACAAACGGCTGAAAGGGAGAGCGAGAGAGCGGCTCACCACAAACGGCTGAAAGGGAGAGCGAGAGAGCGGCTCACCACAATCGGCTGAAAGGGAGAGCGAGAGAGCGGCTCACCACAAACGGCACAAACTTCTCAGGAGGCATCAGAATCGCCGAATCAAGCCCCGCTCCCGCTGCCCCTCCCACTGCCCCTCCCTCCTTCGCCCCCTCTCCCTCTGCTGCGGTCGTCCCAGCACCAGCAGCAGACGACCCAGACCCACCAGCGCCACCAGCACTGCCAACACCGGCCGCACCAGCGGCAGCAGCAGCGTCTAGCGAGCCGAGCGCAAGCGGCAGATCCCACTTGTTGACCGCTGGGTCAACACCCACTTTAGCCAGGTGGTAATCCAGGCGCGGGTAGAAGGTGTTGTAAGGAGCGATCTGGAGGGAGTGGTTGTCTCCCAGGATGACAGGGCGGGAGTTGCAGCCGAGGTAGAAGACGCACTCGCGGCAGTTGGCAATGCGGATGCGGGCACAGGGGGCGATGAGGGTGAGGCGCTCGCATGCCTCCACTCGAACGACCTGAGGGAGGGGTGAGAGAAGGGGGGATTCGGATGAGGGGGCTATGCAGATGCGCGCATGCCTTCACTCGAACAGCCCGAGGGAGGGGTGAGAGACGGGGGGATTCAATTGAGGGAGCTATGCGGATGCGCGCATGCCTCCACTCGAACAGCCCGAGGGAGGGGTGAGAGACGGGGGGATTCAATTGAGGGAGCTATGCGGATGCGCGCATGCCTCCACTCGAACAGCCCGAGGGAGGGGTGAGAGAAGGGGGGATTCAATTGAGGGAGCTATGCGGATGCCCGCATGCCTCCACTCGAACGACCTGAGGAAGAGGGAGCTTTTGAGTCGACTCAAAAGACACCTACAGTCGAACAGCCTGAGGACGAGGAAGAGGGGTGGGGAGGGGGTGGGGAGGGGTATAAAATTGGGGGGCATGTCTAGTGGCACTACCTGTCAGCTTGTGTCTGTGCAATACAGCTATCGAACACATATAAAGATATATGCATATGTTTTGAATTGTAGATGTAACTGTTGTATATTTAACTAGGAGCTGTACAGCCAAAGCCCACCCACATGCTACAAGCACATGCCTCTTCTCTCCCTCTCACCTTGCCGACGGCCCCCAGCACCACAATGGAGTCGGAGCAGCCAATAACGGAGACGTACTTGAGAGGAAGACACACCACTGCGCATGCCCATGCCCCACCGTTTCGCCCCTATTCCCCCCCCCCCCCTCCCCCTCTCCCTCTCCCATTTACCCATCCTCTCCCTCTCACCTTGCCCACAGCCCCCAGCACCACAATGGAGTCGGAGCAGCCAATAACGGAGGCATACTTGAGAGGAGCCAGCACGTAGATCACACTGTCGTGGCAGTGGGCCACCTGGGGCGGGGGGGAATTGGGGGGGGGGGGGGGGGGGGGAGATGTGAGTGTGGAACGGTGAGCGCACACACTCTGTTTTTGAGGCGCCTCAAAACCCGCGTGAACTGAGGCTATTTCTGAGGCTATTTCTGAGGCTATTTCTGAGGCTATTTCTGAGGCTATTTCTGAGGCTATTTCTGAGGCTATTTCTGAGGCTCCTCAAAGATGTGAGTGTGGAACGGTATGCGCACACTCTGCGTTGGGGTAGGGTGGGAGGGGTGGGAGGCGGGGCTGAGGACTCACCCGCACGCAGCTTCTGTCCACCTCCCTCTCGCCCTTTAGAACCGACATCATGGCCACCCCATCAACAGTTGGCTCGCCTTGTCTTCGCGAGTTCTAAGAAGAAACCATGCAGGCATTGCGGGGCAGAGGCACTCACCCGCACGCAGTTGCTGTCCACCTCGTTCTCGCCCTTGAGCACCGACATCTTAGCCACCCCATCAACGGTCGTCATTCCTGCCGCCGCCCACACACGCCGCGACAGCACGCCACCTGTCATCGGCCCATTGGTTGACCCCCCTCTAGGCGACCCGCCGACCTCCCCCCCTGCGCCTGCCCCGCTTCCCCCCGCTGCTCCCCCTTCCCCCATTGGCGTGTCCCCGCTTTTAGTGGGGGAGGCGGCGGAATCCCCGCCCCTATCCGCGGGCCCCTTGGCAGGGCGCGAGGGTGACTGCGGCCTTAGGTCCGGGCCGTGGTCGGACGTGCAGCACAGCCTCGGGCCAAGCCAGTCTTGAGCCACGGAGAGAGGCACGGGCGCGGGAGGCATGGCAGAGTCAGCTTCGGCAAAGAAGGGGGCGACTTGCGAGAGGAGCAGGGAGGAGACTCCAGGTCGGTTCACTCGCAGAAAGAGACCCAGCAGCTCGAACTTGTCAATGGAAATGACCTGGGGAGGGGGGAAGAGATATTGGGGAAGACGCAGCAGGAGGTAGGAGACTCCACTCCGGGTCGGTTCAGTCGCAGAAAGAGACCCAGCAGCTCGAACTTGTCGATGGAAATGACCTGCGGGGGGGGGAGGAGGGGGGAGGGGGGGGTTGGGAAGAGGGGGATAGAAAGAGATAGGGTGGAGGGAGCGAGATGAAGAGATGGTCGGAGGGATGAAGACTAGCCATGTGAAGCAGAATCCGAGGGGAGGCACGGGAAAGCGATAGGTTGGCAACGGGAGGGTGAGGTTGGTTGGGGGGTTGCGAGGGACTGGCGGAGGATCTAGAGAGACTAGTGCGCCTGGGTCTCTCTAACATGTGCGCACACATGTTGCTGGATTGACCGGAACCGGAGCCTAAGCATGCTCTGACCTGTGCCACTGTGCGCCCGGGTTGAGTGCCATGGCCATCTCACCTCCAGCAGCGCCATGTATCCCCGGAAGCAGCTGCAGCACCGCGGGGAGGTTCTTCTGCGCACAACGCATATTCCGCATTCCCTTGAGCACGACCTGTTTTTGAGCCTCACGACTCACCTGCGCGCCGGGTTGAGTGCCGTCACCACTGGAGCCGTGGTCCGCCAGCAGGTGCAGAAATGGAGGGCAGACTCTAGGACACGCGTAGCAGCTAGAACGCTATTTCGATACAACATGCCAAGGGCCTCTCACCTGTGCGCCGGATTGAGTCCCATCCCGTCCCGTCCCGTCCCGTCCCGATCCTCCAAGCCAGGGGGACCTTGGGCACGCATCGGAGTTTCAGCTTTCAACACCCCGGGTCTCTCACCTACCCTCCGCAACACGGGTGAAGCCTTGGGCGCCAGGGGGTCCCCCCCAAAGGCTCGCAGGTGGATCGGCGAGGGAAAGGGGGCCTGGTTTCCTTCTGGGATCTCCTTAAAGCCCCCCTCCCCCCCCCAAAAAAAAAAAAAAAAAAAAAAAAGGGTCTCTCTCACCTGCGCGCCGGGTTGAGTGCCGTCGCCATCCGAGCCTGCTCCGCTAGCAGGTGCAGGATGGAGGGGAGGTTCTTGTGCATGCCGGCCAGGGCCCTTCAACATCCAAAGGAACTTCAACACCCCGGGTATCTCACCTGCGTGCCGGGTTGAGTGCCGTCGCCATCAGAGCCATGCTTCGCCAGCAAGTGCAGGATAGAAGGGAGGTTCTAGGGCACGCCTGGAAGCGCTGACCTGTTCTAAGGCGCCTCAAAACTCACCTGCGTGCCGGGTTGAGTGCCGTCCCCCTCAGAGCCATGCTCCGCCAGCAGCTGGAGGATGGAGGGGAGGTTCTTCTGCAGAAACGACAGCTGCTGCTGCTCCTCCTCCGCGTGCCCCGTTTGAAACCGCTGCCGGGTGGCCAGGCTTGTCTTTATCTGTTGGCGCAATGATGACGGGTGGGGATCCACACAAAGGGGGTGAGTCAAAGGGGAAAGAGGCGAGCAAATGTCCCCGATACAGAGCTGTGAGCGAAAATTAGTGCTAGAGAGCAGGCCGTCAGACGTGCTGGTGAAAAATAAGTGCTAGAGAACAATGCGAGACAGGTTTTGAAATGTAGGGCTACTTCGAGTCGCTTCGAACGTCAGTCTGTTGACAAGGGACTAGCAACCCCAAAGCAATGATTGCATAAGCCTTGGCGCAGCAAACAAACCCGTCAGCTCTGGTTGGGATTTCACCGAATCGTCCGCACTCAATTGCTCGTTGCTCTGTTCGTTGTGACCATTCCGATATCGGCCGGCATCCACATGACTATCTAACCAGCTAGGCTCCTTCTCTGCTGCGACTTGACATTGACAGCAGGTTGTCTAAGAACACCGCGGAGCAGGCAGAGCCAATGGGAGCACACGCCAGGACTAGCAACCCCTCCAACCGTCCGCGCGCCGACAATGGTAACAGCAGGACAGGTCCAATCGATTCCCCTACACCGTACTTTTATCATCTACGTCACATACGTCATATACGTCATATACGTCATATACGCCATATACGCCATATACGTCATATACGCCATATAGGCCATTTACGCCATTGTACCAAAATACCTGGAGGGCGAAAGTCTATCATACGTCTTCATTTAGGAACACCTGGAAAGCAGACGTCTCGACATACCTAATTACGAACAAACTTAATCTGAAAATACCTGGAGAGCGGAGGTCGCGGTTGGCAAGACACAGTCGAACTTGAACGGCGACGGCCCCTGCGGCGGCGGCCCTTGCAGCCAGACATTGCCGAGCACAGTGGCATCCGGCGACAAGCGACGAACGACGAGCGACCCCTCCGAATGTTTCCCCAGGCCAAATGCCATCCACCTAAAATACCCGGAAACTGACGTTAACGCTAACTGCCGAACATTACCTGGAGAGCGGAAGTCGCGGTCGGCGAGACGGAATCGAACGGCGACGGCCCCTGCGGCCAGACATCCGCGAGCACAGCAGCGTCGCGCGACGAGCGGTTGGGCACGCGGCGGTACCGCTGCAGGAAGAGGAAGAGCAGCAGGAGATCCACGTCCGTTCCGACCTTCGCCGCATCTGACGGCGACGCGTCGGAGAGCGAGTCGATGTCCTCGCTACCGGTCGGCAGTACGGACGCTAGGGTGTCTAGGACGAGCCGCGCCTGGTCTTTAGAGAGCTTGAGGCACGACTCTATCGCGTCGCAGGTGACGCGCGGCTCTTGCGAGCCGTCGCGAGTAGGGGAGGTGGACGAGGGGCCTTCGGAGTTTAAAGACGCGTCGATGAGGCGCTGGCGGAGCAGCTTTAGGGTTTCGGTGGAAGCTTCCTTGTACGATGCGATCGCGGGGATGGGTAAAAGACCGAAATCGAACGGTTCTCGTCGCACGTGAAGCCATGGGTTCCCCGGTGCGCGTTCTAATGCCTCCGCCATGGTTCCCCCTCCCTAACTCTGCAGTAGGAGAAAATGCGGGATAAAAGGCGGTGTTGGTAAGAATGTGTACAAATACTGAAACGGCACGGTTTCGGGTTTCGATTTTACAATAGAGCAAGGATCGAACTGCCTGATTTTAAATGGCTAAGACGGATACTATTTCGGAGGCGCCTTCAAAAATGGCTGAGAGGGCGCACAACTAAGAGGAGGACTAGGAGACTCACAATGTAGAATAAGGAAAGACAGCGCTTAGAGTTACTTGACGTTCTTCATGAGGAAACAATTATAATAAACATGAGTGTCAGGCTTCGGCTAGAAGACGGTCATTAGAGGGTGAGAATGTCTATAATCCCGTAGGGCTGGTTCAAGCTAAATCGAGTATCGTAACACAGAACCGCGGTAGTTATAATGCGGTATGACGATGACGACCCTGATTCGCACGACGCAAAGGCTGCTTGACTAGCTCCTAATCGGACCGCGAGACGGGGTCCAGTTAGGTGAAGAGTGAGAGATCCGCCAAAATTAGGAGAGGTAGGGTCATTCCGCCATAAGTAGTTAGGATAGGAAAAATGGAGAGTGGAGGAACAGAGGGCGGAGCAGCAGATCAGGCCAGGCGCGCGCGGAAGCGGAAAGGAAGCCTTGAAAATCCCGCGCTTGCGGGAGAAATGTGAAACCCGCAGCAGAGAGAATGGTGGGGGGGGGGCTTACGCGGAACAGAGGGAAAAGCGCGGGGCTTCCGGCTGCGCAGGGCGCACACCTAGAAATTGCCGCCGCAGGAGGACTGCCCTTGATGGGGAGGTCGCGCGCGAAGTGAGGTCTTTCCGCACTGGGGGAAAGGGGGCTGCTGCTGAGTCTATGAGTGGTGGGGTGAAAATTGCGGGTGGTCTCAAAAGATCAGGAGCCACGTCAAGATTAGCGAAATGATGGAAGGCTTCGAATCTACCACATGTTACAATCCGTCTAGCATCTAAGTACAATGTTGCCATTGTTTTTTGCCTCCTAAAAAAGAGAAACCAATAAAGCCAATCCATTACAGCTCACACAATGAACTCATCGGTAGAATGATCCCACGAAGAACAAGCTGACACTTGTAAACAGGGTGATGAATGTTTCCTGCGACCAGCAACAGCACCAGAAGTGTTCATCCAGTATCAGCGGCACAACCGTCACAAATTCAAGATATAAAACAAAGGCGGAAACAGCATCCAGGCCTCACCTGGAAGGTGTAAAGGGCTCGAGGGACATACATCCCAGCAAGGGAGTAGGCCTTGATTAGAAGAGTGTGGACCTGAAAGAACAAAATCATATTTGTGTCAAATTGTGACTGGTGAGGCAGAGACTTCCGCCCAAATGCATCCCATGGAGAGGGTCACCGTGTTCAGGCAAATCAGACAATTGAGACATGATTGCACGAGTTCCAGTTCCGTACCAGTGAAGCAAGAGCAATGACGCCAAAGACAAGGCCAAGGGCCCGTGTGAGTCGCCGGCCGTTCCTCTGCCATCTCTTCTCCCCCTCCTCCTGCACCAAGGATTGACAAGCACCAGGAGGCATTAGCCACACCAGTATGGGAAGCAAGAAACAATCAGAGCAATTCTCACTACATTTCTCTGGAACGGGATGAGCATTAATAGTGCGCAGTGCAGCATGCTTCAAATGGGTGTAACCGCGTACGGTGTTTTGCGGGTAGAAGGGGTCGAGCTTCATGAAGAGCTGGAAGATGTAGAAGGAGATCAGAAACTGCAGGATCTTCCACTCCGTGTTCTGCGCCCCCACCATCCACACCGCCTGGGGGGGCAGCAGGGGGGAGAGACAGAAGGGGGAGGGGGGGGGGGGGGAGGGAGGGGAGAGGTGAGGAAGAGAACATCTGAGAACGACTGACAGGTGCCATGACTGACTGAACTACTCCAACATGGCACCATGTTACCCTGACCAGCGTGCATAAGACAAAGAATTCTTACCATGACCAGCGTCTAGAAACAAAGGATCCTTATAATGATGGTGGAGACAGCAGCGTTGATGAGGATGCCCTTGCAGTCGGCCTCCTCATGCGGACTGTTCTTCAACACCTTGGGGGAGCCAGGGGCTACAGTGTTACCATGACAGTAGGGTTACCATGACATAGGGTTACCATGACAGTGGAGACAGCAGCGTTGATGAGGATGCCCTTTTTGTCGGCCTTCTCATAGCGCGGGCGCCAGGGGAGGACGTCCGTCTGGTCGGCGTACTTGATGTCCTCCGACACCTTGAGGGAGCCGAACGTGACGCCCTGCTTGCGCTGGGTGAGCTGCCGCATCATGATGGCGTCGTACGCCCGGTCGATCTGAGCGCATGGGGGGCGAGCACATGAAGGGGCAAGGATGGACAAGGGGAGAATAGGGCATGGGGGGGCTACTGCACATGGTGCGCTGCCGCATCATGATGGCGTCGTATTCCCCTGTCAATCTGGGTGCGTCAGGAGAGGCATGGAGTCAGCATGGGGAGAATCACATGGAGACTGGATGAAGGGCAGTGGCATCCGTGCAAGGGGGCTATTCTAGAACTTGCAGCAGCATAGCAGCAGTGGCCAGACCAACCCAAGGTCATTCTCGATTAACCTTTCGCCCCAGTTCTTTTCCCACCCTCTCCAACTCTCCTCTGTCCTCTTTCCCCAACCCTTCTCTCACCCATCCTCCTCCCCCCCCCTCCCTCCCTTCTTTAAGCACGCGTGCCCCGAATCGCCCCCGCTCACCCTCTCTATCTCCGCCTCGTCGCCCTTCCCCTCCGCCTCCTTGAGCTTCCGCCTGTGCGCCACCTTGATGGCGTCGAACGAGTCCAGCGGCCGCACGCCCAGCACCTGAGAGAGAGGAGGGGAAGGGCGGTTGGCGGAGAGGGACGCGGGGAGGGAGGAAGCGGGAGGAAGGGGGGTTGTGAGGACTTCCGCCTGCGCGCCACCTTGATGGCGTCGAACGAGTCCAGCGGCCGCACGCCCAGCTCCTGGGAGAGAGGAGGGGTGTGGAACGGTGAGATAAGGGCGAAGGGAGGAGGGGAGGAGCGCAAGAGGGATTGTGAAAGTGGATGCCAACAGGTGGATGCTAAGCGAAGCAAGGTCAAGGTGGGAGGGGGGGAGGAGGGGGGAGGAGGGTGGGGGGAAGAGGGGGGTGGGGGGATGTGGGTGGGTGGGGGGTAGAGGAGAGGAGGGAGAAGGGTGAATGCGAACCTAGTTCGACTCATAATCAGCCCGGTGGGGGTTCAATGAAACTGGTGGGGGTTCAACAAACCTGGTAGGGGTCTTCTGCTGGCTGGGAGCCTGGTTTAGCTGCATTGCACGTGACTCGCAAGCGGTGAGAATTGCTGCAATGAAAGCAAAAAGCACAGCGAACAGGGGGAGAGAGAGAGGGAGAAAGCTTACGAGAAGGGAGGGACGGGAGAGGGAAGGTGGGAGGAGAGATATGCCAACATGAAGAAAAATCCCAACCCCTACATTGCATGGGCCTTCCTACGTAGTAGCAGTCTTACAATGGCAGATCACCGACGAGGAAGCATGTCACGTGAAACATTGCGACATGACGCATTCTGGCATCCCCGTTATACGCGTTTAGCGGCAGCATAATGATTAACGTCAAGATGGATTAACAATTCACCGGAGTTCCACAGCGCGAATGCCACAGGACGAGCAAGGGAAAACTGGACTGACGAAAACGCGGCTGATACTCACCTTACAGATGATCGGCTTCTGCATTGTACCGGAATGGCTCTCAGCGAGACCAGCGACAGGTTCGTCGCTGACGACAGTCGACGCGTTAAATGCGACGCAGTCGTACAGTTTGTCGCATTTATCGCTGGCCTGACCGCATGCGACGTCGCCGCGCTGGCCATTGATCTGATTCGTTCAAATGTGATCACGCAAAAAGAAGCGTTTGACGCCGAAATTGCTTGTCAAATCCAGATCTAAGAGATTGCGACGACGAGTCACGCGTGAGGCTGACGGTACTTCACGCAATCACCTTGGACCTTGCTGCAAACCAAGGTGAGCCTTCACCTTGGGCAAGGGAGACTGAGGGGAAATGGTGGGCTTGTGAGAAATGGCGACCTCGGTTGGTTGTGGGGGGATATGCTGCTGCTGCTCCTGCTTTTTGTGAGGCCTTGGGATTGGGGAAAAGCGGATAGGCCTCGTTTTAGGAAGGCGTCGATGGTCGCTGTATCGAACAGAGAAAATGTCAGATAGCTGAGATCTTGAATACATTTGTTTTGCGCAAAAGTGCAATGTTCTCGGCCCTGAACATCTCGTGAGACTCACAGTATCGAAGATTACTGAACCCTGGGAAACTCCCAGGTTGACCTTCCTTTCCCAGCCCCTCTTTTCCCAAGCTTGGCTTCTGTTCTTTCGTTGTCCCGTAATGTCCGCTTGATCACCTAGTCGCTTGTCATTGCTAGACGCTACAAGGTTCTGCTTCTTGTGTCGCCTGCTAAAACCACGTATCTCTTATCTTCACGTGCTGCTATTCGGCTGCAGGGTCCGTCCTTTGCTGATACGAGTAACAGTCGGTGACGTTCGCTCAATATCATCTCTCGACCATCAGAAGCATATCGTCTTCGCTACATGCTTCTGCTGTTTAACTATGGTGGTCCATTCAACGCACCGTGCTGACGCACGAGACCCGGATCCTGCTCTCCCCAGCTCGCCATGCGTCACATCACCAGAATCTGACAATAGCGAATCCGTCAACAGACCCGCTATAGTGCAAGCTCGTCGTCTTCTTCAAAGACGGCTCCGGATCGGCATAACGGACGGACGGATCTTCATCGGCCGGTTCAACTGCCTGGACAAGCAAGGGAACATCATTCTCCATGACTGTGTCGAGTTTCGTCGGGCGTCTCCCGCCGCGGATCCCGCAGATCCCCGCAGGACCGAGTCACTCGAGGAGAGAATGGCGAGTGCCACGTCAGCGGATCCGAGCCCGCTAGTTGAACAGCGACGGCTGGGATTGGTGCTGATCATGGCGAAGGATCGCGTGTGGTGTGACGTGGAATGTGGACTAGAGGAGAAGTTGGAGAGCATCAGTCTAAGTTGAGCCTCTACGGTTACTCAATGGTAACCACTGAGGGTAGCAGAGCCACTCAAGGTAGCTCTGAGCTGACCTCCCGTTTGCTTGTTATCCCTGAGTTGTGATAATAAGAAAAGATGCGTGTTTGCAGGCCTAGTGTTAGCGCTTACCTTCTTCATGCATACAGGTATCTGAGATGTTCCCTGGGACCGGGAGATCGGCATTATGCACTGAAGCATTCGGGTGCATTGGCCCTTATCACTCCAAGCAGAACAAGGACGTCAAACCCATAACCGCTGGTCGTCCCTGCCTGCCTGCCAAGCAGTGGGGTGGGGGGGGGGAGCAAGCCATGGCTGCAGCTGAAAGGGAATCTCATTGGTTTTCCCAACATGCCTTGGCTCAAAAAGGAGACAGTATCCCGCCAACCGGATTCGAACCAGTGACTTAAGGATTGCTCGACTACAGTCCTCCGCTCTACCAACTGAGCTATAGCAGGATGGTAGTAGGGGAGACCAAATATTTATAGACCTTTAAAACTTTTAGAGATTTCACGGCTCACGATTCTTGCGCCATCCATGGCACATTCATGGCGCCTTCTGCTTGTCTTGTCCATATCTTTCGCCGTATGGTCGACGATCCTTCTATCCCACGGAGCGGCCTCTCAAGCGCTGCTCGACGGATGGGAACCCCTCGGCTCTGAAGCAAAGGACCAGCGTGCTCTAGCTCTATATCGCGTACGCACTGGCGTTGCTCCCGTCCACGCGCCTGTAGATTCGCGACTACTACGGTTTCGAGTCCATTATGTTCTCATTTCTCACAATTCTAACGTTTTAGAAATCCTTCCTCCCCCCTCACGCTCATCCCACCCCCCTGTCCCCTTGCAGTCATGGGAGAGCGCCTATGGCCTGCAGCGGGGCTCCCTCCTCCCCCCATCCCCCCTCTCCCTTCCCCCCGACCTTCCCCCTCCCCCCCACCTCACTAATTGCGCCGCCCGCACTCTTGCGCGAGAGGTGGCGGAAGGGGGACCGTGGAGAGGTGGGGGGGGAGGAGGACGGGGAGGGGAGAGAGAGGGGACCCGTTGGGAGGACACGTGGCAGCAGACTGGTGGTCAAGAGGAAAATCCACCCGAGTGCTGCGATTGGTTGCCGCCCCGCACTCCGTGGGTATGTTTTCATTCGTTGGGGTTACTCCAGATGAACGTTTTTATAATGAGTAGCACAACTAGTACAGACTCTGTGCAACAGGTTTACCTCCCCTCCCCCCCACCTCTTCCCCTCCCTCTCCCCTCTCCCCCTCTCCCCCCCACCTCTTCCCCTCCCTCTCCCCTCTCCCCCTCCCCCCCCCCCTCAACGACCTCCCTCCCCTCCCTCCTCTAGATCCTTTCGCGAGAAATTCCGAAATGCCGTCTTTCATCCAACCCTCTCCCAGGTGCATGGTACGGACGCTTCCAATCTAGCGCTGACACGTGTCGCACAGCGGGACATATGGGCGCACCAGATGCTGACGTCAGCAGCAGTACGGGGAGAAGGAGGAGGAAGGGGAGGAGGGACGTGTGAGGGGCGTCGGTTGCTGGTGGTTCCATGGGTGCCGTCAGACCGCCACGTCAGCGCTGACCCATTCCACACCGTCGCCAGTCAAATCCACGTCATGGCGGATATCCTTGGGCTAGCGATGTTGCACAACCGCACGCTCGTTCCCCTGCCTGGCAGCTATGGCCCTGCTGCCAACAGTGACTGTAAGGGTACGGTCATTGCCTTGGTGCGTGATTGTGGTGGTGTGTGATTCCTATCAGATTGAGCAATCCTGCATAACCGCACGCTCGCTCCCCTGCCTGGCAGCTATCGGCCTGCTGCCGACAGTGACTGCAGAGGTCCGTTGTGTGCCCGTGATTCAGTTTTGAGGCGCCTCAAAACTAGACTCCAGTTTTGAGGCGCCTCAAAACTAGACTCCTATCACGCGGTGCGTTGTGTGCCCGTGATTCAGCATCTGCACATGCGTGGGCATGCACTCCCACCAATGCCCTTCATCCTAACCTGCACAAACGCACGCTTGTTCCCCTGCCTGGGAGCTATGGCCCTGCATCCACCAACGAATGCAGGCGTGCGTGGTCACTGGTCATCCTGCCTCCGCGTCTATTTTTGAGTCGACTCAAAAATAGACTCATTACTCCGCATCCCGTTATGTGATTGTATGTATGCCTGCAGAATGCAGCAAGGCAGTGACTTTTGAGTCGACTCAAAGGTCACTGGTCATCCTGCCTCCTCGTCCCGTTATGTGATTGTATGCCTGCAGAATGCAGCAAGGCAGTGAACTGGCCTGCTCCCTCACCCATCCCACCCGCTCCTCTGTGCGTGTGTGAGTGGTTGCACGCGTGCAGAGTTGAACCAGCCTACCACACCAGCAGCGAGTATGTTGAAAATGAGTCGATTTTTGAGTCGACTCAAAAATCGTGCAGAGTTGAACCAGCCTACCAGACCAGCAGCGAGTGTGTTGAAAATGGACCTGTTTCTTCTTCCCTTGCACCCATTCCGCTCCTGTGTGTGTGTTTATGGGTGCCTGGTTGCATGCGTGCAGAGTTGAACCTAACTGGTGAATGGACCTGACTGGTTGCATGGCTCACATGGCTTCACATGGCCTCACATGGCTTCTTCTTCCCCTTCACCCACCCTGCCTGCTCCTCTCGCTGTGTGACTCTTTGTGTGCTCCTCTCTCTGTGTCTGTGTGTCTGTGTGTCGGTGTGTTCTCAAATATGCAGAGTTGAACCAGACTGGCGAATGGACCTGTTTTTTCTTCCCTCTCACCCACCCCGCCTGCTCCTCCCGGGTCTCCCACCTGCAAGCCAACGGCCACATGCCCACCTGCCTCTCGTTACAAGCACAACAGCCACCGTCACCATCACAGTCACAGTCTCAGTTTCAGTCACAGCTACTGTCACAGTTGCAGCAGCACCTGGCATCGGTGCAGGATGTTGTGTGTATGGATGGCTGGCCGCTCATAGAAGCCACAACACAGATGGATGGCACCTCCCCTGCTGCTGCTGAAGGGAATAATGCTGGTGCTGCCCCTGCATCAACAGCGGTAACGCCAGCAGCAGCAGCGGCAGCAGCAGTAGGATCAGCAGAGTCAGCAGTAGATGCAGCAGGAGCAGCTACACCTCCAGCCGCAGCAGCAGCACCAGCGCCAGCAGCACCAGCGCCAGCATCAGTCCCATCAATCATCCAAGCAGCGGCAGCAGCAGCTGTTGTGAGCCGGTGGGGCCGTCCCCATAAGGAGCAACCCGTTATGGTGGATAAGCAAGGCACGCTCCACATCATGGGAGAGGAGAGAGCCCAGGTGAGGAGAAAAAGAGGAGAATAAGAGGAGAATAAGGATGAAGGTCCATGATTAGGGTTCATTGTTCATTATTCTGGATCTTTGGTTGTGGATAGTTCTCTCAACAGCCCCTGTACCAATTCCCCCACCCCTTCCCCCCAATTCCCCCACCCCTTCCCCCCAATTCCCCCACCCCTTCTCCCCAATTCCCCCACCCCTTTCCCCCCTTCCCCCCTCCACGTCAGCTCCACTGGTGGCGATCCCAAGCCGTCCGCTTCTTCCTCCGATGGCCCTCCCTCCACCTCTGCCACGTCATCAACCGAGAGCACCACATCAGCATTGGGCTCCACGTGGCTGCCAGCCTGGCACCCACCATTGCCAGCCAAGCATCTCTCCTCCACTCCCTGTCGTCCGGCACGACTCCCGGCACCACTGCGTCTACTAACACAAGATTTGCGATTCGGTATTCGAAGAATCTACCGAATACATCGGAGGAGGCTGCTGCGCTTGCTGCTGCTGGGAAAGCGACTGAAAAAGGGCATGCGCTCTCTGCGCTTATTGCTTCCTCTTTTGCTGCTTCTGCTGCTGCTGATGCTGCTGCTTCCTCTGCTTCCGCTGCCTCTGCTGCTTCTTCTGCTTCTGATGCTTCTGCTTTTGCTTCCCCCCCTTCCTCACTCTCCTCCCCGTCCTCTTCCCCTGACCTCCCCTCCCTCCTCCACTCCCCCAATTCCTCTCTCCTGGAAACGCATGTGTGGGTGGGGAGGGATGGGCCGAAGCGAGTGAGCGTGCGTGTGGGGGGGAGAGTGAGAGTGGGATTAGGCGTGAGGGGAGGGGAAAACGGGGGGAGTGAGGGAGGGGTTGAGGGAGAGGGTAGCACCAGCACCATGGGGCGATTGTGTGGTGCTGCAATGATGACAAGCACCACTGTGGATGACCTTATAGCGAGGACAGGAAGAGGGGAGCTGTTGACTCTAGACCCTGTGACTATAGCAGTGGGCGGTGAGCCTTACCTGCCCCGTCCAATAGCAGCTGTACACGTCAGCAGGGTGGGTGAGATAGGGAGGGAGGAGACTGGTCGGGGTGGTAACGAGCTGTTGAGCTCGGAGTCAGCCTTTGGAGCGGAAAGAATGGCAGCTGCAGCAGCCTTGCAGGCATTGCAGCGTCTACGGTGGTTGAGCCCTGACCTTAGAAGAGTGTGGCTCTCAGGGGACGTACATGGGACGGTGAGTGAGTGTCGAGGCGCCTCAGAAGTAACTCAATTTTGTCCTGACCTGAGAAGGGTGTGGCTGTGTGGGGATGGGTATGAGATGGTGAGTGATTGATCCTTTCTCGAGCCAGGTGTATCCCTTGCTTTGAAAGGCTAGTTCCTTCTTGTCATTCCCACATCCTCGCCTCTCAACCCATCCCCACCCTCTCCACCTTCACCACCCTCCCCATTCTCCCCACCCTGCCCACCCTCTCCACCTCTCCACCCGCTCCCTCCCCTGTTTCGCCCACTTGTATGGCACTCCCCTCCCATGCCCTCCTCTACCCTGTTGACTCCCCAGAGGGCCATCCAACAGCATCTAGACTCACCTGACTGGGCACTCCTTTACTCCACTCGCACTCGACAGCCTGGCACTGCTGCAGAGGGTGCGGCGGCGGTTGCTGCAACAACGGATGCAGCAGCAGCAACAGGAGGAGAAGAAGCAGCTGCAGCTGCTGTTATATTCGCTGATCTGCTGACATCATCTCTCACTGATTTCCTCATAGCTGACATCAGCACAGAATCTGGTAGCTTGATTCATGAGCTTAGGGGCACCAATGGTCGCCTCTTCTCCCCTGTGTGCACCATTTGACTTTGACCTTCTCGATCCGGACACATTTGCATTTCTTTGGGCATACACTATGTGTATATTCCATGTGAAGAGGACGGGACAAGGGTATGCGTTATACAGAGCTATGTACAGGTTTCTCGAGAAACAATAAATAAATACAGAGACAGCAATGAACGAATTGAGGCAGATTTTACAAATTACAACCACCAGAACAGCAAGACCGCCATACCATAACAGACACAAAATAATTATCAACAAACTGGATGATCAGAAGCGGCGACGAACGGTTGAGGTGTAGCCAGGGGGGTCGAAGTAACAGAGGAGAATGTACAGGGAGGTCGGTACTGCTGCTTTGGCCTCTGGGCAGTTTATCTGTAGGGTAGTGAGTGAGGGGAAGCATGGAGAGTTTAGAGATGAGATGGAGGGAGAGGGGAAAAAAGAGGGGAAGGGGTGGGGGGGGGGGAAAGGGTGAGGAGAAGGGAAGGGAAGGGGGAACGACAAGTGCCTGGATAGAGTGAGGAGAGGTGTAAACATTAGCCCGATGCACCATGCCACAGCGCAGAGACCATGCCACACTGCAGAGACCATGCCACACTGCACAGACCATGCCAAATCCCACACAACCATACCATGCCACATCCCACACACCATCCATACCATGCCACATCCCACACACCATCCATACCATGCCACATCCCACACACCATACCATGCCACATCCCACACACCATACCATGCCACATCCCACACACCATACCATGCCACATCCCACACACCATGCCACACCGCACGTACCATGCCACATCCGACGGCTGTGGTTGTGCTGCCGATGATCTGGCGGTAGTTGTCGCACGTGTCAGACGCTGAACAAGCCTTGGTGGAAGGCTGCATGCACGAGGAGTGTAGGCGGGTAAGAAAATGCGGAGGTGAGAGAGAAAGCAATACCGTGAGGTAGAAGAATAAATGTGTGGAATTTCACCGTGTAAGAACTGTGGGAAGAAAACAATGCAGGGATACAAACGCAAAGCCAACTCACATCGTAGTTTTGTTTCTCATAGAGCCATGCGTTGACGGCGCGAGAGTGGCCAGCAGAAGGGCAATATAGGTGTCATGCTGACACTGGACACATACTCACTCTCCAACTGATTTTCAGAAACTAAGCTGTTGCTAAGAAATACACTCCAACTCACATCATAGTTTTGTTTCTCATAGAGCCATGCGTTGACGGCATCAGAGGGGGTGTTGCCAGCAGGTGAGGCAGCAGCAGACTCAAACCCGTACCACCCCATGCCATAACGCATGGTTGTAGAACCAGCAGCACTAGCAGCAGGTAGGGTTGTCGCGGCAACTGGCAGGAGTGAGCCGAAGGGATCCAGAGGGGCGGCGCACAGTGCTGCTGTCTGATTGGCCGCCCACTGCTGTGCTGAGCTGGCCAATGCGTCGCTCCACGTAATCGCTGACAGGCTGGCAGCCGCCCTGGCAGTATGAACAGGGTGGCATTAGCAAAGGCAAAAGTGACAAAAGGGGTGCTTTGAAAATGTGGTTTAAGAGGCAACAGAGCGGCAAAAGAACTATAGCGGATGAACAAGCACGAGACGTGGATGATGCAGCACCCGCACAGAGAAAGTAGGCTTATTTCGAGACATCTCAAAATACACAGATGCACTAACGAACAAGTCACTCCGCCCACCCACCTCTCTCTATTCACCAGCGCCAGCAGTTCTCCCCTTGCTCCTCCCGCCAGCACAGAAGCGCCCCGGGCAGGGGGAGGGGAAGGGGGGGGAGGGGAGGGCGGCCGCAGCACAGGGGGAGGGGGGCGGGGCGGGGGGGAGCGTGCAGGGGGGGGAGGACTGGGAGGAGAGCGGAGAGGGGGAGAGGGAGGGGGGCGACGGGGGGGAGGTGGGGATGGTGGGGGGTTGGGGGAGCGAGGGGGAGAGGGGGGAGGGGAGGGTGGTGAGGGAGGGGGAGAGGGGGAGGCGAGCCAGGGGTGTTGAGAGGAAGAAGCTTTTGAGTCGAAGAGGCAGAGGAGGGAGAAGAGGGAGGTGGGCGCTGGCGCCTTGGCCTCGGAACAAGCTACCTGCAATGACACATACACATGCAGACAAACACACACAGAGAGACAGACAAAAACACAGATGGGCACACGCATACACCCACAGAAGATTCAGGCACGTGAAATATGGGCGTGATAAGCGGAACGACCAAGCCTAAAACTCATCATGCCACATTCCATAGCAGTTTGGCACCGAGCAAAAGAACCCAACACATATATAAAATAGACAGATATCCGCACGTATACAGAACAAAAAAGGCATCTCACCATGCCACACCCCACTGCAGTCGCAGCCTTCCAGATAATCTGGCGGTAGTTGCTGCACTGCTCCCCTGCTGCACACGTGTCAGCAGCTGACTGGAGCGAGGGTCGACGGAGGCACGGAGACAGCAGGAGAGGGGAGAGGCGAGAGCGGGGGTAAGAGGAGGAGGAAGAGGGAGGAGAGCGGAGAGTGAGTGGAGGGATGACCAACAGGTGAGGAAGCAGAAAGGTGGGATGAGGAAGCAGAAAGGTGGGATGAGGAAGCAGACGATGAAAGGCAGAAACAGACAGGAATGAAGCAAACTCCCTAAACTGCACGAGCTGATTTTCAGAAACTAAGCTGTTGCTAAGAAACACACTCACATCATAGTTCTGTTTCTCATAGAGCCACGCGTTGACGGCATCAGAGGGAGTGTTGCCGGCAGGCGAGGCAGCAGCAGACTCAAACCCGTACCACCCCATGCCGTACGCACTGCTGCTCGCACTGCCATTCGCAGTACCGATCTTCTGTGCCTGAGCTGGAACCCCCATAGGGAATGCAGTCATGACGAACGGGAGGGCCGAGCCGAAGGCGTCGAGAGGGGCGGCACACAGTGCTGCTGTCTGATTGGCTGCTTGCTGCTGCGCTGAGCTGGCCAAGGCGTCATTCCACGTCAGCACTGACAGGCTGGCAGAGGGGACTGCTAGCCTGCAGGTTGGAAGACAAGAGGAGGGAGGGAGTGACACGAGAGAGAGAGGAAGGAGGGTGAAAGAGTGGAGGGGGGAAGGGAGTGCGTGCATGCTCTCAGGCCAGAGAGAGGGGACGGGAGGGGAGGGGGGGAAGGGAGGGGGTCAACACATCCGGACCGTTGGAGAGAGAAAGCGGAACTGGAAGCGGAGGTTCATCTCACCTCACGTCGTTTCATCTCCCTCTCCCCCCCATCCCATCCCTTACCTCGCGTCGTTCATCCGGCTCAGCGGCATGCCGCGGTCGGCAGCACGTAGAGCGGTCTGCTTCTCCTCTCCTAGCATGGGCACCTCTCTCATCCACCGCCATTCCGTGACGCACCTTCCCCCCCATCGTCCCCATCCCTCACCTCGCGTCGTTCATTCGGGTCAACAGCATGCCGCGGTCTGCAGCACTCAGAACGGACGGCGCGGATCCCGGCAGTTTCACCTTCCCCTTGCCCTTGGCCTTCGATTTCACCTCCACTCTCCCGCCGCCCGCGGACGGGTCCTTCGAGAGCGCAACGCGGCTGCGCCACGCGGGGGCGGAGGCGGAGGATGGCGGGGAGCGCGCGGAGGAGAGGGCGAGCGGAAGGTAGATGGGGAGCGCGGGGGTGGCGGAGGAGCGGCGCGAGTTGGCGGTGGCGGGGGAGGCGGAGTGGAGGGCGGATGGGGGAGAGGAGGCGGGTGCACTGCGTGGCGATGCGGGTGCGGCGTTGTGCGGGATGGACTGTAACGAGGATGAGTGGAGCGACGCGGAAGTGGGGTCCTTGTGGCGAGGGAGGTGAGAGTAGAGGCGGGAGCCACGTGTCCCTGGAAATGTGTGGGGAGAGATGGGAATGCGAGAGGAGGGGAGGGGAGAGGGGGGAGGGGAGTATAGGGAGGAGAGAGGGGCGAAGGAGCGCGGTCAGTGTGTGTGCACACAGCACTCGAATTCGATCGACCGAGGCTAGTTGTTGTGCTTGACATCGCATACCTACTACACTTTGGCACAGTAATGTCGCTGTTGGCGCCTAAAGAATTACTCGTCGCTCACAGTGATTCGCGAATCCCGTGCTCGAGGCGCCTTCCAGCGGCCGGATCGCGAGAGCCAGCAGCGCCAACGCGACGACGACCCAACTGTGCGACAGCTGTCGCTCGCTGCGACGGCTGCGAGTCGTCCCGCGACGGCGCTGAGATCTGACCGTCCATCGGGGAGCCATCGTCCGACCCATCGTGCGGCGGAGGACGAAACTCTCGAGGCTACTCGATGGCGACTCGATGACGACTCGCTGCGTCGTCTGCAGTGAACGTCGCGCAACAAAGCTGATGGAGTGTCCGAGGTCCCTCGACTATTGACCGCCGAAAGGCCGCACCTCTGCCATACCTTCACCTTGCAACGCGGTGACAGGCGAATGAGTGTGTGTATATACAGAAATGTTTTCGCGACTGCGAGTGAGTGTGTGTACGACGCAGGGGGACGTGGTGAAATCTGGTTAGGGGCCCAAACTGAAGGCCAGGGTGGCGCGGCGAGGCGAGGGTACAAGAGGAATGGTTGTTGGGTGTACACTGTGGTGTGGCGGAGGTTCTCAGTGTCCCTCCATAGGCTAGAACCTGGACGAGACGCCTTCGGCCACATTAAATGCGGAGATAAATCCTTCGCAGCATATGTTACCTGTTTTCGTCTACTCGCAGACAGGGTCGAAGTGTTTTTCGCATGCTGTATCGGCGAACATATTGTTACGTTGATTGGTGGAACTCCACTCGTTGGCGGCGGAGCGGGAAGTATTTCAGCGGCCAAAACCAAGCAGGCAGTGTCGCGACATGCGCCTGTCGCTTGGTTGGTTTCTGCTCTCAGCGAACCGTGCGATTGTCGCGTAGCCACCAGTCGTTACATTCCGTTTCTGCTAGGTTGGCGGCGGCAGACACCTGCGAACCTCAAAACGAAACGGCCTGCATCGAGACAAAACCTGCATCAAAAGAAATGAAATCACAGCAATTTGTGCTTTCTCGCTCTTCCGTATTTCTGAGACTGTACAAGTTCAGAGTACAGTTTACAACTCCTAACGTGATGTGAATATCGCATCAGCCAGTGTGCGGTATCGTATGACTGCAGTGGAAGTGCGTCACCGTCACCGTCACCTAGACTCTAGCGTTCAACACATGTGTCGTGTTTGCACGTACATTGGTCCATCGACGGCCGAAGACAGTCGTTAGCAAGGGTGCTTCGCATCTACGTCAATCACCTGTCGCAGAGCCAGCATTGGCAAAGAAATGTGTCAGCGCCCTTCGAACTCTGATCGCACCAAGAGTTGGAAGTTTTCGCACGACACAGCTGGTGGGAGTGTGGTGGGCGCAGAGTGGAGGAGAGTCCAGTTGGTGAACAGAGATTGAATGGAATTGCACCAAAACCCCATGCGATGTGATGTGAGGTGAGGGGGAGGGTGGGTGGGGGGGGGGAGGAGGCGCGCGCGCTTGGCATGAGTGGAGGGACTGACCAAACCGCCCCTCGGTGGTCCCCCCAACCAGCTCAGCCCCTTCCTGCAACCAATTTCTTCCTGCGGGCTCCAGCGCAGCACATCGCTCCCCCGCTCCAGTCCGCTCCACTGATTGCTCGCTCGCCTGCTCGCTTGGTTGCTCGCCCCACCTCGATGGACCTCCCTCCCCCACGTCCGCCCACCGCCCTCCCTGCAGGCACCTCCTCCTTCAGCCACGCCCATGGCCTCCCCGCTTTACAGTATAAAACTGAACTACTCTTGCTTTGATACACGTGGCGCCGCTGACGAATCTACCACTTCCCACCTGAACGAATCCACTCAGCAGGCCGACCAACTCAGCTTAGCGTACTCTCCGCCGCCATGGGTTTCAAGCCGAAATCTCTCGCCGCGCTGTTCGCTTTGCTCCTTGCTTCCGCGTCCTTCGCGTCCCTCGCGTCGGCCGAGGTGACCACGGAGCAACTCGTCAACGAGGTGACGGCGCTGGCGAACGCGCTCAGGCTCCGCCCCAATTACTCCTTCATTTACCTCGCCGCGAAATACGTGCTCAAGAAGCAAGGTCAGTGCGCCGCGCCGCGCTCGTAGCGTGCGTTACTAAAGAAATGTGATGCTGGTGCCTGTCCTCTCCGTTCAACGGGGGCATTGGGCGAATGCCGCTCGACCTCAATGCCACTAAAGCATCCCCTATGCTCGCTTGTCCCCTGCTGAAACATTTCCCTGCGCCTCGCTGCTCAAATGCCCGTCTCTTCGCCCTCTGTCCCTCCACCTTCCCTCCACCTTCCCTCCCCCTTCCCTCCCCCTTCCCCCCACCTTCCCTCCCCCTTCCCTCCCCCTTCCTCCCCCCTTCCCCCCCCCTTCCCTCCCCCTTCCCTCCCCCTTCCCTCCCCCTTCCCCCAACCTTCCCTCCCCCTTCCCTCCCCCTTCCCTCCCCGTCCCCTCCCCCTTCCCTCCCCCTTCCCTCCTCCTTCCCTCCCCCTTCCCCCCGCCAGAGTCTCTCCTCGCCAAGTACGGCGCGGATATCCTCCCCGACGCGGCGGGAAAGACCCTCCTCATCCCCGAAAACGCCGCCATTCTCCGCTACTTCAACGGCAACCTCCCCGACACCGCGGAGGAGGTGGAGAAGCACATCGACACGCTGCTCATGAACGTGCTCGACGGCTCCTTCACCCTCGCCGCGCTCCGCAGCGGCTCGTCTTTCCCCACCGTCGTGGAGGGCCGCGAGCTCGTGCAGATCGATGTTAACAAGGGGTGGCTGAAGCGCGGAACGGGTGTAGCGCTCGGGGAGGCTGGGTCGGGCAGGAAGACGTGGTCCAAGGTGAAGGACCCGGGGATGTTCAAGGGCGATCTGTTCATCGCACACGGCGTGAATAACGTGCAGAAGCAGTAGTGGGGTGTGAGAGCCGTGCACTGGGAAGGCTGGGTCGGGCAGCAAGAGGTGGTCGAAGGTCAAGGATCCCGGGATGTTCAAGGGGGACCTGTTCATCGCGCACGGCGTGCGTGAATAACGTGCAGAAGCAGTGAGCGTGGAGGAGACGTGGAGTGAGACTGCTGCAGACTGGGAAGGTTGAGAGCTCCTGGGGTTTGGAGCGTGTGGTCAGTTTCGGCACTGCATTGCAGTTTTGGTACATTGTAACATGGGTTGCCTTGTAAGTTGTATTGTGGATGAGTGCCTTGTGTTAGTGTGAAAGTGTCAAATTATATACTTTAATATATATATTTGTGTAGGCGTCGTAGGTGTGCTGTGTGCTACTTTGTGCATCTTACTGTAGAGGGTTCAACACCCTCTCTTGTAACTCACTCTCTTGCCTAGTCAATCACTTTTCTCTCGTCAATTTCTCTCTACTAGCACCTAATGTTAGAATGCGTGAATGGCTTACTAGAAGGAGAAACTTAGAACATATACCAGTTGGGTTGTACTCACTAGAAGTACACACCTAGTCTAGCCTATAACTTCTACATAGATCATATGTATAAGTTGACACACCCCCTAGGCTAGATAAGGGGTGGTGCTAAGCAAGAAGCACACAGCTCAGGGTGGCACTACTAGTCCAACCATTGAGGCAGGGGTCCGGAGACCAGCCAGCAAGAGTACAAACAAGACCAAAGCAAGCCAGGGCGGCACTACTAGTCCAGCCACTGGAGGTAAGGCCACAAGGCCAATTAGACAGGTATATATAGTAGAGAGTACACAATCATGGCCCTAGCAAATGAGACGCTACAGGAACAAGACCAAGCTGTACACAGTGCCGCTGATGATCTTTAGGCGCAAGCGCCTTAGTAAAGATATCAGCTGTGTTGGCACCTGAAGCCAAGTGAACTACGCGGGCCTGGCGGCGCTGCTGTAGCTCGCGCAGGAGGAAGTACCGCAACTGGATATGCTTTGCTCTGCCCTCAAGCCGAGGCTCCTGACACAGGAGTATCATGGCCCTGTTGTCAGCGTACAGGACCGAGGCAGATGTAGGCCGCTCACCTAAGTCTGTGAGCACGAAGGTCAGCCAGCGGAGCTCCTGTGCCGCCATGGCACCAGCGTAGATCTCAACCTCACAGCTGGACTGAGCCACAGACGACGAGCGAGTGGATCTCCAAGAGATAGCACCCGAACCAAGGCTAAAACAGTAGCCCTGAGACGACCTGAGAGTCTCAGAGTCGTCTGCCCACGAAGCGTCTGTGTGCCCAGTGAGGACCACCGGCCTGCGTCCTCCTAGCACTAACCCCATGTCCGATGTACTTGCTAGATATCGCAAAACCCTCTTAGCGGCAGACCAGTGCTGTGGCCGGTGTCTGCTAGTGGCCACAAAACGAGCCAGGATGCTGAGAGGGTATGCAAGATTTGGGCGAGTGCAAGTCATAAGGTACATGAGGCAACCCACCAGTTCTGCGTAGGGTCCACTGGGCTCTACTGGCTCCTCAGGAACTGGAGCAGAGAGCCCATGGTCTACAAGTAGAGGTGTGGGGTGTGCGGAGGAGAACTGAAGACCGAACCTCTGAAGGACCTGACGCACCAAGTGTGACTGTGTCAGAGTGATGGTGCGCGGTGCTCTGTCCCTGGAGATTTGCAGGCCAAGATAGCGACGCAGCTCTCCAAGGTCAGTGCAGGTGTGTCTCTTCAGCAGCTCGGCCTTCACAGAGGCCTGTGCATCCCTGTCAGTAGTAGCAAAGACCAGGTCGTCCACGTAGACAAGGATGTAGAACGGAGTCTGGCCGGAACGCACAAACAGCGAGGGGTCAGTAGAGGACGGAAAGAACTGCAGGTCTGCTAACGTGGCAAGCAGCGTGTCGTGCCATTCGCGAGGAGCCTGACGCAGGCCGTAGACCGGGCGCCGGAGAAGCCACTGGGTCCCAGGGGGGAAGGTACCAGTGAAGCCCTGAGGTTGACGCAGGTAGACCTGCTCGTGTAGGCTGCTCTGAAGAAAGGCAGTAGAGAAGTCGAGGGAGTGAAGCTCGTAGTCGCGCCGTGCTACTACGTGTAGCAGCGCCCGAAGAGTGGTCATCTTCGGGGTCGGGGCGAAGGTCTGGAAGAAGTCAACCCCCTTGCGCTGGCTGAAGCCTCTGGCCACGTAGCGCGCCTTGAAGACAGGTGGCTCTCCAGGGGGGCGCTTCACCTTGAAGAGCCACCGACCATCGACTACGTTCACCCCAGGCGGGGGAACTGCGTCGACGTAAGTGCCGGTGGACCTCCAAGATGCCATCTCTTGCTCCATGGCAGCTATCCACTGAGAGGCCCAGGGTCCCGAGGTGGCCTCAGCGTAGGTGCGAGGGGTCGGGATGTCGAAGGCGTCTGGGTCACCCTTAGGGACTAGGAGCATGGAGCAGAGATGGGGAGCGGCCTCGGAAAGGAAAGCAAGCTCGTACTGTCTGTCCTCTAGTACGTCACTGCCAAGGGCAGGCGCACCCCCGACGGACACAGGAGGGGCAGGGTCAGAGACCAGAGCGGTAGCGTAGTGAAGGCGACGGCTAGAGGCGAAGTCAGCGACAGCAGCGACAAGCGCGTCAAGGCGAGACACAGGAACAGACGGGTCTGTAACAAGAGAGGCAAGGACCCGAGGGACAAGGGGACGAGCGGCACGGAGGTAGTGAGAGAGCGGGGGAGGTGCAACGACAAGAGACGAGGGAGGAGGCGAGGGGAGGAGAGGAGGACGAGACAAGCGAGAACGGAGTAACATAAGGTGGGAGCGCGGGACAGGGGAGACGGGACGAGCACGTGAGGGACGGCGAGACCAAACGTGGGACGGAGGTATAGGGTCAGGAGACAGCGGAGGGGACGCAAGAGGGGAACGAGGAGGAAGACGGGCCGGAGAAGAGTCCGGGGGCGGGAACAGAGGGCCGTAGGCAGGAAGGTGAGGAGGAGGTGGGGGAGACACTGGCGAGCGGTCAGGGGAGGGAAGGCCGAGCAGGCGAAGAGCGGAGACCGGCGGCGACGACTGCGGCGGCTGCTGCGGCGGCTGGTGCTCGACCCTCGAACTGGCAGGGGCACGATGACCTCTGGGAGAACACTCAACAGCAGCACCCCCAGAACCAACACCCCCAGAGCGAGAACCCTCTCCAGCCCCAGCGGCACCCCCTGGCCCGCCGGGACAGACCACGCGAGGAGCCGCTCGAAGAACACCCTCCTCAGTGCCAGCACCCCAAGAGGCCAAGAGTGGCAGCGGCGGCGGCGGTGGCGGCTGCGACGGCGGCGGCGGCGGCGGCGACGCCGATGACGGCGGCGACTGCGACAGCAGGGGCGGAGACACCAATGAAGGGGGACGCGGCAAGGGCGGGGCGGGGGAACCACCAGAGTCAGCAGATTCCTCAACAGGAACAACTGACGGGAGGGGAGTGACATGGGAGACACCAGACGGGGCAGGACGCGGCGGGAGGGGAGGAGGGGCTACCGGGGGAGAGGGGGCAAGGAACAGGGGGGGGGAAACCGGGAGACCTTGGTGAGGGAAGCGATGGTAGAAGGAGACAGACTCGTCAAAGGTGACGTCACGAGAGTGGAGGAAGCGGTGAGACTGCGGGTGGTAGAAGAGCCAGTCAGACGAGTCCAGGGGGAAACCAAGGAAGACACAGGGGACAGTGCGGGCAGTGAGCTTGTCCGTGCAGGAGGCACGAACGTGAGCAAGGCAGCCCCAGACGTGGAACGCAGACGCGTTACCGGGGGACCCGGTCCAAAGGAGGGTCGGCGAAACCTGCGGCCGCTGGGAGCGTGGCCACAGGTTAAGCTGGTGAGCGGCGTAGCGAACGGCGAACGGCCACAGAAAATGGGGTGCATCGGCATGGATCATGGAGGTACGAGCCACCTCCAAGACCAAGCCGATGCGGCACTCAGCAACCCCATTCTGGTCTGGCGAGTCCGGCAAGGTGTACGACTGGGTGATGCCCTCCGCACGACAGAACTGTCCAAGCCGACCAGAAGCGAAATCTTCGCCACGGTCAGAGTGGAGACACAACACGGGGAGACCGCGGTGAAGACGCGCAGCCACAACCCACGGGAGAAGAAAGTCGGGCACGTCAGCCTTCCGCTCCAGGGGAAACACCGTGGTGTAGCGCGTGTAGTCGTCGACGAGCACAAGAAAGTAGCGCTCGGCACGCGGTCCGGGGACAGGGGTTGGGCCCCAAACGTCCAGGTGTAGGGTCTGAAGGGGAGCAGTGGCAGGGCGAAGCGAGGAGGAGTGAGGGGCACGGCGGAGCCGGCCCTCGAGGCAGGGCGTGCACGGTGGAGCAGGCGAGAGGGGAAGGGCGGGGAGCAACGCGGGGAGGCCTAAGACAAGACCATGATGGGACATGTGATGCAGATGCGGGAGTGCAGGGTGACCTAGGCGTTGGTGCCACAAAAGGGACGGGTGAGTGAGAGACCGACACGAGCAAGCTGCAGCGACCTGGGAGGACGCACCAATCGGGGGCGAAGCGGTGTCTACGGTGAACAGTCCGGACACCGGGTCCCGGGGGAACGTAGCAAGTGGGAAACCTGAGACAGCCTCATAACAGACAGCGAACCGCTCGTGCCCGGGGAACAAAGTGGTGACGCCGAGGTCCTGAAGACAGCCGACACCGACCAGGTTCCTCGAGAACGAGGGAACGTGGAGGCCTGTAAGAGAGCTCGAGGGAACTGCTGGACAGGGAAGGGACGTGGAACTGCGAGTGATGACGGGACCAGCAGAGGGGTCAGCGAGAGAGACAACAGCAGGCGCAGCAAGCGGCGTAAGCTTGGAGCGGTCGCGAAAGAAACAGGCAGAAGCACCGGAGTCGAGAGTGAAGGACAGCGAGGCAGTGGCGGAGGCTGGGAACGGAGCCGGTGCAGAACCTAGGCTAGGCAAACTAGGCAGTTCTACACCTGACACAGCAGGGGAGGCTAAGCTACACAAGGGTGAGACACCTAAGCTAGAGTACACAGGGTAATGAGATCCAGGAACACTAGAAGCGTCAGCATACAAAGCATGCAAAACATCACCTATCTGATCCATATCTAACTCAAAGATCGGCACGCCCTGGCGAAGCAGGCTGTGCTAGTCGGGGAGGTCCGGGGCCGGGCCAAAGCGACGATGAAAGAGATCGTCGAGACAGCGGAAACAGCGGGCGGTCGGGTGCGGGCGGCGGCACAGAGTGCTGCGGAGAGGCCCGGTCTGAAGCTGGTACTGGCAGGTGACAACACTGGAGCTGCCGGTAGACACCAAGCTGCGCGGGCCACCACCTCGGCCACCACCGCCGGAGGTGCCGGGCCAACCAGGTGGGAGACGAGCCCACGGCTGCTGCTGGGACGGCGGAGGCTGCTGCTGGGGCTGCTCCAGCTGCGAAGGCGACTGCGTCTGCTCCTGCCCACCGGTGGTAGTCCCCTCAGGTGGACTACCGTCACCACCACCACTACCACCACAACTAGTGCCACCACCACGACCTCCCTGGTGGCCACGGCCACCGCGGCGTGGACGCTGCTGCGGGTGGACCGCAGCAGCCATCTCGGTAAGAGGGGTCGCAGTGGCGACCGCAGCCGAAACGTCAGTAAACGTGCACTGGGAGGGGGCACAGCCGTGAAAGATAGAAACTGCCAGCGCACCGCTCGACTGAGCGATAGTGCGCTGGCGCGTCTCGATCTCGGTGAGGGTGTCGGCAAAGGCGGTCAGTGTGAGGTCACCCGGGGCCTGGCTAAGGAAGCGGTCGCGGGCACAAGCTAAGCGGTCCGGCAGGCGCATGGCGATAAAATAGAGGGTCATCCAGAATGGGGGGGGGAGCGCAGTGAGATGGGCAGCAGTACTGGCAGTGCGATAGCGAGTCTCTAAGGCACGCAAGTGAGTGGCAAAGTCTGCGACAGTAGAGAAGGCATCAAGGTCTGGGAACAGCATCGGGAAGAGCAGGCGGCCGGCAGAAGCGGATGCAGGTGTGGAATAGCGAGCAATAGCAGCGTCTAAATAAGCTTTGGCCGTATCAACTGTAGCGAAACGTGAGCGCTCAGACACAGGGAGGGTGTGACTGATAGCAACCTGAGCTACTGCATCGCGTGAGTCCCAGACCGCACAGGCAAGCGCAGCAGTAGAGAAAGCCTCACTCTCAGCAGAGGTGGGGTCAGCAGGGAGGGGAGCAGGTGCAGGGGGGCGGGGGAGCAAGCCTTCAGCATGGACAACCAGCGAGTGTCCATCCTGGCGCTGACCTGTAAGGTGGCGGCGGAGATAGGAGAGCCAGGCGACGAAGTCAACCGCGTGGACCTCAGCGTCCAGGCGGAGCACGAAGTCAGCCATCGTGCAGGGTCAGCGACACAGCGGCACAGCTCCACAGCTCGGCAGGAGCACAGCGGCACGGGTACACGGCGGCAGCACTCTCCAGTAGGGCGGCTGCGGGGCGCCCCAGCGCGGGCTAGCAGAGGACACGGGGCCCGAGGTGGCACGGCAGGCCGAGCAGGCACGAGGAGGGGCCGGGCGGGCAGGAGGAGGGGCCGGGCGGGCAGGAGGAGGGGCCGGGCGGGCGCACTGGGACCAGGCGGGCGCTAGGAGGGGCCTAGCATGCGCGGGGCGGCCGGGCAGGTGCGATTGGGGGCCGGGCGGGCTCGAGGAGGGGCCGGGCGGGCGCTGCTGGGGTCGGCTAGGAGCAGGCTTGACCGTCAGTGGGCCGGCCAGGAGCGGGCGCGTGGGGCCAGGGGGGACCAGCTAGGAGCGGGCGCAAACGACCAGGGGGCCGGCTGGGGGTGGACGTGACGGCCAGGGGGCCGGCTAGGGGCGGACGCGACGGCCAAGGGGCCAGCTAGGGGCAGACGCGACGGCCAGGGGGGCCGACTAGGGGCGGACGCGACGGCCAGGGGCCCAGCTGAGGGCGGACGCGACGACCAGGGGGCCAGCTAGGGGCGGACGCGACGGCCAGGGGGCCGACTAGGGGCGGACGCAACGGCTAGGGGGCCAGCTGAGGGCGGACGCGACGGCCAGGGGGCCGACTAGGGGCGGACGCGATGGCCAAGGGGCCAGCTAGGGGCGGACGCGATGGCCAGGGGGCCGGCTAGGGGCGGACGCGACGGCCAGGGGGCCGACTAGGGGCGAACGCGACGGCCAGGGGGCCAGCTAGGGGCGAACGCGACGGCCAGGGGGGCGGCTATGGGCGGTCGCGACGGCCAGGGGGGCCAGCTAGGGGCGGATGCGATGGCCAGGGGGCCGACTATGGGCGGACGCAACGACCTGGGGGCCAGCTGAGGACGGACGTGACGGCCAGGGGGCCAGCTAGGGGCGGACGCGACAGCCAGGGGGCCGACTAGGGGCGGACGTGACGGCCAGGGGGCCAGCTGAGGGCGGACGCGACGGCCAGGGGGCTGACTAGGGGCGGACGCGACGGCCAAGGGGCCAGCTAGGGGCGGACGCGACGGCCAGGGGGCCAGCTAGGGGCGGACGCGACGGCCAAGGGGCCAGCTAGGGGCGAACGCGACGGCCAGGGGGGCGGCTATGGGGGGTCGCGACGGCCAGGGGGGCCAGCTAGGGGCGGATGCGATGTCCAGGGGGCCGACTAGGGGCGGACGCGACGACCAGGGGGCCAGCTGAGGGCGGACGCGACGACCAGGGGGCCAGCTGAGGGCGGACGCGACGGCCAGGGGGCCAGCTAGGGGCGGACGCAACGGCCAGGGGGTCGACTAGGGGCGGACGCGACGGCCAGGGGGCCAGCTGAGGGCGGACGCGACGGCCAGGGGGCCGACTAGGGGCGGACGCGACGGCCAAGGGGCCAGCTAGGGGCGGACGCGACGGCCAGGGGGCCGGCTAGGGGCGGACGCGACGGCCAGGGGGCCGACTAGGGGCGAACGCGACGGCCAGGGGGCCAGCTAGGGGCGAACGTGACGGCCAGGGGGCCGACTAGGGGCGGATGCGACGGCCAGGGGGCCGACTAGGGGCGAACGTGACGGCCAGAGGGGGCCAGCTAGGGGCAAACGCGACGGCCAGGGGGCCGGCTAAGGGCGGGCGAGAAACTAGGGCGCGGGCGGAAGCGGGCGGGGGGACCTAACCTACTCGATACCATGTTAGAATACATGAATGGCTTACTAGAAGGAGAAACCTAGAACATATACCATTTGGGTTGTACTCACTAGAAGTACACACCTAGTCTAGCCTATAACTTCTACATAGATCATATGTATAAGTTGACACCTAAAACCTCTCGCCATTTTTCATGGCTTCCTAGCTCCTAGCTGTTACCAGCTCCTTTCTACATGGTTTCAGAGTAGGTTGCTCCTGCTGAGCCGCCTCGTCATGCTTCCGCAGCGTGCTCTTTCCCTTCCCGTCACATTAACGCCGTCGTGCCGCCGTGTGCCGCCGTGCTCTGCATCTCCCCTATTGTGAAAGCTTGCTTAGGTCCTCTTGTAAAGGCAGCGTGCTTCATTTCATCTGGGTCGGCAATAAGTCGAAGGAGCTCGTGACTAAAGGCACGTGCCATAGCGCCCAATGCCAGATTCATGGAGGCCAGCATTCCTGTGACTCTCGCAAGGGGCCGGATAGGAACTGGTCGTTCCTCTTGTCCTTGGGTGATGAGGGCTTGGAGTGAAGCAAAAAGTTGTGCTCGACGTTTGAGTCCGACGGAGAAGGTGCCTTGGGCGGCATCAATCTCCAAGCCGAGGAAAGCTATCTGGCGCGAGGGGTGTAGATGTGACTTTTTGTTGTTTATAACAAAACCTGCTGCCTTCAGGTCCTGAAGAACAGCTGCACAGGTCAAGCGTGCATCCGAGTAGGAGTTGCAGAGGAATAGTAAGTCGTCGGCATATGGAACAACCCGCACGCCGCTTGCCCGCCATCGCTTTGCCAGTTGTTTGATCAGTTGTGTGAAGACGAACGGGGTAGTGGCAAGCCCGAACGGGAGCGATATGAAGGAATAGTAGTCTCCTTCAAACTGAAATCCCAAGAACTTCCAGCAGGAGGGGTGGATCTCGACATGGTGGTAGCCTGACTTTAGGTCGATTGAGAACATCCAATCGCCTGTGCGGATGAGTTCGGCTACCCTGTTCAAGCCTTCGTACTTGAACTTGGGGATGTCAAGGTAATTGTTGACTTTGCGCAAGTCAAGAATGAGGCGACACTTGTCGCGCTGCTCCACCACGTTAAGTGGACTGACACACATGAGCGCGTCCTTCGTAGGGACCTTGACGGCGGCACCCGAGGTGACGAGGTTGCGAATCGCTCCACGAGTGAAGTCCAAGTGTGTGCGAACACCAGCATGATTGCTGTCCTCAAAGGCATGTGGCACGGCTTCCTTCCAGGGAAGCCAATATCCTTTCGCGATGATGGACAAGATGAAACTGCTATCGCACCATGAGCACCACCAGTGTTGGGCATGACGCAATCGACTATGCATGACAGTTACGTCCTAGTCTGTAACCGCGTACTCGTAGGGGTCATGTTTGTTGCGTAACCATCCTTTCCTGATTTTTGCTGGACCAAAGGGTCAGGTGACAAGAATCACATAGGTACCCAAGTGAGCGAGACCAGACAATTTGCCTAAAGGGTGGATGTGTCATAGTCAATTCCAGGGGGGGGCATAGCTCCCATTCAGTTGGCAAAGCGAGAGTGGCTCATGTTCAATTGCAAATGGGGCATGGCTGATATTCATGCCTTCTCCCTTTAGCGCTCGAGCCTTCGTCCCTCTCTCTCTCTCTCTCTCTCTCTCTCTCTCTCTCTCTCTCTCTCTCTCTCTCTCTCTCTCTCTCTCTCTCTCTCTCTCTCTCTCTCTCTCTCTCTCTTTCTTTCATCAAGGCCTCGCAGAAGTTTTTTTTTGTTTTTTTGCAATCTTAGTTTCAATGCGTCATAACGGCATGCATGTTCCATACATGGAATAACACAAGGTTCTAGGCCCACGGCCTTCTCTGCCCCTAGGGCTATCCTAGTCTACTAGGCCATTTGCCTTGTCCTAAGGCCGGCCACCAGCCATGCACCCCCGGTGCAGCCCAATATGCTTCTTGCATATTGGCGAAGGGCACCGCCCTTACCCCCACTCATACCACCGGTGAGGGGCCTTGTGCTCCACGCCCGCCCATGGGGCACGTGTTAGCCATGTGACCTGGCTGGCCACAGCGGAAGCACACGCCCTTGAAGCGTGGCTGCTGGCATGTGAGAGGGGGGGAGCCTTTGAGGTCAATTTCTCCGTCATGGCCGCCGGGACGACCACCACGGGGGTAGATGGCGCGTGCGCGCTTGAGTGCAGCCACGTCGGCGACCGCCAGCTTGTACGAACGGGACGTCAGCACACTCTTGGACTGGTAGAGCTGGAAGCGATTAGCGGCCTCAAAACTGGCCTCATCCGCCACGAGAAGCACCTCAAAACGCTTATTAATAAGCGTCTCGATGTGTTTCACGTTGTTGAGTGCGTCGGTGACGTTGCCGTGCTGCAGCTCAAAGTCGATGTGCTGGACGTGTGCTTGGATAGCAGTGAAGACTTCTTGGATAGCAAGAAGGTCAGCCAGTGGAGCTCCTGTGCTGCCATGGCACTGGCATAGATCTCAGTCTCACAGCTAGACTGGGCAACAGATGAGGAGCGAGTGGACCTCCACAAGATGGCACCTGAACCAAGGCTAAAGTAGTAGCCCTAGGAGGACCTGAGAGTCTCGGCGTTGTCTGCCCAAGAAGCGTCTGTGTGCCCGGTAAGGACCACTGTTCTGCGTCCTCCTAGCACTAGCCCCATGCCCGATGTACTTGCTAGATAACGCGAGACCCTCTTAGCTGCCGACTAGTGCTGTGGTCGGTGTCAGCCGGTGGCCACAAAGCGAGCAAGGATGGTGAGAGGGTATGGGAGATCTGGACGAGTGCAAGTCATCAGGTACATGAGGCAACCCACCAGCTCTATGTAGGGACCACTAGGCTCTACATCCTCCTCCGAAACTGGAGCAGAGAGTCTGTGGTCTACTGGCAGAGGGGTGGGCTGTGCGGAAGAGAACTGAAGGCCGAACCTCTGAAGGAACTGGCGCACCAAGTGTGACTGTGAGAGGGTGATGGTGCACGCTGCTCTGTTCCTGGAGATGCTCTCCTAGGTTAGTGCAGGTGTGTCTCCTCAGCAGCTCGGCCTTCACGGAGGCCAGTGCGTCTCTGTCTGCAGTAGCAAAGACCAGGTCATCTACTTGGACAAGGACGTAGAACGGAGTCTGGCCGGAACGGACGAAGAGCGAGGGGTCTGCTGAGGACGGGAAGAACAGTAGGTCAGCAAGTGTAGCACGCAGCGTGTCGTGCCACTCACGGGGCGCATGTCGCAAGCCGTAGATGGGGAGCCGAAGGAGCCACTCGGTACAAGGGAGAAAGGTACCGGAGAAACCCTAGGGGCGGCGCAGGTAGACCTGCTCGTGTAGACTGCACTGGAGGAAAGTTGTGGAGAAGTCGAGGGAGTGGAGCTTGTAGTCACGCTGTGCTGCTACATGTAGCAGTGCCCAAAGAGTAGTCATCTTCGGGGTCGGGGCGAAGGTCTGGAAGAATTCAACACCCTCACGCTGACTGAAGCCATGAGCAACGTAGCGCGCCTTGAAGACAGGCGGTTCTCCATGAGGGCGCTTCACCTTGAAGAGCCATCGGCCATCGACTATATTCACCCCAGGTCGGGGAACTGCGTTGACGAAGGTACCGGTGGGTCTCCAAGTTGCCATCTCCTGTTCCATAATAGCTATCCACTGAGAGGCCCAGGGTCCCGAGGTGGCCTCAGCGTAGGTGCGAGGGGTTGGGATGTCAAGGGCATCTGGGTCACCATCAAGGACTAGCGGCATGGAACAGAGATGGGGAGCGGCCTCAGACAGGAAAGCGAGCTTGTACTGCCTGTCCTCTAGGGCGTCACTGCCAAGGCCAACCACACCCCCGACGAACGGAGGGCAGGCAGGGTCAGAGACCAGAGCGATGGCGTAGTCAAGGCGGTGGGTAGCGGCGAATTCAGTGACAGCAGCGACAAGAGCCGGCAGACTCGAAAGAGGAACGGACAGGTCGGTAACAAGAGAGGCAAGGGCACGAGGAGCAAGGGGATGCGCGGCACGGAGGAAGTCAGAGAACGGGGGCGGGGCTACAGCAAGCGAGGACGCAGGAGGAGACGGGAGGAGTGGAGGAGCACGAGACACATGGGATCGAAGCAACATAGGGTGAGACCGCTGAACAGGGGAGGTAGGACGAGCACGAGACGGACGACGAGACCGGACGTGAGACGGAGGAGTCGGGTCAGGAGAGAGGGGAGGAGGCACAGGAGGAGAATGAGGAGGGAAACGAGTCGGAGAGGAGTTCGGGGGAGGAAACACTAGGCCGTAGACCGGCGGAGGAGGAGGCAGCGGCGAAGGACAGGGCACCGGCAGGTGGTCAGGGGAAGGAAGACCGAGGAGGCGAAGAGCGAACACCGGCGGCGAGTGCTGCGACTGCTGCCCGACTCCAAGACTAGAACCCCCAGCGACAGAACGGCTCCCTTCGAGAAGCTCCACGCTAGAACCCCCAAAACGGACGAACCCTAGCGGCGATGACGAGGGCGGCTGCGGCCGTGGCGGTGACAGCAACGGCGTCGACAGGGGAGAAGAGACCGGGGCAGGGACGGGCGGGGGGAGGGACTCTGCAGAGCCACGAGAGTCAGAAGACTCCTCGGCAGGGACACCCGACGGGAGAGGGGTGACGTGAGACACACCAGACAGGGCAGGGAGGGGAGGGGGGGTAGCCGGGGCAACCGGGGGAGGGGTAACCAGGAACACGGGGGTGGTAACCGGGGGACCACGGTGGGGAAAGCGGTAGTAAAGGGAGACAGACTCGTCAAAGGTGACGTTGCGGGAGTGAAAGAAGCGGTGAGCCGGCGGGTGGTAGAAGTGCCAGTTAGACGAGTCAAGGGGGAAACCGAGGAAGGCACAGGGGATGGTGGGGGCAGTGAGCTTGTCCGAGTACGAGGCACGAACATGAGCAAGGCAGCCCCAGACGTGGAACACAGTCGCATCACCAGGGGACCTAGTCCAGAGGAGGGTCGGCGAAACCTGCGGCTGCTGAGGATGCGGCCAGAGGTTAAGCTGGTGAGCGGCATAGCGAACGGCGAACGGCCACAGAAAATGGGGTGCACCGGCATGGATCATGGAGGTACGAGCCACCTCCATGATCAGACCGATGCGTCGCTCAGCAACCTCATTCTGCTGCAGGGAGTCCGGTAGGGTGAACGTCTGGGTGATGCCCACCGCACGACAGAAGCGACCAAGGTAGTCAGAGGCGAACTCGCCACCACGGTCGGAGTGAAGATGCAACATAGGGAGACCTCGGGTAACACACGCAGAGACAAGCCATGGGAGAAGAACGTCAGGCACGTCGGCCTTTTGCTCCAGGGGAAACACCGTGGTGTAGCGCGTGTAGTCGTCGACAAGCACTAGGAAGTAGCGCTCTCGACGCGACCCATGGACGGGGGCAGGGCCCCAGACGTCCATGTGCAGGGTCTGCTGTGGTGCAGCGGTGGGGGCGAACGAGGAGGAGTGAGGGGCACGGCGCAGCCGGCCCTCGACGCAGGGCGTGCACGGCGGTGCTGGTGAGGAAGGTAGCGCGGGGAACGACTCAAGGAGACCTAAGACAAGACCGTACTGGGACATGTGACGAAGACGTTGGAAGGCAGGGTGACCTAGACGGTGGTTCCATAGAAGCGTCGGGTGAGTAAGTGACCAACACGAGCAAGCCGCTGCAACCTGGGTAGACGCAGCCACCTCGGGAGACATCCTAACCGGGGGGGACGCGATGTCTAGTGTGAACAGGCTGGACACCAGGTCCCGAGGGAACATGCTGAGGGGAGCACCAGTGGCAGCCTCGGTACAGACAGCGTACGGCTCATGACCAGAGAACGTAGTGGTGACTCCAAGGTCCTAGAGACAGTCGACACCAACTAGGTTCCTAGAGAACGAGGGGATGTGCAGGCCTGTATGGGAGCCCGAAGGAACCGCCGGACAAGGAAGGGTGGTGGAGCTATGGGCGACTACAGGACCTGAGGAAGGGTCTGCAAGGGCAACTGCGGCGGGAGCGGCAAGCAGCGTAAGCGTAGTGGAGTCCCGAAAGAAACACCGGAAAGAGGCGGAGTCCAGGGGAAAGGAGAGCGTGGCAGTGGCGGCAGGGGTCAGAGGAGCGAGGGTGGAGCCTAGGCTAAACAAACCAAGGGATCCTACGCCTGATGCAGCAAGGGAGCCTGAACTAGGCACACCAACACTAGGCAACAAGGGGTAATAGGAACTAGTCACAAAAGAGTCATCGACATACAGCACATACAAAGCAGAGCTAATCTAGTCTATGTCCATATCAAAGATCCTAACACCACAGTGGAGCAGACTGTGCCAGTCGGGGAGGTCTGTCGCCGGGCCGAAGCGGGTCGTCTAGGCTACTGAAACAACGAGTGGGGGTATGGCCGATCTTACCGCACACGAGGCCGCGGCGAGGACCGGTCTAGAGCCGGTACTGGCAGTGCCCGTCACTCGGACAACCACCCGACGTCACGCTGCGCGCACGACCACTGCGACCACTGCCACCACCGGCGCCAGGCCACCCGGGCGGGAGACGACCGACCCGCCGCTGCTGCTGCTGCTGGTGCGGCTGCTGCTGCTTGTCTAGCCCCAGCCCCGAGGCACCAGCCCCAGCCCCCTTATCAGTACTACTAGTGGGCGAACCACCTCCACCATCACCTCCATCCCCTCCTCCGCTACCACCGCCGCGCCCAACCTTGGGGCGGCGACCCTTACCCAGACGAAACTACGCTGCAGCAGCCGCGGCGACTGTCTCTGCAGCAGAGGCTGTCTCAGCGACACCAGCAGAACCGTCAGAGTAAATACACTGAGCAGCGGCACAGCCCTACAAGATAGTGACCGGTACAGTACCGCTAGACTGGGCCATAGAGCGCTGACGAGTCTCTATGGCAGACAGGGTGTCGACAAAGTCAGTGAGGGTGAGGTCAGTGGGGTGGAGACTAAGAAAGTGATCCCGGGCGATAGCAAGGCGGTTAGGGAGGCGGGTGGCAAGCAGGTAGAGGGTAGAGCAGATGGGGGG